GGTGCATGTGGTCCCATCACATACATTCTATGGATGTAAAACCTTTGGCCAAAAACATGTTGAAATCTTCAGCCCTAATAGCAAGGACAAATTATTACCCTAACAGCAGGGAAAATAATTCATGCTGCTGAAGTCTTCTGCCAAATACATTCCATGCATGGGATGCAAACTGCCGATGTGAGTTCTACCACAATGCATTCTGTTGATACAAAAATCCTCACGACTCGAAATGACGTCGTTTACCTGCAAAACAAAAGGACGTCATCTTGAATGGCACCGGTGGGGTGCCAGTTGAGGACCCTCCGACGATCAAGTTAGTACTTGTAATCGTATCACATAATAATTATCTAAATTCTGTTTAGGGGTTTTTTCTCGTACCTTTTTTAACGGCTTGGTGCCCTATTTATGGCTGTCGATTGGAATCAAATTGGTCCCGCGGGAGATCCGCTTGTGCTAGATCAGAGGAGATCGTTTGTTGCCAGTTTTGTCGGGAATATGATTTACTCCTTTGATTTTCTTAAATTGTGCCAAGGTTATCCTCGCCCTATTAAACCACGTTGTCATTCATTATCCTGGATAAGAAATGTCATCATTCTTATCAGATGGAAATCTTTATCTCTGATAACGAAATATATCGAAGAGGTCTGGCGGCTGGTCAAGGTAAGTTATTTTTCCCTATCAGTTGCCCCCCATTCCCAAGCTTGCTCGTCTAGCTTTGGGAATGTAATTTTTTTTTTTTTTTGCCCCCGACACTGTTCCCGATGGAACAGTACCTGCGAGTACTATTCATTGGAATAGTAAAACTTTTTTTTTTTTTTGCCCCCCGTACTGTTCACTGGAGCAGTAATATTTATTTATTTTTTTGGCCCTGGGAATAGTGCCCGCGGGGGTACTATTTATGTGAACAGTATTTTTTTTTGGCCCTGGGTACTTTTCCCTTGAGTACTATTTTTGGTACCCTTAGGTAATCTTCCTTCGGGTACTATTTTTAGTACCTTTAGATATTCTGCCCCTGGGTACCATTTTTGGTACCCTTGCGTACTCTGTCTCTGGGTACTATTCTTAGTACCCTTGGGTATTCTGCCGTTGGACACTATTTTTGGTACCCTTGGGTACTCTGCTCCTGGGTACTATTTTTGGTATCCTTAGGTAATATTCCCTTGGGTACTATTTTGAGTACCCTTGGGTACTCTGCCCTTGGAAACTATTTTTGGTACCCTTGGGTACTATTTTTAGTACTCTTGGTACTCTTCCCTTAGGCAATATTCCCTTGGATACTTTTCCATTGAGTAATCTTCCCTTGGTAAGGGAATAAATTGTACGAGCTTCACTCAGATTGTCACTCCTTTAATAAGGGAATTAAATTTTACTAGTTTTACTCAGCTCGTCCCTTTAGTAAGGGATTTTTATTCACTATCCCTTATAGCAAAGGGATTTTGATTACGGGATTCATTCAGCCCGGGTCCTTGTAGTACAGGACATTTATTTACTATCCCTTATAGTACGGGGATATTGATTACAGGATTCATTCAGCCCGGGTCCTTATAGTACAGGACACTCATTATCATCCCTTATAACCTTTATGGGGGAAAGAGGTGTAGTCTGAAGAAGGGTGACCCCTTTAATACGAGAGGTAGTCGTGTTTCTCTAATAAATGAAGGAAGCTTTAATTATATACGACACCGCGATGATAAAACCTACTTCCCTTAATATGTAAATCGACGATTAATATCGTGTGATCCACTATTCTGCCCCCGATGATGGGATCTTGGGTGATGACCCATTCTATAGACGTTTATACAGCGGACGGAGTGTCTGGTGCTGCAACAATTTACAATTGTCTAGAAACATTAGATTGTGTTAGAAATAATTATTGAAGATTAACCTGCAATGGATTATCAATCCAAAATTCTACATAATTTGAAGTTGATAGGCAATTCCTGCAAGGGAAGAGAGGTGACGACTGTCGTCTGATAAGTGGAGGCTTAGTGTCCAGCAACTGGCTTGATGGCTGGTGGATAAGGGCCTGGTACCCAACGGCTAACAGATGACGGTTTGATGGCCAGTACCAGATGACGGTCTGGTGGCCAGTACCTCGTTGGGTCCAATGATCGCCCTTAACTAAGGAATCTCCTTGGGAATACAAACCTCATTGGACATGGGATCTTGAGGGACATTGGACCTCCTTGGACCTGAAGGTCTCGATACATTCTTGGATGTAGAAGGTCACCCTGATTGCACGAACGGACGAAGTAATGAGACTCCGTTGCTAGAGACATCATCAGTAGTAGAGGCTTTACTAGTAGGTAGAGACCTCCTTATTGGTAGTAATCTTCTTAATGGGTAGAGACCTACCTATTTATGTAGGTGCAGGAGAACCATGCCTTAGTCTTCAAAAATAAGGCCTTGGTAATTGGCTGCTGCCCGATATGAGATAGAGTCTGGTCTTAGACGACCAAACCTCAATAGTGTAGGGACCAATCATCTCTAGATGGAAAACACCACATTGGACTGCCTGGGTCGACGTGCCAAATTTTGATTATTGTCATCATATACTGAATGACATCACGCAACCCACCGTTCTACCCCCAGTATAATGGACGAGTAGTCAGGATGTAAAGTCCCGTCCTTACATACGAACATGGAAACCCGTGTTAACTGATGACTTTGGGATGGTTTCCATGATCGGAAACTTTCGTCTTGCCGTCCGAGCTAAGTCGCATCAGGATTATTATTTCTTCAGAGAACTAATCGTTCCCGCAAACAGCGCCAGCTGTTGATGCGAAAATCCTCACGACTCGAAACGACGACGTTTACCTGCAAAACAAAAGGACGTCATCTCGAATGGCACCGGTGGGGTGCCACCCCGAACCCTCCGACGATCAAGTTAGTACTTGTAATCGTATCACATAATAATTATCTAAATTCTGTTTAGGGGTTTTTTCTCGTACCTTCTTTAACGGCTTGGTGCCCTATTTATAGCCGTCGATTGGAATCAAATTGGTCCCGCGTGAGATCCGCTTATGCTAAATTAGAGAAGATCGTTTGTTGCCAGATTTGTCGGAGATATGATTTACTCCTTTGACTTTCTCAAATTATGCCAAGGTGATCCTCACCCTGTTGAACCATGTCGTCATTCATTATCCTGGATAAGAAATGTCATCATTCTTATTCGATGAAAATCTTTATCTCTGATAACAAAATATATTAAAGAGGTCTGGCAGCTAGTCAATGTAGGTTATTTTTTCCTATCACATTCTATGTATATAAAATCTTGGATATCGACTCTAATAAAAAGGTTGTCCATTCGTTGACTCGTTTTAGTTTGTGAAACTCGATAAGTACGTTAAAATAGATATGTTGTCTCGATCAATATTTTTCTCGATCTATTCAACCAGAATATATACAAGATTCCACAAAAGGGAATTAAGGGCAACTAGCTCTATATATGGTCTCTTGTGCCACTAGGAGATCGAATATGCTTGCTATATACGTGTGAGAGGGGTTATGTTGGAGCGTTGATGGAGCTAGTAGGTTTTGGTCAAATACAAGTGACAATATTATAATTAATGCTCTTGTTTGGAAAAACACATATCACAAAAGACTTCTGTGCAGAGAAGATATGTTTTCCAAGTGGACTGGGCACAATTCTAATCATGTGAACTGGAGATGTGAAGGAAAGGAAAGGAAAGGGGAAAAAAAATCCTCCGGAAATTGCCAGGAATTTGGAGAAGGAAGGATTTAGCCAACTGTCAAACAAGCTTTACAATTTTGATTCCTCCACGACAAACAACATTTAATAAAGAATTCTGAAAAAAATATAAAAGAATAATTTATGCATGGACCAACCATTCAACTTTGCCTTTTAACCTAAAATAAATTCCTTGGCATGGGGCCTTAAGCTACATATAATAAAATATAGGTATACGTATATATGTATGTATGTATTTGTATTGCACTAATGGTAACAGCCTAGCGCCAGTAGGTTTCTTCGCTGTTATATGTACAATATATTCTTGTCTTGGGTCTGCACAAGCCAAAGTTTAGAAACGTCCCTTAGAACTGCAAAGCTCCAAAAGCATAAAATCTAAAATGAATATTTGTAACTTATTTTTATATCACCACGAATATTAATTTCACAAAGACATGGGAACAGCGAAGCTTTTCTTCACAATCTCATTAATTATATATACATTGATAAGTTGATAAACAACACATATTAATATATAATGTACAAATACATGTATACTTTCTTTCTTTATTTTTTTGGTAAATAAAATACATGTATACTTTCTCTAAGCTCTTCATAAATATATCACCACAAATATTACACAAAGACCTAGGAACAGCCTTCACAATCTCATTAATCTTAATTATCGGGGAAAAAAACCTTCACAATCTCATTAATTATCGAATATTTATAATTTGATACACAACACATATCAATATACAAAGACTAGAGGTATATTTTCTCTAATTCTTTATTAATTCTTCTTTTCTTTTTGTCTATGCCAAGAACAAAATATTTCACAAAGGAATAGGAATTGAAAAGCAAACCCTCTCTTCACAATCCCATTAATTATAACTTGATGATTTGATACACATCACATATAATAAATGTATAAATACATGTATAATTTCTCTAGTTCTTCATTAATTCTTTCTTTAATTTTGCTTTTCTTTTTGTCCACAACTACAAAGAAATAGGAAAAACAACTAGATTAAATAAAAAAAATTAAATCTAAGGAGAAAGGTTTTGCTTTTCCGGTAAGTATCCCTTTACATATTTTGATGATCTGATATACAACACATATCAATGTACAAATACATCTATAATTTCTCTAGTATTTATTTTTTCTTCTCTTTTTGTCTATCTACACACTAATTAAGGAGAAAAATATTCACAAAGAAATAGGAAAAGCAAAGTCTTTAAATTCTTGGATCACAATCCCATGACAAATATATTGATGATTTGATACACATATCAATGTCCAAATACATATATAATTTCTCTAATTCTTCATTGATTCTTTCTTTAGATCATATTCTACATTAATTAAGAACAAAAAAAATCACCAACAAATAGGAAAAGCGCGCAAAGCCTTTTTCTTCACAATCCCATTACATAACATTGATGATTTGTTACACAATCAATGCACAAATACATGTATAATTTCCCTTTTTGTCCATTAATTCTCCCTTTGACTTTCTTTTCTTATACACACTAGATTAAATAAAATAAATTAAAAAAAAAAAAAAAAGACCTCCATTAATAGGCCTTTATGGTCATGTTCTCTCTAACAGTCCTAGAGTGCAACAAATCATCATCCATCCTCTTAGTCCTCGGCCGGATCAATTTCGACCAGAAACCGCCTTTCTTCTTCCCATCCTTGGCCTCTCCTCTCATATTTCTCGTCACGAAAGCCACAGACCTACTCTTTGTGAGCACATTCTTTGAACTCCTCATCAACAAAGAGAACGACCCTTTGGCCTCCGAACCACTATAGTAACGGTGGTGGTGCACCGGAGATGACTCCGAAGACGAGTACTGAGACGACAAAGAAGACAGAGAAGACGAAGAAGAACAAGAACTAGCGACCAAGGTGGTGGTGGTACGTGAGGATGAGCTAGTTGACAACTGGGAGAGCCTCTCCTTGAGACAGACGGAGCAAACGCCCGGTGACTGGCGGTGTTTCGGGTGCTTCTTGCACCTTAGGTCGGTCTTTGATCTGCCCATTGGAGGGTTCTTTGGTCTCTTGTTCTCCATTTTTGGCTGCTGGTCATGGTGGTTGTGTTTGTGTGTATATATATGTGTGTGGGGTGGTGTTTTTCCATGAGGGTTCATGTGAGCTTCCTTGAGAGTTCACAAAATGACTTTTTTGACGGGTAATGAGTTTTGAAAAGTCGGGTGAGGACCGAGACGACAGTTGGCGGGTGAGTGGGGCCAGTACTGGATTGGAGTTGGTGGCTGGAATGATCGTGTGGAATGCGCCAAGCTTTAGTGGGGGCTGCCAGAAATTACTCCGTTGCCAACATTGAGGATTAGTAAATTGAATTTTTAATAAAAAAATTTTTACCAACTCACATATATATTACTTCCACTTTAGACGGTGGGGGTAATACTAGAGATTCCAACAGGCGAAGAAAAATTTTCTTGTGCACGTTGGATATTTTTTTATGCACGTTAGATCGTGTAACGGGCTTAGTATATGCACAAGCAAAGTATTACAAGACTCCTTTCATGGTGCAACGGACGCAAGAGCAGGAGGATCCATTCCTATTTAGTGTAAATTCCCATTTTTGTTCAAAATCATTTATAAACAGAATTAGTTTGGTAGAATTCATATGTAATAAATAATATAATAAATTATCGATCACAGATCGATAAGAAAAAGATTCAAAGTTTCGATTGAAACAATATTTAATGTTATTATAAGAATATTAGACTATTACACAGAAATTCTCAAATAAAAACAATACAAATGATATTTAGTGATTAATCCTAAGGGGATTTGGGCCCTGGTGCCTCAATCATAAAACATTAGGTTTCAAGTTTGATCCATCTTATATGTAAACAATTCTTTAGAGGTTATGCCCGCGAACATAATCCGTACTTTACACTTAATATTTTTTTAGTACAAAATAGACTATAAAAGCAAAATTGTAATTTATCAGTACAAAATGACTCGAGGCCGAATAATCCTTTTCTATCCCCGCCCCGCAATATTGTGGGTTTTCAACCCTAATCCCCATTTTTGATTCAAAATCATTTTAACTATTTCCATAACCATATTAAACGGGGCAAGACATTCATCATCTCTGATCACTAGACTACAACCCGTAACAGAAATAATATTGTGGGAGTAAAATATATAACACATAAATCAAATATATATTTGATAAAATTAATAAAATTGGTCATTGAAATTGAAATTGAGAGACAAATAGAAATGATAATGTTGATACTTCATCTCCAAGATAAAATTCAAGCGTTCATAGTCAAGTCTCTTTTATACATATCTGGAAAAAAAATAATTAAATAAATAAAAATATAAGCATCTCATTGCAAATAAACATGTGATAATTTGTCACAATTTTTTAAAACTAATAACCAAAAATAATAACTTTTGTTAATCTATTTCTATTTTGTTTATATTATTTTGAATATTGAATCAACTTATTTTAACCTACACCTAATAGGGAATGGTCATGTTAGAAGATAAGTATTTTTATAAGGAAACAAGACAATGCTGACAAAATTCTACGATAAGGGGGGATGTCTTTCATTGAATACTCGTCTCTCTCTCTCTCTCTTTTCGGTTTTTTTTTTTTTTTTTTTTTTTTTTTTTTTGGGCCTTCAATCCAAACACGAAAAGAGAAAAGAGAGAAAGCAATGTTTTTATACAGTTACTTTTCAAAATTTTCCATCCCACACTATTCTTTCTTTTCTCTTTCGATCAATACAGTGGATGTTGACTCAGGTACCCTTTTGTCTCACGTTGGCGTGGATTGAACCATTCACATTGGTTAAATGGGTTTGTGACTAAAGAAAAGTTCTGAATCTATTTTTTTTAATTAAAGTCATTGTCCCAACTTGGGGTTAAAGAAACATGAGCCCATCCTCTTCGATTTGTTTTCCATACAATTATATATATTCTCAATTATTTGATTTATTCAAATAATATCAAATGTATATTTTTTTTTTTGGCACCAATATCAAATGTTAAGTTCAATTAGTGAGTAATAACACTTTGTGATATTTATATGAAAAAAAAAAAAAAAAAAAACTTCCCTATAAATATATTTCAATTGCTTAGTGCAGTTCAAACAATATAAAAAATTCAACTGAGATTAGTCATTGTACTAATTTATGCTAAAAATTAGGTGTGCCTTTAGTCTTCCTATCTCAGCAACCAAACGTGGATGTGATATTAATTGGGCAATGCGATTTTAATTTTCAATTGAGGGTGTGGCGGTGGCACTTTCTTGCTCCAGTTGTCAAACGCTTGCATTAAATACAGGGCGCGTTCTCATTAGACTAAAAGGCCCTCGTCATGGGCCCGCTAGAGCAAGTTTAAGATTACAATCCAGTATAAAGTTAATGAAGTCCATGGGATATTATGAACCCAATCCAACAACATATCAAGGACCCACAAAGACTTCAGTTCATTTCAACTTGCCTTACCTAACTCTAATATTGAACCAGCTATGTCGGAATTAGGAAATACAGTCGTATAACCCTATTCAGTGTCGGTCCTATAGGAGATAACCGAATCTCTATCCTGAATTCCACATACTTTAATTATGTAGTTCAGATTCAGTCATTTCATCATTTTGTTAACCTCCATGTTGAAAAAATTTCAGTTTGTAAGTAATAGAAGTGAACAAGAGGATGACATGACTGAATCTAGATTAAAGGATTGAGGTTTGCAAAGTAGAGAGATTTGACTAATGAGTATCCTTGTCCGTTGAGCATATTTAACGAATATAAAAATGCATTACATTAACTTCATTAAATCCTATCCCCCAATCATATATTGAGTTGGCATCCTTACGGGAACGGATTCCAACGATAAAGGCTTACATGTGTATGAGTTGGTTCCTAAGAAGCACGAATACTTTCCCAGAGGCGCCATGGCAGTATCGGACACGTGTCCAGTATCGATATGCCCAGGATATGCCCAAACACGTGTCCGATACTTTGAAGTATTCGATTTTTTTAAAAAAATTCGGATACGGCTTGGATATGCCGAGGATACTTCTAGGATACGACAGTGTTCATATTGTGATACTTAAATTTTGTACGTTAAAAAATGGGGGTCAAATTATAATAAAACAAAAATGCATTTAAAACTCCAAAATTACCAAATCGATCCCCACAATTGTTCTTAATTCTCATCCCACTATTTTTTTTATAGAGTCAATGGTTTATTTTTGCTTAATTGCTTATATTTGATTGTTCTTACATTTTTTTTTTTTTGGTTTTTCAGATTCTAAAATTAGGGTTTTTCTTCTTTTATATTTTTCCTACTTTTACTATGTTAGAACTTCTCGTTGTTTATTTTCTTACTTGCTTCTTTATTTATAAACATGTTAATTAGTGCACTTAGATTCATAATATTACAATAAACTGATTTAAAAAAGTAATTTTTTTGTATATAAAAAAATATGCCGTATCCGCATCCTATTTTTTTTAGATTTGTTGTATCCAAACCCAGGATTCAGATCGTTAATTGGGACCTTATCCAAACCCAAGGTCACACAAGGGTACTATAGTCATTTCACGTCAATATAACAGTTATAGAGTCCATAAGAATATAATAGTCATTTACCGTGATCAATTAATGATTTATGACCCAAAAAGGGTAAAATAGTCATTTAGTACATTTATTATGACTTTAAAACTCCACGGGATAAAACTATCATTTTGTATGGCCATTCTATGTTTTGGTTAAAGTGTGGGATAATTAAGTAATTATACTGAAATATGGGATTAATGTGCAAATATTAACTCATCTAACCGGGTAAAACTCATCAGGGTAAAACTATCACAAACATGTGATAATATGTCACAAGTTTTTTTAAACTAATAAACAAAAATAATAACTTCTGTCAATTGCTTTGATTTTTACTTTTGTTCAAATTTTTGAATGGATCAACTTATTTATAAATTTTTTTTCGATAATAATAAAAAAATAATAATAAATAAACTTATTTTAACCTACACGGCAGAGATAAGGAATGGTCATGTTAATGTTTGAATAATGAAACAAGACAATGCTGACCGAATTATGGGTATAAAAAGGACGAGGTCTTCCTTCTTCTTTTTTCTTCTTTTTTAAAGATAAAGATTAAACACGACCAAAAAAATTTACATAAATGAGAAGGCGAAGCCAAGAAGGCTCACCTCCCATTCAATATCAGAAAGTTGACAATGAATACTCGTCTATCTCTCTCTCTCATGTTTTTCATTTATTTTTTCCTTTTTTATCTTTAATTCTAAGGAGAAAAGAGGAAAGCAATGTTTTTTTATACAGTCACTTTTCAGTTTTTTCCATCAACCTTTTATCTTTTTGATAAATATGGTATCGTGGGATGCTGACTCAGGTACCCTTTTGTATCAGCTTGGCGTGGATTGTATGATTGTACGATTCACATTGGTTAAAGGGTAGTTAATAAAGTTCAGAATCTAATTTTTTATTAAAGCCCTAGCCCAACTTTGGGTTAGATAAATCCTATACATGAGCCCATCTTATTTGATCTGTTTTGTATCAATGTATATTTTCTTCGTATTCAGAATCTTCGAGTGTTAAAAGGTTTGATGAAGAACGATATTTGCGTGGCGTGCTTGTTATTCTTCTTCTTTAAAATTTTTAAGTGTTGAATGACTGTGATGAAGAATGATACTTGTGTGGTGTGCTTATTGTTCTTCGTCTTCAAAGACTTCAGAATATTTGTTGAGGCAAAGATTTGATAGAGGTTTGGTGTTGCTTCGTCTTTCTCTCTTATCCCCAGGATGTGCAGGGATGACCTTATATTTATAGGCCAAAAGGTAGAGTGTTTTATTTGAAAATTTTCCACAAAATTTGCTAAATTCCCAAAATCAAGAAAATTTTGTTTCTTTTTTATATGAAAATAAATTTAAATTTATGAACTTCTAAGATTTTTACATGTGTCCATTGCTGGAACCTACATTCATTGAATTATTTCACCAAGAGCATTTGACTTCTTGACCAGTCGGATGGTGATTAGACCATCACAAATAAGTGTCTGCATTCTCCTTTCCTATCAGTTTTGATTATTGGATTAGGATTATTCCAAAAAAAAAAAATAGAGTTTTGAAAGTCAAAGGCCAAAATGATCGAGTCAAAGTCAAGTTTTTTAAATTAATTGAATGGACATGAAAATTTATTGTACATTATCTTTTGATTTCCAAACTACCCATCTTATTATTGTTGTGAAACTATGCTACTATCCTTCACCAACTTTACTAATTGACTTTTCCTTTATTTCTTTTTTCACTCTTTCAGGGAAACACAATTATACATCTCATTATCTCGCCATTGATTTTCATTTCACATCATCCTTTCCCTTTGATTTTCATTACTTTTTCTTTTTATTTTTTTTCCCTGAATGTGTTTGGTTTTTATTCAACAAATAAAACAAATAAAGTACATGAAAAAAAGACCCTAGAAATAGGACCAGCTGAACATAAATAGGAAGAATAAAAAAAAATAAAAAAATAAAAAATAAAAAATTGATGAAATTAGCAATACAAACTATAATGAATTCATCAAACTGCAATAACTTATAGTCAGCACATAGACACACTACATTAATAGGTTTTCATAATAAAATAAGACCACAGACAACAAAACAAAATACGACCAAAGTAATGAAATCAAATCAGTAAACTGTAATCAAATCAGCAAACTGTAACAAATCAGATTTTTCTCTTATTCGGCAATATTAATGGTGAGGTAGAGAGAGGCGTCGACGATAAGAATCCCTAAAAGTGATAAAGAGAGATGAAGAGAGAGAAAGGGCAGGTCAAGTAGTAAAGTTTGTGAATGGGTAGTTGGGTCATTCCGCAACAACAATGGATGGACAATTTCGGAATCAACAGATAATGTACAGTAAATGTTCATATCCAGGTTAGACATTGATAAAACTCCATTAATTTAGAAAGTATGACTTTAACCTAAGCCACATAAAGTAGGAACGGGAGACCGAACGAATTCGAGAGCAGGAGCGTAAAAATGACATAATTAAGTCATGAATAGTTAGAAATTGAGTCAGAGTGCGCGCGGAACGTGAGAGCGAGAACGCGCTCGGGACGTGAGGACAATACCCACTGAAAAAAATTATGCGATTTAAACTATAACTCCATTATTTTGGCCTTTGAGGCCCAAAACTCAATTTTTTTTGGATAAATATATTTTAATTACTTAGTGTAATTCAAATAATATTCTTGTTGGCTCAGTTGTCACACGTTTGCATTAAAATACACACGGTGGTTTCTGATTAGACTAAAGGCCCTTGATAAGGGCCTACTGGATCAAGTTTTAAGATTACAACCCAGTACCAATTTAATGAAGTCCATGGGCCATTATGAACCCAATCCACCAACACAGCAAGGGCCCACATGTAGGGGGGTTGGACCAGCTATGTTTAGGAGGTTCAGCTGTATAACCCAAACTTTAAATTCATGGTGTATCAGATTATTTTCAATAAAAAATCTTAGCATCCGATTCTCTTTCAATAAAAAAATCTTAAAGCATACTTGATTTGTAATTCTGAAAATAGTTTTTAAAAATTTTTAAAATAAATAATAATTTTTAGAGAATTATAAAAAACTATTATCTGAAAACAGACTTTTTTATAACTGAGTTTTCGGAAAACAGTTTTCAGAAAACTAAACTAATCAGAATTTTTATACAGTTTTCCGAAAACAAAAAACTGTTTCCATAGTTACAAACCAAGCAAACCCTTAGTCTCTGCATGTTTAGCTAATAACAATGCATTACGTTAGCTTCATTAAATTATCCTCCCAAAAAATAAACATTGATTCTTTACAATACGCATTTATTCTTGATTCTATACAAATAAATCGAAGATGCAACATCGTGCAACACCAACTAATGACCGTTGCAAACTCAAAACGAATATATTTGTCACGTTGCTTGAGTGTTGCAAACTCAAAGCGAATATATTTGTGAGCATTTACACCGATGTTGCATTAGTATTGCATTCTCGATTTAAAGTGAACTAGAAACAAAAAAGTATTCGGTCCCTAGTAAAACCGATTATCGTTCATTTTTTGGAATGGCCAAATGGGTTAGGTGGAACTTGTACCTCCCTTAGTTCGAAATTACAAAACCTCCTTTACTTCGGGTATGCAGCAGCTTTAATCGGGTCAAGTTTGCAACACCTTTAATTTTCGTAATTAAGTTTAGTGGACCCTAGCCCAAGTCCAGAATAATGGACCCATATCACAAAAACTTCATGCCAATAGACCTGATCCGGCCCACATAGACCACTCGGATAATTTTCTTAGATCAATTTTGAATTTGTGCATGTTCAAACAAACGTGTGTAGCCCACTTGAACTAGTTGATTGTGCATGATTTATTTTCTTTTTTTAGTCTACAGATTCTCCGTGAAATAGGAAGAAATAAAAAGTAAAAGGAAAATCAAATTGTCTATTTTCTTTACCACACATAATTTTTTAAAAAATAATTGTAATTTAAAATTTGTTATATAAAAAATGGAATTAAATATAAACTATAAGATTCATTCTTAGTTTTCTTTTTCTTCTCTCTCTTTTTATATTTCCTGAAAACCAAATAAAATAATTTCATTTATATTATTTTTTTGGACTGAGTTGCCCAAGAAAAATTTTCAAGCTCCAAAGGGATGAAACTGTCTATAAAATGGTTTGAGCGCCAATGGATAAGAATTATGTTCAACTTTGTTTGTTAAGTAAATAAGAAGAACTCAAACAAAATTTTCAAACTCATTAGGTAAAGGAGCAAGTCTGAATAACTCATGACTTAGTTTATTAGACTGGTTAACATGTTCACAATATTTATGACCAGATTTATTAAAATTCATGAACACAGACCTTTTTTATCGGAGCTTATTTGGATTTATAATAATATTTATCTTATACAAACTTGAGTAGCTCGAAATTGGCAAAAACTAGTTAAATGAGTTGAGCCGAAGGTCAACAAGAAAATAGTGTGAGACTGAGCTTGAATGCCCACATTCACGCTCGATTTGAACTTGTTTATGAAATTGAGTTTGATCGACTGATATCCAGCTCAAATGGTGGAATTTTAAGCCAACTCTGCCAGCGAGTATTATAAAAAAATAAAAAACCTTGTTTTGAAGCAACAAGTGATGTTTTTATTTAAGGTAAGAAAAATGGCTAAACCCAACGAAGATGCAAGAAAATTAATTTTTTTTTTTTTTTTTTTTTGTGGGTAGGGGGTGCCTTGAACAATTGATAATTCAAAAATTTTGTTAAAAATTTAATGAAATTATAGGTGTAAAATATGAATAAAAAAAATTCGAGGGAGGGAGAGGCTAAACCAATGGTTAGAGTCGCTACTCTATGCTTGACCTAGTGAAACACTCAATTTCTCTAAACTTCTATAGTTCCTATCTTGTTCAAATAAACATAAAAACTTAATTTCCATGCCTCAAATTTTTTGCAATTCTTCATAGCTTCTTCATACTTCAACTACAGGCCATTACACATTACTAGTTTTTCTAACCAGTATAGTACCATTGAAGTGTAGGTGCTTCATCAACCGAGAATATATTGCAGGACTCCTCTGTACTAAACAAACTCTGCTCTTCCATCTTCACAAACTGTGGCTCACACGCAGCATTCCCCGTAATCACTCTTGATTCTGAATATTGGAAGCAATTCAGTAACGATGAATGTAAAGACAAAGAAGAAGAATAATCATTTCTAAGAGTAAACGAAGCCGGTGATAGTAGTCGTTGAGCATTATTCAGATTGCCATCTTCGTTGAGAACTCCACTAGAATCACTATCCGATAACCCGTCTTTGAAATCCACCAACCCTTTAAATTTTAACAAGCCTGCATTGTTGCACACTTCTTGGTTCGGGTTGGATAATAGCTCAGGTTCACCACATGGCCTAGTAGGAGAGACCTTATAACTCTCTTCTGAAAACAGAGCTTCTCGAACAGAGTGCTCTGTTTCTGTGTTTTCCTCTCCAAGTTTCACTTTCATCTCTCTTAGCTGCAGTAAAAACAACATATACAAGACATTAATGAAACCAAAATCTACGCAGATTCAATCTAATTTCAAGTCATCAAATCGAAAACTAATTGACACACCTCTGAAATTAAAGCTTCTTTTTCTTGTTGGAGCTTAGTGTACTTGAGCCTAAGTGCTTCATAATTGGACTTGAGGAAACTGTAATCTTTCTCTAATAGCTTTGTCTTCCAACGAGCACGTCGGTTTTGGAACCAAATGGCAACTTGTCGCGGTTGGAGACCGAGTTCAGCTGCTAATTTTGCTTTCCTCTCTGGCTCAAGCTTGTTATCTACCTCGAAAATCTTCTCCAATGCCTTCACTTGAACAGAACTCAACCGCCTTTTCTTCCCGGCAATTTTTTCTTCCAGATAATCTTCTTCATCTAAACCATCCAGCATTGCCTGGAATTCCCTACTGTCGACGGCATTGTTCTTCGGATTCATCTCTGCATTGACAAACAAACAGAGAGTTAAACAAATTTTCTCAAAAATTAGAATTTCACAATCGATAGAGAGAGAAAAGAAATTGAATATCAGAGTTGTGCTAAATTAAAAGAAACCCTTTACTCAGCTGACCAAAACAAACATGTTCCATAGAATTAAACTTTCTTTTTTCCTTCTATTATTTCCTCTGTTTTCTAAGCAGCCAAACAGAGAGAATGTGCTTGAATGACAACTGAAGCATCATTAAGAAAAAAAAGGGGTTTCTTAATTTTGTAATAGAATTTCAATTTACCTTGAGATGGACAGATCAAAGCACCCAAAGAACCTGAACTACTGAACCGCTTCATAGCTGAATGTATGAGAATCAAAGTCAAGTAGACTCTGTTTTAGTATCAATGAGTAAAGGATGCCCAGAATGAAGAATTCTATACAGATGATGAAAAAGTGACCAAATGCTTTGATTGATCCAATATAACATAGTAGAGAGAGAGAGAGAGCGAGTCAGGTAGCAGTAGACTTGATACATCCTACACATTATATATATACCCTCAGGCCTTAAACTGATATAAAATATGAAGCTGTGGACTTTTCTGAATATTTATTTTTTATTTAATAAATTAAATCATAATATCTAAAACTAAACAAAAGTTACCATACAGCAAGACAATTATTGAATTTGCTCTTTTTTCTTCTTTTATTTTATTTTTTTATTTTTTGTTTTTATGGCCATCATTGTGATTTCAATTGAAGACCTTTTAAATTTCTTAGGAAGTTTGCTGCATGTTGCTGTTTGGTAGGAGCAACTTGGAATGCACTCTCTAATTGCTGATTATGACTTTGACGAATGTATATTTTATCAGCTATTTTGAATTTGTCAATTTTTATTCAATTTTCAATAATCAAGCTGGTGGATCACTCACACACCAAATTTAATACTCCAAAAATAGAAAATTCAAAACGACACTCATCTGTTGTCGGGTGTCTCATATGGTGATGAGTCTCCCAGCACAACGGGCGAATGCCCGTTGTATAAGACACCCGACAAATCAAGTGTCGAACCCTGCTATAACAACAGACAACCGAAAATCAATTATTGTCAAAATAATAATTTTTCAAAAATTTAGTCCTAATTTTCATAAGCTCAAATGACCATGAAAAACTAGGCCAAGAAGTAAAATATGATGCCATGGGTTTTCTTTTTACATTCGAATATTAGATTAAATTTTAAATTTTTTATTTATTTATTTTTAAATACGTATATCAACCTTGTAACACTTGCGCCATTTAATTTAAAACTGTAATTCAAAAGCAAGAACTGAATCCTCCACAACGTATGGCTTGAGGGGTCAAACTTTGAGCTACCAAATTCATTGATAAAGAATCCAAATTCGGACTATCAAACATTTTCCTAACAGCCAACTTTAATTAATGTATGCGAACTTATGACTGTCACAACAAATGTGTAGTAACTTCATTTTCTGACACCCTATGGATGTTTGCTAAAAGTACAGGAGGGTGAGATAGGATGAAAAGTACAAGAATCTGTAACCGTCTGATCAATGATGGATCTGATCGGATCAGAGTGTCAACAAGCTGACCTATCTATTTTCAAATTTTCACATGGGTGTGGATGGTGGGTGAGAGATCACAGCTGTCATTTTGTTATTTGTGCAGAGATAGCCTGAACCCTGCATATAGAGCCCTATCTCATCTCACATCACATGGTGTGTCAATTTTGTATGTACAACAAAAGCTTCCATGTTGTTTTCAGCTTTGTGTGCCGGTGACCAAAGCCACCTGCTTCACATGGTGTGTGCCACTGTGTGTTTTGTGTTCTAACTGGAATGGTTTCACACCCATTGGGTGCCAGTTGGAATTGTCATATATACACACATGGCCAAAACATAGGTCATGTTTGGAAGTATTATTTTTGATGTTTTGTTTTAATTCGGAACAAAGCAATTTTTTTTTATGGTCATAGGGTGTTTTAAATAATAATTAGACGCATAATGTACATTTGTTATAAGATTTTTGAAGCAAAAGTATGAAAACATTTTTGGTAAAAAAAAATTATAAGTTTGAAAAATATAATGGTTAATTTAAAAATGTTATTTAAAAATTTTGAAAAAAATTATTTTTTTTACTAATACTGTAATTTGGTATTTTAATTTTTGGTCACTATTCACGAAATGTTTCAATAATATGCAAAATAAAATAATTTTTTACGAAATATAATTTTTTCTAAGATAAAGTAGTGTCACACCTCCTGAGGTTTGGCAAAAGGACACTCAGATGAAACTTTTCGATTTTTTGGACAAAGACACCCCCTGAAGGTTCAAAAATGAACAAAAACACCCATTTACATGAAAAATTAACCAAATTACCCTTTGACATTTTAGAAAATTTTTTTAACTTTACAATTTAATAAATTGGACCAATCTACCCTCATGAATAATTTAAGCATAAAAAAAAATAATAAAAAAAAAAATTTATATTGTTTACATTTTTTTTTTTTTTAGAAATATCCTAACTTCTTAAAAATGTAGACATCTAAAATGATTTTTTGATTCAATACATATATTTCAAATAAATTATATTTTATTATTACTTCTTTTCTTTTTCTTTTTTATTTTTAAATTAAGATGCTTAATTTTTTCATCTAAAAAAATCAAACTAATCTATTTTCCTTAAAAATAAAAAATATGGTATCAGTATAACTTTATGCATGCCTTTTTTTTTTTTTTGTTCCCTTTATTTTATTTTTTTTTTCCTTTGTTTTATTATTTTTTTTCCCCTTTTATGTTGGGAAATGCATAATATTTGATTTATAATTTAAGATACATAAAGTTATACTGGTACTATATTTTTTATTTTTAAGAAAAAGAGATTGGTTTAATTTTTTTTAGATGAAAGAATTAAGCATCTTAATTTAAAAATAAAAAAGAAAAAGTAAAGAAGTAATAACAAAATATAATTTATTTGAAATATATGTATTGGATCAAAAAATTATTTTAGACATCTACATTTTTAAGAAGTTTTTTTTTTTATGCATAAATTGTTCATGAGGGTAGATTGATCTAATTTATTAAATTGTAAAGTTAAAAAAGTCCCCTAAACAATTAAAGGGTAATTTAGTCAATTTCTCATGTAAAAGAGTGTCTGTCCATTCTTAAACCTTCAAGGGTATCTTTATCCAAAAAATAAGAAAGTTTCATTTAAGTGCCATTTAGCCAAATTTCAGTAATTGTGACTGTACTTTACCTTTTTTTTTTCTTTTTTTCTTCTTTTTTTTTTTTTGTCTATTTCCCCTTATCACATCAACAATTTTGTTGATTAAAATAATACTTCACGGATTTGGATTTTATCCCATGCATAGTATGATCTTTTGTACATGCTCCCATGTGAGAATTGGTCCCCGCAAATAATATAAATCAGACTCAATATGGAGGTTTCTACCATCTATCGTGTTGTACAAGAAAGGATCCAAGTTCAATACTTCAAGTTTTAACATTCTGTCAAATTTCATTTGATTTCATAAGTGGAGCTCATTCATCATTGGACTTGTTTTTAATTTATTCAATATATCCATTGAAATGTTTTTTTTATTCTTTCTCGTAATTAAAATCATGAACTAATTTTTTTTCTAATTTTAAAACATCAATTCCATACAACCGAAGGAACATCAAGAATTTTCGTATCATCAAATGCTAACATATTATGCTAAAAAAATTTAAAATTCCAAAAATATTTAACATCACAACATATATATCCTACCAATTAAGCTACATATATGCAATCTTCAATACTACAATTCCGTCTAGATCTGGAAGGTGCAGAACGAGGTCAGGTTCAGACCAAGACCTGATTAGATTGCATGAAATCAATGTCTTGGAATTAGAAAAAATTTAGTTTCGGAATTGAAATGATCAACCAATTTTGTTCCAATTTCAAGACACCAATTTCATGCAATCAAACTAGTATAAAAAAAATTTCTTATCATCAAATGCTAGCGCATTCCGCTACAAAAAATAAATAAATAAAAAATAATCCAAGAAAATATAACATCACAACAAATTTATCTTACCAATTAAGCCACATACATGTGATCTTCAATACTACAATTCAATTCAAAGGAAGCTTAGCAGCACCAAATTAAATTGCGGAGTTTAAATAAATTAGAATATAATATACATAATGTCAAACTCAGGGACTATTTCCTACCTCATCATACAGAATTACAAAAATGTATTCAAATTGAGATTTGAGAATCGTTTGCGTTATGAATATAAAAATGAAAATGTATCACGTTGCAAAAAAATAATATGAAAATATATTTATTAAATTCCTCGTGGCAGATTCTATGCTATGAATGTCAAAAATGGGGACCATATTAAATGCTTTTTTAGCATAAAGTTCTACTATTACTTAATATTTAATTGACTACTGTATCCTTGCTTGTACAAATTAGGCACCGATTGTGACAGAGCCATACCAAACAATTGACTCACCAAAACTCGAAATTAATTTCTTTTGTTTTTTTTGCAAACTTTATAGGACTGCTGGTCATAAATTTCTGCTAATGAAATTGAAATCATTGAAACCCAAATGAAGTCTATGTTTAGCATACAAGAACAGGAAAGAAATAGAAATAATGTAGGAACAACGAATTATGTGTGCGCTATTTCATTTTATTATTTGATTACCGACATGGGTTGCTGCATAGAAAAGAATGATCGTTCCAAACAGTATTCGATCCGATCAATTTGAATGTAAAAACTGAATGAAATTCAAATTCAATTCTATAAAACATCTGGCATTCGTAAAAAATAAAGTGAAGTTCCAACGTTCGAGTTGTGTCAATTGCTATCAGTATCAGACCCAATATCTTGGTCGAACCGAATTCTATGGAGAGCTCGAACCGGTGGTGGAATGCTCTCGCAAGTGGTCAATGGTGGTGTAAACAATGGAAAGAAAATGAAACTAAATCAAGTATTCTTATTTTATCCCAATTCATCGTGCCAAAGAAGAGAAAGTTCTCAATATACTATTAATATCGTGCTAGCAGTAATATCAATAGATTTTAGCTTTTCAAATAAATAAAACACATCTATTTCAGTGTGTTCTATCATTAAGCGTCGAAATTTAATCAATTTCAGTGTATCCTATCATTAAGCGTTGGAATTTAATCAGTCGATACGATAGAGAGGATAGCCTCATGCAAGTAACCATGAGGAGACCCTAGCCTATATATATAGAAGCGCAAAGTCGGTGATTAACAAAACAAAAGATATATGTGACACATAGCCTATGGGCTCTCTTTGATATGCAAATCTAATAAGAGGGAGACAATTTGTAGGTGTGTGTATATATATATATATGTATAATGTCAATTGAGAAGGTAATGCCAGCTTCTAAGCAATAGAAGTCCAAATCTCATTGAGGTTGATTGATAATATGACATTTGTTTATTTGGACGGCCATCACATGGCTCTAGTTTAAAATTTTACCTCGAAAAGTAAAGCCAGATTCTAGGACGTGCATAGGACCTTGCTAGTTTTCAGTAAATCTACCTATTAATATTTTTCAACATATTAAATCCAGAATTAATGTGTTGAAAAATAAAATTAATGTGTTAGCCATCATTGAGAGGATGCTAAAACAGAGAAATGGCTGCATTTGACTTCTTCTTGTCTCAATTGTGATGGAAAATAAAATATAATCACATTTTCAACATTTCAACGATGTAGCAGGAAAGAGACTCATATAATAAATAGGAGATCAAGAGAAAGGCATATATGCACATGCAAAACAACATCAACAGAGAGATGGTACCATAGGTAGGAAAGACAACTTTATTATATGTCAATTCACTTAAATTTTTGAAAGAAACAAGTTTTAGTATATGTTTTCATTTCAAATTTCTTGAGTGCTCTTCAAACCATTGGTTGAAATTTGAGGAAACAGGAATATTTTTTTGACTTTGTAGTGTTTTTCCATCTAATCATGGAAAATAATTGAGAGAGGAGTTGAGGTAGATTGGAGGAGAAGTGTGTCCTAAAAAGTTTGTGTAGGACCAACCCAAAAAAAGTGTTATTGACACGGGTGCCATTTCTGTTGTCAAAAAGTAACACACAGACATAAACTTTGAGACTTGAGACTCAATAATTTTTCCTTTTATCAGTCTCATTTGAATTGAAGGGTTTCAAATGAAAGGAGGATAACAAATATATAGTTTGATGGATTTGAAATGATTCAAATAAATAAACACTATATTCAATTGATTATAAGAAAATATTTCTCTTAAACCCCTATTTTAAACATCAATCCTCTTGGTGCTTTGAAATCCAACTTCATTGCTCAACCTTTCATATCAACTCAAATTCCTTGAATCTAACTCCATTTATTTATCTAAAATGAACCCTAAAAGAATTTTAAAATTGGAAGAAATGGAATGAGGAGGAGATGAAAATGCTATCCTAATACCATAAAAGAAATGAAACTTTGAAAGGAATCAATGGTAGCAAAAATGTTAAAAAGGTAAATGAACTCTTTCTCTTTTGTCCCTTCACTTCTTCTCTCCATCCAAACATTGAATAGTCTATCCAACTCTTCTGTTCTCTTTTCTTCTCCCCCTTTTACTCTTCCTTCCTACCAATTTCATTTATTTGGAAGGAAAGAAGAAGGTCAGAGTTGCAATATACATAATCTCTCACCATTCACTAGTACTTTGTTTCCTATAAATGCTGGAAATTTGAAAGAAATGAAAAGATAGGACAAGTAGAAGTGACATACTAAAAAGAAAGGGACAATTCTGCTTTAGTTGTTTGATCAATTAGGACTTGGAATTTAGGAGGTTCAAAGTAAGGAAGAGAATTAATATGGAGTGATTTGATCTTTATACATCTAAGCTAAGCAATAAAAAGATCAAATTTCAAAAGCGACAACAAAGTCAAAAAGAAGAGGAAGATGCTCCTTTCTTTTTTCCCCAGTTCATGCAGAAGCCGAAAAGTATTGAGGAAGGAGAGCTACTCCTTAAAAGGTAATATTATATTATAAACACACACACACACACACATATATGCATCAAAATTTTGTGAATTGAGGTACCTTGTTCCTGTGAAGCTCTCCTGATCTGCTACAACAATATAAAAACAAACAGCAAATGATCAGTAGAAACAAATTTATATTCCATTGTGCATGCATGCATCATAACACTTCATGACAGAAAGCTAATAATGCTAGATATCCATCCCGTAAAAGGAGTATCACATGGTTATCTAAACGATTATCTAAAATTGTATTAGTAAACAATAACCCTATAGCTATGTTTGGGAGCAACAAATAAACACAGGATAAGTATTTTAGACAATAATCCAATGTACCTGTCAGATAAATAATTAACTAAGAGAGAGTTAAAATCACAAAATCCTCCTATTTTGGCAGCAGTCTGCTAATAAATTTGTGTCAAAAAAAGACCTCAACTATTGAAAATCATGTCAAAACACTACCCTACCGTTAGTTTGACGATAAAAACAAACTGCAGATGATCTCCAATTTTGGCAGCAGTCTGTCCAAAAATGTGAATCCAACATACAAAGTAATCAAAAAAGCCATCTACACCTTTTTCCAGCTGAACATTTACAAAAGCATGAAATGTAAGTGAGCGCGTATCTTAATAACAAACATTGATATTGATTCGATTCAGGTTTAACCAAAACAGTTCATAGCCCAATGTACTTCCAATGATATGTATAAATATATAAACATGATTACACTAGAAACTGATATCATGGAAGACTAGAAAGAAATAATGCAATCAATGTCAATAAAACGGGAGATAAAACAACAACAATCCTCATCTCCAAAGATTTGTCCCCAGTACTCCTGATTGAATGATGATTTAGAAAAACTATACAACAATTAGTGTTGAAAACATTCTCCTAAAAATGTGAGCCACGAACATTTAAAATATGAAGAGATTGGCGGGCCCTACAGGCCGATAACTAAATAATAACAATAATAATAATAATAATAAGACGCATTCCTTTGTATATATTTTTAGGTTTCATCTTGTAAATTTCCAATATATTGGAGGAAGTAACCCATAAATGCTCTCTAATAACTAACCTCAGCAATTGTAGGTCAAACAGTCAGATTGTAACTTTAATTTTTTATTTTATTTTAAATAATAAAGGAAACAAGGGTCATTTTGTATTGATGTTTTAACGGTTCTGTCAAAAACTGGACTGAAGTGATCATTTTTCGTAGTTAAAGGGCTGATATAACCTCGCAGGGGGTTAATATGAGAAACATGTATAGTATAGGGGGGGTTTTGTGGTTTTAACCCTAGAGAAAAGGAGGACAATTTTAAAGAAACAGGAAAGAAAAAATCAGACACCATCTAAACTCTATGTTTTATCCTACCATTTATGGTATTTCATACGTTTACACCTGTAATTAAAATAAATTTTCTATTACAAGACACTGTTTATCCACAACTTTAAATGACAGAATAGGATAGCGGGTGGTAAACTATAGAAATAACCAGTATCTAGATAGAAAAATGTAAAACAAAGATACTTAGCAAATTGAAATCTTATAAAAGATTAAGAAGGAACACAAAAGTTAAACAAAAAAAAAAAAAAAAAGCAAATTGAAACACTTTTAATGGATAATCTCTGACATCTCAGTTTCTGCAACTTCAGCAGGTGCTTTTCCACTTGCCAGGCACCACCAACACTGCGGACTATTTTTCGACCTGGAACCATGAAGAACAATTAATAAAAACATGCCATATCTAAACATTCACGTTTCATTCTGTATATAAATATATGAACAATTGTGAACATTGAAAGAGTGTCACTAATACATAATGTGCCACTAATCATTGCGGCGTTTCTACGCAACTGCATAATATATCAATTTTGATGCTCAACACAAGAGCATCCCCCACAGTATGATAAAGAATCACCACCATTGGAATAATAATATTTCAATTGGAAAAGGAAGTGATTTTTTAGCTTCCAAAAATCCATAATTCTTTACAAATTAATACACTTTAATATGTCCAACAGCTGGTGCAAGAAAGAAAAAGAAAAAACCCAAACTGTTTCAATTAGCTTCCTCATCTCAATTAAAACAAAATTTAACACACTGCTTGCTTCTTCAACATCAACAACAGTATGTTTCTTACAAAACCCCAAGCTTGTCTTGAGCTCCAGTCCAAGTGCATCAGCCAACAACTGTTCATTTCTCGTGTGTGCATGTGTGCTATTGTGCCACGAGAGAGAGACAGAAACAGAGAGATATGCTGCAAAAATCAGAATTACTTAACACACAATTAAATTGTTAATGGAATGAGAATTATTCAATCAATTAACCTGTGAACAGCTGCTATGATTTCTTTCTTCTCTTATCAGTCGGGCTGAACTCCCAATATCACAATCTAAAAACTTGAACAAAAAAAGAAACAAATGATATCCATTAGATGGTGTCACAAAAAATCATTCATTCGGAATGACTACATCCATTAGATGCAATGTAGTGGGACCACCCATGTAATGTAAATCTACCAAATTTGGTGAGCCTGTCGCTGCTCTTTAATAACTAATAATAAATGCACAAGAAATAAAAATTTAGTACCGATTATTGGAACAAGAGCTCATGTTTCACTGCTCTTTAAATAATAAATGCACAAGATTAATATGGATGTATTAAGTCCCTCTCTCTGGTAGGTTGGGGATGCAGAGTAATTTCTTTGGCAAAAGGCCCTAAAAGCCAAATGGAGGTTGTAGGAATAGTATAGTGACGAATTCCTAAAGCCATATGGGTTGTAGATAGAGTAAGTTCAATGACTTCATGGAATTTAATTCGAAAGTGAATTTGAGATTCTCATATTTGTTAAAAGTTCTCATTTTGATGGAAATGGGCTTGAAAATATATTTCACTGAAAACCAAATCCAAGGCAAAAAAGACTTGGATTCAAACCTAATAGATCGAATCAAAATCCATTAACCGAAGGCAATGTTCTTTTGAAATTGTTAAAAGGACTTGTCATGAGTTCTAAACAATGCCTTGAATTAGGACTGCAACTTCTATTCACCAAGAAAAAAAAATTTGCAAACATTTTGTTCATCATAAAATTAGGATTGCAGGACAGATCAATAGACTCAAGTTGCTTCAATCTGTTAAGATTGGATTAGATAATTTAGCTGCTCAGTCCACTGTACTGTGTGTGCGTGTGACACGAGATGTGCTGCAAAAATATAACTACTTTGACACACGACTGAGGTATCATTTGCAGAGTATTCAATCAATTAACCTGTGTTTGTGACACAAGATAGGGATGTGCTGCAAAAACAAAAATTACTTTCAGAAAATTGAGCTGGTATAACTGGAATGAGTATTCAATCAATTAACCTGTAAACAGCTGCTAAAAATTATTTCTTCTCCATCAGTCAAAAAAGACTGAAACCCCCACCATATCACAATTCAAAACAGAATTGAAACTTAAAAAATGTACCAAAAACAAAAAACAAGTAGCACAGATGGAAACATATGGTGCTTTTGAAGAACTTCTGGAACTAAATTCACACACATTTAAAGACTAGTACCTTATCATTTTCGAAGTTAAAAAAAAAAGGGCTTTTCAATTTAAACATTTAAATGAGCAATACACTTCAAAACATTATATGGGTTTGTCAGATTCATAAAGATCTACGCAGAAAACATAAAAAGGGTCTCTTCCATATTGCTATTAAATGTAGAAACAAACTTAACATCAAAATAACATAAATCACGCCCTGCAGAAAAATAAAAAGGGTCTCTTTCATATTGCTATTAAATGCAGAAACAAACTTAACATCAAAATAACATAAATCACACCCTGAAAACTGAAAATATCAACAATAAATATGGAAATTTAAGCAATTACTATTTAAGAGGAAAAATTGATGGAAAAAAAAAAAGGAAGAAGAAGAAAACTGCAATTGAGAGGAGGAATAGACAAACCATGAAGAAAAAAAAAAAAAAAAAAATCTTTCAAAGTTTCTGGGCAAACTTACCCAGCTGTGCAAGTGTTTATAGCCCTCAGTCACGTCCAAGCCAATAATGAGAGCTTAACCAAGGCCAACAAATCTCTAAATCACATTGCCATGTAGATACATGAATTGCAATATCTTCACCTGCAGGTGATTCCCGATCAGGCACTTAGAAACCAAATACAATAGTAGCATCAAGGAACAACAGGTTTGTTGTCCCAGATCTCTCTTGGTTCAAGTAAATCGGGGCAATAGCGCTTCGATAGAATTTCAACTTGTTCAGCAAACGAATTATTCCCAGGTTGACCTATGTGACGGACCATTTGGTTCCAACGCTTTCGACATACATCTCCAGATCTATGGTCAATAAGATTGTCCCAATCCACATCTTCCATGCAGCATTCATCCAAGCTATAAAGTGCAGTAAGCAGGCGATAGTCATCAGCATCAGCCCATTCACCTTCAGCCACCATAGGTGATGTTAATTGGCGGTACCATTTCATAAAGCAAGTTCCACTGGAACGAGTGGACAACTTATCACTAATAGCACCCCAACAGATATTATCCCTCAACATGCCGTGCTTGGAGTACTTTTTCTCAAAAACCTTCATTCGCAGATCCATATTCACTAAATTAAATAAATTCTGGCACTCCTCTTGGGACCAACGTCCTTTCTTCATGCTAGATAGCTTTATTCTGCGCCAAGTATCCTTCACGTGAAATCTATGTTTGCCAAGCTCGTCAGCCAACATCTTCCAATCTGGCCCATGTACTTCATGGAACTTTTTGATAATTTCATACTCTTCAGGCGTCCATCCACGCTTCTCATCCCTTTCAAACAATATATGAGCACGGTAGTATATGCTCAGATAAGGCCTATGAGGAAGGGCAGCCCCTATTTCCTTCCAACAATTTTTAATTTGGGGATAAGCCTTGCAGTGCAGAACCATGTCCAAACCTTCTTCGCCCAAGTTATTCACCTTTATGTAGTTATATACAGCCTCTTTAATCATCTCATCTTCTTCTAGTGAGAACCGCTTGCCTCGAACTAAATTATCTTCCTGTTCTTTTGTCTTCAACGCAAATGGATCATCAGACAATGGGAAGATCTCTACATGATCAGAAAACCTAACTTTCTTAGATTTTCCTTCTGATTTAGGATCTTTGGAACTACTTTCAACTGTATCAGGCTGCTTCTTTTTCCTCTTCTCTTTGTTGACATTTTTCATCTCTTTGTCGACTATCTTATTCCTACTTGAATTAGTATTACCTTCACTGTAAACAAAATCTTTATCTTCAACAGTAGTCCTTTCATTATTATGTTCCTTAGCCACGATTTCTTGAAATCCAGCACGCAAGTCATCCTTATCCAGTTTCTTCTTTCTCTTTCTCTTCTTCTTTTCAACCTTCTCCACAATATCCTCGTTAATGTCCTCCCTCGCTTTTTCAACCTCTTTTCTATCTGTGATTTTCTTGTGTTCTTTTAGATCGCCATCCTCCATGTCCCTTCTCCTTTTGTTCCTCTTTCTAGCCCCTTGTTCTCCATTCTTCATTTCAGTGACATCTTCCTTCTCAAAGCTGTTCTGCCGATTAACCACATCAACTTTTCTCATATCATTGTCCTCGAGGATTTCCATTGAAGACAAAACTGTATCACTCTCACCTTTCTTTCTGTCCTCCTTGCACCTCTTCTTCTCATCTTTTCTAGATTTCAACAAATTTTCATGTCCTGGATCCTTGCCACCATTTGTCTGCACTCTTCTATCCTCCTCACCTTCCATGTGACAAACATTATTTGAAGTATCATTATCTTCAGCAGCTTTAAATTTTGGCGGCTTCTTTTTCTTCCTCCTATCCTTCTCCTGTTGACGAGTGTTATCCACTTCTGCCCAATACTTTACATTGACAGCTTCATCAGAAGTCCCATCAATTTGAACATCATTCCAAACCTCTTCTTTCTTCTTATCCTTCCTTCTCCTATCTTCTTTGCTCGATTTGACATTACCCTCCACCTTACTAGGCACTACATCATTCTTCATTTCAGTGACATCTTCCTTCTCAAAGCTGTTCTGCCGATTAACCACATCAACTTTTCTCATATCATTGTCCTCAAGGATTTCCATTGAAGACAAAACAGTATCACTCTCACCTTTCTTTCTGTCCTTCCTGCACCTCTTCTTCTCGTCTTTTCTAGATTTTAAGAAATTTTCATGTCCTGAATCCTTGCCACCATTTGTCTGCACTCTTCTATTCTCCTCTCCTTCCATGTGAGACACATTATTTGAAGTATCATTATCTTCAGCAGCTTCCAATTTTGGCGGCTTCTTTTTCTTCGACCTATCCTTCTCTTGTTGATGAGTGTTATCCACTTCTGCACAATACTTTACATTGACAGCTTCATCAGAAGTCCCATCAATTTGAACATCATTCCAAACCTCTTCTTTCTTCTTATCCTTCCTTCTCCTATCTTCTTTGCTCGATTTGACATTAGCCTCCACCTTACTAGGCACTACATCTAAGCAGTTAACTGCCTCTTCCAAACTATTGGCTACATTCTTCTTGTTTTTCTTAGACTTCTTCCCAATATTACCGGGCGAGGTCTCCTCTTTTTCCACTCTCTTGCTCATGTTTTTAATATCTCTGTCAGGCTTCTCCACTAGTTATGCTGCAAATGAGAAGAATTCAAAAAAATAATCAGAAGGTCAATGGTTGAGTAGTCCTTTCAAACAATCACAGCACTCATAGGCAAAGACAAGTATTTTAACCATTTGCATTCACATTATTCACAGTAAAATGAAAGATTATCTCAAAATTATCCCCTAAACCTCATATTGGCACCAGGCAAGAAGTTCAACAACAACAACAAGAAAAACAAACACTTTTCCACATTACTTGGGATTGGCTACATAAATTCTATATTTCCAGTCCGCTCTATTTAATGCCATAGCCTCAGTCAAATCACATGCCAGGCACTGGGCAAGAAGTTAATCTATGAAAAGTATGGTAATAACTATCTTGGAAACAAAAAAGGGTATTTGTCTAATTTAATTTACTTAAGTTGCCCGAAAACATACAAACTAACAACCACAAATTCAAAATTAGTGCCAATACGATGATGATGACAATTCAGTGAAGTAAATTCCAAGTGAATAAAAATGATTCGTGCAATCGAAACAACATGGTTTAAATATTTTAGACAGGTAAATAATTATTCATAAATTCAAGCATAAGAACCTGTGTGTGTGTGTGTGTGGATAAGCATACAAAGAAACATAAAGAAAACATATAGAGATATTCTGATGAAGGCAGTTGAATCACCTTGTTGTATGCGAACAAGCTAAGCACACCTCACCGAGTCACTGATTAGGGTTTGGAGATTGATCTTCTCTTTTTTAGGTGTTGGCACTAATCGGCCAGGTTGCAAAGGATTCAGCAGGTTGGGTCAAGTTCTAAATGGAAGGGGCTGTGACACTCAACGTTCGACCCGAATAAATTTATGGTAAGGTTCGAGACTATGTGCAAGTGTGCAACTCTAATCTGATGAGACAAGTTAGAATTCTCAATTACACAGTTGGATACTGTTTCACCAATATTGCAAATAATAATGCCTTGGAATGTAGATTAAGTTTTGGTTAATTCAGACATTTAAACAAACACATTCTGTCCCTTTGTTGCGAAAAATTGGTTGTTGGATTGGGAAGAAAATGTCAGATACAGGAAAACATGAATGATCGTGGTCTTTGAGCAATTGAAGAACTAAACTGAATTGGCGAGCTAAAATAGATGTGGAAAATGTTGAGTGGGACTAAGAAACTAGGGTTTGAATATTGTTAGTGGAGATCTGAGAGAAACGAAGGGGTTAAGTTTTAATTGCAGAATTGAATTATAACAGAGGGACCTACTATTTCATTGTTACTCCGGTCTGTTTGTTCGATTTAAGCTTGTAATAAGAATCTCGAAATATCTATCACATTGTTCGGTTTGAACCGATTTAGGAGTATTTTGGAACCAAACCAGTCCTAATGTGGAACCGAACCAGTAGAACATGGAACCAGTTTGTTTTGGTTCAGTTCAGTTTGGTTCCAGGGTTCTAGCCGTGAATACAATCCTTACAAAAATCAAGCAATATATAACATGATTATGTATGAATTTCAACAAGAATCAAACACGCCAACAGAGATTTGGAAATCGAGCACAAATCCATATTAAAAATTTATAATCAAACACACTAACAAGGAATCAAATTGAAGAAATAAAACGAACTTAGCGAGTCAATTGTACAACGAAAATCTTACCTGCATATATCCGTCGTCGTTGTAGGTTGCTGGACAACGAAGATGGTGGCTGTGTAAGACAAGCAAAGGCAGTGGAGGCCGAGAGAAACAGAGGCGATGGAGGCACAGAGAGAGATCGACACAGACCAAGCTTGAGATTGTTGAAGCTCTGTCTCTCCGACCAAATTCTCGCACAAAGCTCTGCCTCCCTGGCCAAATTCTCGCACCAATATATCCGAATATTATATTCGACCCAAGAATAACTTCATCAATAAAACACTATTAGTCAGTTTTAACCCCCAGAAACTCCAGGGTCGAGTGGTGCGGAGTTGCTGAACTTGCCGAACTTGTTCTGGAATGACGGCGACGATGCCGGAGAGAGATTAGAACTTTTGTGCCTCCGATGGCGAGAGCTTTACAGAAAAGTCTGGAAAGTGTGAATGATAGATTAGATTTACACTGCTTCTGATTTGGGAGATAAATCTGGTAGATATATATGCAACGATCGGTTAAGTTTTCAATTAGGGTGTTTGTCATAATGATTAAAAAAATTATGAAATTATCTTTTATTATTATTATTTTTTTTCCTAACTTATCTTTTGATTAAGAGACGTGAATAGAAACTGTCATAGTAATGTTCTTATGATCGGTAGTGATGTATTGTTAATTTTATTAATTAGACGTGTAACAAATACAGTTAATTTTTTTTTACAAAAATGTGAAAGAAGTACAGTGTATATGATAGTTAAAAACGCTCGTAACATTTCAAAACTATTCAAATAAAATATCACAAATTACCCATCACATAGGTCCATCTTTATTTTTTTGTCACAATTAAAAAAAATAAAAAGATAACTTTGCTCTTAATTTTTTAATCATATTTATTCCTAAATGTCAAGTTTCTTAAATTACCATTATTACCTTTATTAAACCCACCTATCACCACCACTCGTACTTCCATCAATACATGGATATGGCGAAAAGATAACACACACATATATAACATAAAATATTAGGATATTTTAGTCTTTTATATAATTATTTAAGTTAAAGAGTTATTTTGACAAAATCAAAGAATATTTAAGTCATTTTACATTGAGTCAGAACTATACAAATAACGGTTGGGATGTGAGTGAAAAACGGAGCAAACGTTTGTAAAATGAGTAATATTTATTTTCGAAAGATAGTTGAAGGTGATATTTGATCAAACCTAAGGAGGTGTTAGTGAAATTAACCCTTTTATTTAATAGAGGAAAAAAAAAAATGAGTGAGTCAATTTATTGTCCATATCAGGTACTAAAATATTTATTAACTGTGTTTTTTTTATACATAAATGAACCTATTACAACTAAAAGAGCATAACTCAGATTTTTGAGTTAAGCTGATCCAAAGAAACTAACTTACTTAGAGCATCTGCACCAGCCTTTTCGAATTTTGGCTCTAAAAAAATGTCACTTCAACTTTTTCAAGAGTCACATCAGTAATTTCAAAAGTCACGTCAGCAGCTTTCGCTCTCCAAAAATATGCACTCCATCAGGCTATCCGGATTTTCGCTCTAAAAAAAATAATAATTTAACTTTTTCCAAACAGTTATATTTTTCATCTTATATAATGAATACTAATTTGCTCATCTGAAAAATCAGCATTACATTCATCTCTCTCCATTGTGGCAAAATATCATTATCTATCTTTTTCAATTTTTAAAACTAATGGCTTTGTCATCACAAGCATTTCCTTTGGCAAACTCTAATTCTTCATCTTTCTCAACATGCTCTTCGAAAAATGACTCTATTGCCGCGTTGATTCAACAGGATCAAGACAAATTCTATTAGATTATGAATTTTGTGAGGCCAGAGATAGTTGAGCAAGTATTTCAAGTCTGTAATTAGAAATGGTGCATTCATCGTGACCGAGAAGGAAGCCATTATCAGCTAATAAAAGATTACTTCGACGAGAATTGCACATATCTACCGAAGTACTTTCACATGCGATTCAGGATGCGACGAGAACTTTTTCTTCGTATCCTTAATGATGTCAAGGCTTATGATGACTACTTTGTCCAAAAAATGGATGCGACTAGTTGTCTGGGGGTGTCTTCTATACAGAAAATGACAACTGTTGTTCGTATACTCGCATATGGTTGTGCAGCCAATCACTATAATGAGTATATTAAAATCATTGAGAGCACTGCCATTAAATGCTTGAAGGCATTTTGTAATGCTATTGCTGCTGTGTATGCAGAGGAGTATTTACGCCCACCCAACGAAGCTGACACAGCATGGCTGCTTCAAGAAGGGGTGTAGAGAAGATTCCCAAGTATGCTTGGTTCTATCGACTGTATACAGTGGGAGTGGAAGAATTGCCCAATGGAGTGTCACGGCACACACACGGGACGCTCCAGTAAGAATACTTTCATATTGGAAGTAATTGCCTCACAAGATTTATGGATCTGGCATGCATTTTTTGGAATGCCGGGTTCACACAATGATATAAATGTGTTGGATCATTCCCCGATATTCAACGGTATCGTCAATGGCCAATTACCTCCGGTTAATTATATGGTGAATAGACATCACTATAGAATGGGTATTACCTGTCTGATGGTATATACCTTAAGTGGGCAACTTTGATATAGACCATCCCACACCCAACCACTGGAAAAGAAAATTTGTTTGTTCAGCGACAAGAGGCATGCAAGAAAGATGTGGAACGGGCTTTTGGGGTATTGTAGATCAAGTGGACAATAACGTAACGACCAATGCGTTACTGGGAGAAAGGTGACTTACGCCTCATAATGAAAACATGTGTCATTCTTCACAATATAATCATTGAAGATAAGCGTCGCACAAATGCTGGAAGATGGACTCCGCCACTAGAGGAGGCAATCCCGATTCTCACTTTTAAGTCAATGCTCATCGGTTTTAACAACACACATATTCTCTTGCCAACTTTAAATTCGCAACAAAAAGATAAATACGCGGTTGAGGAATGATTTGATGAAAAATTTGTGGAAAACTTTAAATTCGCAACAGAGAGATAAATACGCAGCTGAGGAATGATTTGATGAAAAATTTGTGGAACAGCTATGGTGCTATGGTGATGAAGACGTTTAATTTATGTTGCATTTTGTTTGTTTTTAAGATGTTATGACATTTTGTGTATTAAAACTTTTATTATGTAATGGTTTTTTATGTAAATTATTAAAAAAGTTAGGATTGATATTATAACTTTAAACAATACATTATCCATTATAGATTTTAAAAATAAAAAAAATTAAACAAAAAATTAAAAATAACTTAAACAATACAATATCCTGAATTGGAATAAAAAAATAAATAGACTAAGGATTACAAAATACTATGGGAATAAGAAAATGAATTTTTTTTTTTGACAAAAGAGCAAAAAACTCCCTGAACTATAGAATTATTGCAAAATGCCCCCCCGAACTATTTTTGAGAGCAACTCAACCCCTCAACTATACAAATGCGGCATATTGCCCCCTTATAACTCACCGGAGTGTACTTTCCGGCGGTTTGAAAGACACAATTACTAAACAGCCCCTCACTTACTGATTAATTATTAAGATAATTAAATATCGGATTTGTAAAATATCTATTATACCTTCCGTTAATTAAGTTAACAATTTTACCCAAATCTGACTTTGAGAATGAAAGAGAACAGGAGGGTTTCGTTTCATTTTGTGAGGCTAGGGTTTCGTTTCACTTTGTTTGTGTGTATCATCTTTTATCTCTTCTATTGTGGGTGTTTCAAATTCGTATTTTAAGATTCCATCTTGCATCACGACTGTGAGTTCACTTCAATCGCATCTTTTATCTCTTCTATTGTGGGTGTTTCAAATTCGTATTTTAAGATTCCATCTTGCATCACGACTGTGAGTTCACTTCAATCGCATTGGATACCTTTGCTCCAGATCCGAAAGTATATGTTGTATAACAATCTTGTATGCCTTTTACTTTAATGTTTCTTGATGTTATTTTGATTTGTTTTGATTGGATTTAATAATAAAATATTTCAAACTTTTATCTGCGACTTTTTATGCTGTCTCTTTGTCATGCTCACTTGGTTTTACTTCTTGTCTTGAAACTTTTTTTTTTTTTTTTTTTTGTCAATATCCACAATCTTCTTCTTATTGTGGCAGTTGTTTCTAAAATATTATCTTAAATTTTGTTTCTTTGCAAGTTTTGTGCACTTTGGTTGAAGTACGTGCTATAAATATTTGCCGAAAAGAAGAAGAAAAAAAGATGAGGAATAATCTGTATGATCAAATACTTTTGGAGGATAGGATACAACCTATTTATAAAAAGCTCTTAAACAACTTTTTATACAAAGTCAATGACAATTATACAACCTGAATTAATTTTAAGAGTTCTTACCTACCACAAAAAAATAAGGAAACTAATTAAAAATACAAACAAATAGTCAATACACAAAATAAGGAAACTAATTCCCAACTTGCTTATTAAATCTTCAAAGAGTATTGTTGTAACTCTTTTTGTGAGTATATCAACCAATTATTGATGAGTTGTTACGAACGGAGTAGTAATCTATGCACTTCCAATTTTCTTTTTGATGAAGTGTCTGTCCACTTCGACATGCTTAGTGCGGTCATGTTGAACGGTGTTGTGAGTTATACTGATTACAGCTTTATTATCACAAAACACTTTTATAGAAGATGTAGATTTTAGTTTAAGTTCTTTTAACAACTTATGTATCCATAGAATCTCACAAATTCCCATAGTCATAGCTCTATATTCTGCTTCTACACTCGACCTATCAACTACATTTTGCTTCTTACTCTTCCAAGTAACCAGATTGCCTCCTACGAAAGTAGGATAACCTGTTGTAGATCTCCTATCTGTGATTGAACCAGCCCAATTGGCAACTGTGTAAACTTCCACTAGGAGATGTTCAGATTTTTTAAATAGAAGTCATATGCTTGGTGTAGTCTTTAGATACCTCAGACTTCTTTGAACAGCTTCCATATGACACTCCAAGGGAGAGTGCATAAATTGACTTAAACCTCTACAACATAGGCAATGTCTGGTCTTGTGTGGGATAGATAAATCAATTTCCCGACAAGCCTTTGATTTCCCCTTGTCAACTGGATTTTCTTCACTGTTAAGTCCCAATGCTTCCTAAAGATCTCATTTCCTTAACCAAGTCAAGAATGTATTTTCTCTAAGAAACAAGCATACCATCCTTTGACCTTGCTACTTCCATACCTAGGAAATATTTGAGATTTCCTAAGTCCTTAATTTCAAATTATTTTGCAAGTTGAGTTTTCATATCTTTAATTTCTGCGACGTTGTCCCCAGTCACAATAATATCATCAACGTAGACAATGAGTACTATAATCTTCTGATGGGAGAATGCTTGAAGAATAACGTATGATCTCCTTGACTCCGTAAGAACTAAGAAGCAACACTAAATGTGAAACTTTGAGAATCTTTCGAAGCAAGCTCTAGGAGACTGCTTGATTCTTTACAAATTAATACACTTTAATATGTCCAACAGCTGGTGCAAGAAAGAAAAAGAAAAAAACCGAACTGTTTCAATTCGCTTCTTGATCTCAATTAAAACAAAATTTAACACACTGCTTGCTTCTTCAACATCAACAACAGTATGTTTCTTACAAAACCCCAAGCTTGTCTTGAGCTCCAGTCCAAGTGCATCAGCCAACAACTGTTCATTTCTCGTGTGTGCATGTGTGCTATTGTGACACGAGAGAGAGAGGGAGAGAGAGATATGCTGCAAAAATCAAAATTACTTAACACACAATTCAGGTGTTAATAGAATGAGAATTATTCAATCAATTAACCTGTGAACATCTGCTATGATTTCTTTCTTCTCTTATCAGTCAGAGGCTGAACTCCCAATATCACAATCTAAAAATGAATTGAAATCTAAAAACTTAAACAAAAAAAGAAACAAGTGATATCCATTAGATAGTGTCACAAAAAATCATTCATTCGGAATGACTATATGCAATGTAGTGGGACCCACCTATGTAAATCTACCGAATTTTGTGAGCCTAACGCTGCTCTTTAATAACTAATAATAAATGCACAAGAAATGAAAATTTAGTACCGATCATTGGAACAAGAGCTAATGTTTCACTGCTCTTTAAATAATAAATGCGCAAGATTAATCTGGATGTATTAAGTCCCTCTCTCTCTGGTAGGTTGGGGATGCTAGGAATAGAATAGTGACGAGAGTTCCTAAAGCCAAATGGGTTGTAGATAGAGTAGGCTCATTGACTTCATGGAATTTAAGTCAAAAGTGAATTTGAGATTCTCATATTTGTTAAAAGTTCTCATTTTGATGGAAATGGGCTTGAAAATATATATCACTGAAGACCAAATCCAAGGCAAAAAAGACTTGGATTCAAAAGTAATAGATCAAATCAAAATCCATTAACCCAAGGCAATGTTCTAAACAATGCCTTGAATTAGGACTGCAACTTCTATTCACCAAGAAAAATAATTTTGCAAACATTTTGTTCATCATAAAATTAGGATTGCAGCTGGGGCATGATAGATCAATAACCTAGACTCAAGTTGCTTCAGTCTGTTACGATTGGATTAGATATTTTAGCTGCTCAGTCCACTGGACTCTGTGTGAGATGTGCTGCTGCAAAAATATAACTACTTTCACACACAATTGAGGTAATCATTTGAAGAGTAATCAATCAATTAACCTGTGTTTGAGTGTGTGTTTGTGACACTAGATGGGGATGTGCTGCAAAAACAAAAATTACTTCCAGAAAATTGAGCTGGTATAACTGGACTGAGTATTCAATCAATTAACCTGTAAACAGCTGCTAAAAATTATTTATTCTCCATCAGTCAAAAAGGACTGAAACCCCCACCATATCACAATTCAAAACAGAGTTGAAACTTAAAAATTTGGACCAAAAACAAAAAACAAGTAGCACAAATGGAAACATATGGTGCTTTTGAAGAACTTCTGGAACTAAATTCACACACATTTAAAGACTACTACCTTAACATTTTCGAAGTTAAAAAAAAGAAAAAAGAAAAAAGACAAAAAAAAAAGGCTTTTCAATTTAAAAATTTAAATGAGCAATACACTTCAAAACATTATATGGGTTTGTCAGATTCATAAAGATCCACGCAGAAAAATAAAAAGGATCTCTTTCATATTGCTATTAAATGCAGAAACAAACTTAACATCAAAATAACATAAATCACGCCCTGAAATCTGAAAATATCAACAATAAATATGGAAATTTAAGCAATTACTATTTAAGAAGGAAAAATTGATGGAAAAAAAAGAAGAAAATTGCAATTGAGAGGAGAAATCGACAAACCATGTAAAACAAAAAAAAGAAAAAAAAACACCCACTAACCAGAACTTCCAAAGTTTCTGGGCAAACTTACCCAGCTGTGCAAGTGTTTATAGCCCTCAGTCACGTCCAAGCCAATTATGAGAGCTTAACCAAGGCCACCAAATCTCTAAATCACAATGCCATGTAGATACATGAATTGCTATATCTTCACCAGCAAGTGATTCCCAATAAGGTACTTAGCAACCAAATACAATAGTAGCATCAAGGAAGGACAGGCTTGTTGTCCCAGATCTCTCTTGGTTCAAGTAAATCAGGGCAATAGCGCTTTGATAGAATTTCAACTTGTTCAGCAAACAAATTATTCCCAGGTTGACCTATCTGACGGACCATTTGGTTCCAACGCTTTCGACATACATCTCCAGATCTATGGTCAATAAGATTGTCCCAATCCACATCTTCCATGCAGCATTCATCCAAGCTATAAAGTGCAGTAAGCAGGCGATAGTCATCAGCATCAGCCCATTCACCTTCAGCCACCATAGGTGATGTTAATTGGCAGTACCATTTCTTACAGCAAGTTTGATTGGAACGAGTGGACAACTTATCACTAATAGCACTCCAACAGATATTATCCCTCAACATGCCGTGTTTGGAGTACTTTTCCTCAAAAACCTTCATTCGCAGATCCATATTCACTAAATTAAATAAATTCTGGCACTCCTCTTGGGACCAACGTCCTTTCTTCATGCTAGATAGCTTTATTCTGCGCCAAGTATCCTTCACGTGAAATCTATGTTTGCCAAGCTCGTCAGCCAACGTCTTCCAATCTGGCCCATGTACTTCATGGAACTTTTTGATAATTTCATACTCTTCAGGCGTCCATCCACGCTTCTCATCCCTTTCAAACAATATATGAGCACGGTAGTATATGCTCACATAAGGCCTATGAGGAAGGGCAGCCCCTATTTCCTTCCAACAATTTTTAATTTGGGGATAATCCTTGCAGTGCAGAACCATGTCCAAACCTTCTTCGCCCAAGTTATTCACCTTTATGTAGTTATATACAGCCTCTTTAACCATCTCATCTTCTTCTAGTGAGAACCGCTTGCCTCGAACTAAATTATCTTCCTGTTCTTTTGTGTTCAACGTAAATGGATCATCAGACAATGGGAAGACCTCTACATGATCAGAAAACCTAACTTTCTTAGATTTTCCTTCTGATTTAGGATCTTTGGAACTACTTTCAACTGTATCAGGCAGCTTCTTTTTCCTCTTCTCTTTGTTGACATTTTTCATCTCTTTGTCGACCATCTTATTCCTACTTGAATTAGTATTACCTTCACTGTAAACAAAATCTTTATCTTCAACAGTAGTCCTTTCATTATTATGTTCCTTAGCCACAATTTCTTGAAATCCAGCACTCAAGTCATCCTCATCCAGTTTCTTCTTTCTCTTTCTCTTCTTCTTTTCAACCTTCTCCACAATATCCTCGTTAAAGTCCTCCCTCACTTTTTCAACCTCTTTTCCATCTGTGATTTTCTTGTGTTCTTTTAGATCACCATCCTCCATGTCCCTTCTCCTTTTGTTCCTCTTTCTAGCCCTTCGTTCTCTATTCTTCATTTCAGCGACATCTTCCTTCTCAAAGCTGTTCTGCCGATTAACCACATCAACTTTTCTCATATCATTGTCCTCAAGGATTTCCATTGAAGACAAAACTGTATCATTCTCACCTTTCTTTCTGTCCTCCTCGCACCTCTTCTTCTCATCTTTTCTGGATTTCAACAAATTTTCATGTCCTGAATCCTTGCCACCATTTGACTGCACTCTTCGATTCTCCTCTCCTTCCATGTGACAAACATTATTTGAAGTATCATTATCTTCAGCAGCATTAAATTTTGGCGGCTTCTTTTTCTTCCTCCTATCCTTATCATGTTGATGAGTGTTATCCACTTCTGCATAATACTTTACATTGACAGCTTCATCAGAAGTCCCATCAATTTGAACATCATTCCAAACCTCTTCTTTCTTCTTATCCTTCCTTCTCCTATCTTCTTTGCTTGATTTGACGTTACCCTCCTCCTTACTAGGCACTACATCATTCTTCATTTCAGTGACATCTTCCTTCTCAAAGCTGTTCTGCCGATTAACCGCATCAACTTTTCTCATATTATTGTCCTCAAGGATTTCCATTGAAGACAAAACAGTATCACTCTCACCTTTCTTTCTAACCTTCTTGCACCTCTTCTTCTCGTCTTTTCTATCTTTCAACAAATTTTCATGTCCTGAATCCTTGCCACCATTTGTCTGCACTCTTCTATTCTCCTCTCCTTCCATGTGAGACACATTATTTGAAGTATCATTATCTTCAGCAGCTTCCAATTTTGGCGGCTTCTTTTTCTTCCTCCTATCCTTCTCCTGTTGACGAGTGTTATCCACTTTTGCACAATACTTTACATTGACAGCTTCATCAGAAGTCCCATCAATTTGAACATCATTCCAAACCTCTTCTTTCTTCTTATCCTTCCTTCTCCTATCTTCTTTGCTCGATTTAACATTAGCCTCCACCTTACTAGGCACTACATCTATGCAGTCAACTGCCTCTTCCAAACTATTGGCTACATTCTTCTTGTTTTTCTTAGACTTCTTCCCAATATTACCGGGCGAGGTCTCCTCTTTTTCCACTCTCGTGCCCATGTGGTTAATATCTCTGTCAGGCTTCTCCACTAGTTATGCTGCAAAATGAGAAGAATTCAAAGAAATAATCAGACGGTCAACGGCTGAGTAGTCCTTTCAAACAATCACAGCACTCATAGGCAAAGTCAAGTATTTTAACCATGTGAAACTAGGCATTCACTTTATTCACAGTAGAATGAAATGTTATCTCAAAATTATCCCCTAAACCTCATATTGGCACCAGGCAAGAAGTTCAACAACAACAACAAAAACAAACACTTTGTCACACTACTTGGGATCAGCTACATAAATTCTATATTTCCAGTCAGCTCCATTTAATGTCATAGCCTCAATCAAATCACATGCTAGGCAATGGGCAAGAAGTTAATCTATGAAAAGTATAGTAATAACTATCTTGGAAACAAAAAGGGTATTTGTCTAATTTAATTTACTTAAGTCGGCCGAAAATATATAAACTAACAACCACAAATTCAAAATTAGTGCCAATACGATGATGATGACAATTTAGTGAAGTAAATTCCAAGTGAATACAAATGATTCGTGCAATCGAAACAACATGGTATAAATATTTTAGACAGGTAAATAATTAATCATAACTTCATAAATTCAAGCATAAGAACCCGTGTGTGTGTGTGTGTGGATAAGCATACAAAGAAACATAAAGAAAACATATAGAGATATTCTGATGAAGGCAGTTAAATCACCTTGTTGTATGCGAACAAGCTAAGCACACCTCACCGAGTCACTGATTAGGGTTTGGAGATTGATCTTCTCTTTTTTAGGTGTTGGCACTAATCAGCCAGGTTGCAAAGGATTGAGCAGGTTGGGTCAAGTTCTAAATGGAAGGGGCTGTGACACTCAAAGTTCGACCCAAATAAATTTATGGTTATGTTCGAGACTATGTCCAACTCCAATCTGATGAGACAAGCTAGAATTCTCAATTACACAGTTGGATACTATTTCACCAATATTGAGAACAATATTGTATTGGAATGTACATTAGTTTTGATTAATTCAAACATTTAAACAAACACATTCTGTTCCTTTGTTGTGAAAAATTGATTGTTGGATCGGAAAGAAAGTGTCAGATACAGGAAATCATGAATGATCGCAGTCTTTGAGCACTTGAAAACTTACCTGAATTGGCAAGCTAAAATAGATGTGGAAATTGTTGAGTGGGACCAAGAAATTAGGGTTTGAACATTGTTAGTGGAGATGAATTATAACAGTGAGACCCACTTTTTTCATTGTTACTCCGGTCTGGTTGTTCGTTTTAAGCTTGTAATAAGAACTTCAAGAAGCACGAGTTATCACACGGTTCGGTTTGGACTGATTTAGGAGTATTTTGGAACCAAACTAGTCCTAATGGAACCAGTTTGTTTTGGTTCAGTTCAATTTGGTTCCAGGGTTCTAGCCGTGAATGCTATCCTTACAAAAATCAATCAATATATAACATGTTTATGTATGAATTTCAATAAGAATCAAACACACCAACAAAGATTTGGAAATTAAACGCAAATCCATATTAAAAATTTATAATCACCAATTTATTTCTGAACGATTCACCACTCAGTACCCTATCTCTTATTTTGACCAATTTACTAATCCTATTTGAGAATCTACCAGTGGAAGCAGAGTGTGAGGTAGTTCATGGCAAGCCCCTTCCAACACTACGGAATTCACTCAAAAGCATGCTTTTTGTAAGTATTTTAATTGTCAAGAAGTAACTTTAGAGCTTTACCCTATATTAAGTACTTTTGCTTGTCAAACTTCTTGTTATGATTATTTTTTTTAGTTCTGAAAAGATTTCCATCTTCAAAAAGCTTGGCATGTTGATAAAAATAGTTCCAGATTCAATCTCTGCAGATTTCCAATGCAATCCAATTCAGATTTTTTTTTCTCTTTTTTAATGTCCAGATTCAAATTTTCTTGTAGACATAATTGACAACAACAACAAAAAAAAAAAAAAAAAACAGAAATAAAAGTTACAGAAATTAAAATATATATATATTTGTTTTGCTGAAATAAAATGTAGATTACGGTGATCAATGCAAATTTTGTTACTTTATCTTGTTAAAAAAAAAATTATATAAAAAAGATCATACAAATGTCACCAAATAGGATTTAGTTTGCAAAACAAGAATTCCAGACCTTGATTAGTTGATTTAGAAAAAAAAAATTAAAACAAAACCCATACATACAAGTTAGCAGTTGCAGAGAGAGAGGAGGGCAAGCTTGAGAGTTGAGAGACAGCGGCTGAAGCTTGCGAACGGCGAACCCGAACTGGAACAGCGGGCGATGGAAACTGAAAGATATGGGTTTTGATTTTTTGAACAATCTGAAATGATATGCCGATATGGGTTTTGAACTTTTGATTCTTGCAGACAGATAGATAAACTGAAATATATGGGTTTTCAACTTCTGATTCTTGTAGATTTTGTAGTTTGCAGCTGCAGAGAGGGAGAGAGAGAGGGCAAGTTCAGAGTTGAGAACGAGAATAGAGATAGATGAAGGCGATTGGGGTTTGCCCTAAAAATTTTATTTCTTTGTTTTTTTTCTGGTGGCCCATCATCCATGGGCCTATAAATTTTGAGGCCCTAGCCTAGTACCCGCCTTTGTCGCCTTGGGTCAGGGCCAGCCTGGGCTTATTTAGGTTGGGCCTTTTTTTAGTACGGTGGGCCGGTGGCAGAATTGACTTGGACTTGATTGGGTGGGCTAATTTTGGGGTGGGTTAAAACTATTAATACATTTTTTTTATTTTTGGGCTGGACTAAAATTAGTATAGTAAATTTTTTTTTTTTTTTTTTTGGGGTGGGCTATTTTGTAGTCCCTATTTTTATTGTGAAAATAGCAATGCAAAACAAAATTAAATAAAAAATAGTATTTTACCAAAAAAAAAAAAACAGTTTAATGTTACAAGCAAAAATCGGTTAAGTTTTCAATTAGGGTGTTTGTCGTGATTAAAAAAATTATGAAATTATCTTTTAATTTTTTTTTTCATAGATGTGAATGTAAACTGTCATAATAATGCTCTTATAATTGGCAGTTATGTATTGATAAGTCTTATACAGTTTTATTGGATTAGACATGTGTAACAAATACAATTATTTTTTTTTTATAGAAGAATATGAAAGAAGTATATGATGATTAAAAACGCTCCTAACATTTTAAAATCATTCAAATAATATCAATAACCCGTCAATGTGGAGTAATAACATGGCTCAAATGCTTTTATTTAATAGAGAAAAAAAAGAGTGAGTCAATTTATTGTTCATTTATTTATCTTTACTTTTCCCACTTATGTCAGCAACCAAATGAACCATAATGATCTTACTATTTTTGAACCCATTAGGACTAAAAGAGCATAACTTATATTTTTGTTTTAAGACGAACCAAAGATACTGACCTATTTAGAGTATCTCTATCCAAATCTTCAAAATTTATATCTCAAATATATTTAGGGTATGATGTGATAAATTGACATATAAAACTTTGGCAAATCCATGTATAAAAGAATTCCATCTAATGTGTTAAATTTATTAATTTATTAATATTTTTTCCTTTAATTAAATAACGAACAAAAAGTTTTAATCATACGTGGTATCCATATATTTAAATAATAGGAACAATTCATTTGTCATATCAAAAAAGTTGTATGCTAAATTTGACATATATGGTTTTCTCGTAAAAATTCCACATATTTATAGAAAAATATAAAGTACAATATTTATGCACAATGATTCAAATATATAAACAATAATACCAATAAATAATCAAGTAGCAATTTTTTTATTAAACTCAATAATACATCAATTGGATAATATGGATATAATGATGAATAAGAACTTAACATGATAAATAAATCAACAATAATATAATAATAGAAATTATGAATGAAAATAACAATAATAAAAAAGGTAAGAAAGAGTTGGCTTGATTATTGAGGCATATGTAAACACATTGATTTAAAGCTGATAGTTCTCTTCTTTGTGCGGGTATTGACGAAATTAGTCAGCTCCAAGATACAACTCAATCAGATCGCAAAGGCGTCTCCTCCATGTGCACGACCCCGGGAAGACTAGGTTCAAGTTTCTACAAGTCTTGTTACTCACAAACTCAATAGGTAAAAATACTCTTTGAGGAATGAAAAATGGATTGGTGATAGTTCAAAATAGGCTCACAGCCTTGTACACGAAAGTATCACTCTCTGCAAAATTACCATACATCAAATCTCCCTATGATACTTTATATACGAAGTGTGTATATATATAGAGATTAAAGATATAACGTTTAAGATATATAATGATAGAAATAATGTATGAAATAATATCCCTTATAAGTATCATTTAACTCATGTAATAATAATCATCATTATAAATATAATAAATAATTATATTAATTACTATTTATATTTTTATTAAAATATTCATAACAATAAATTCAATGCTCAACTTAAGAATTGAAGATTCAAGTGAAAATGCTCTTGTGAGTTATGATCTTGTTACTGTATCGCGTAAACATATTCTTATTGTCCAATTATTACTAGGATCAAAGATACAATTAAATAGTATCCAAAAAAATCTGAAAGGGCTATAATCAATCAATTCACATCACAGGTTCAAACAAATAAATTGATAAAGAATAAAGATAAATGAGATATATTCCAGTAGATTAGTATTACTGTTTTTACATATCCATATGTATCAAATCCAATATATCATTATTGGCAAGAGATGCCTCAACAAAATTTTAGGAGTACAATGTAAAGCCAAAATGAAAATTTTAAAATTTACAATACAAATAAACTAAAGTGTTAAAAAACATGACATCATAATTAATTGTGTGGTTATTAATCACAATTTATATTTTGGATCTTGAACTTCGTGATCATTACTAGTTAGTAAAACATTAATGTATATTTGGCATAAATAATGTATAATCATAAATACCTTGATTCGTATGTACAGAGATGTTGAAATATCGAATGAACAAGGGTTAAGTGCACTAAACCCCCTTGAACTTTTTTTTCTTTTTCAAAAAATCCCTTTGAACTATCAAAGAGACACTTAACCCCCTAAACTATCACCGTTGTGGCAAAAATTCCAAAATCGTTAACTTACCGTCTCATATTTAACCATGTGCCTGGGTCAAAATTTAAAATTTCATATATACCCTTATGACTATTAGACCATATATATATACACACACACACCTATGCCTTATATATATATATTTGAACGAAAATTCCCAAATTGAAGAAACCATAAAAATCATTCTTAGTAAAGAATTGTGAGAACCATATTGAAGAAACCCCAAATTGAACCATATTGATTCTCTCTCTCTTTCTCAATCTTCAGCTCGCTATCACTCTCTTTCTGCATCTTCATTTTCGTTTGCGGGAACCATATTTAGTTTTTGTGTACATGTTTTCAGCTCATTTGCATCATATTCTCTTTCTTCCCGTTGATGCAATCAAACCCATAACTACACTGTTGACCCGATCTCATTAAATCTACTGATTGGAATGTCGACAGAGACAATCCCTTTCTGAGCAGAGTGTTCTTTTTTTTAGCACTCTTCGAAGTAACAGAGTTATCTTCTCTACCACCTCAATGCCTTATCCTTTTAAAAATTCAAGCCCCTCACCAACATAGTGTTCCTCTGTTTTTTGTCATTCTTTGGTCAACAAACCAATCACAAGATGATGGATAAATATATAGTTACATATATGTAGAAAATTGAAAATCCCTAGTTGATGACAAGAACTCCCTATGGATTTTATAGTGTTTTTTTTCTCTCTCTGGGGTCTTTCGCTTAACCTCCACCTCTGCCACTCCGCAACCACCATTCAACCATCAATTTGGGTTAGAAAAATTGAAATCCTCATGTGATAATTCCTTCATGAGTGAAACAATAAAATATAAAGAGAAAAAAATGAATGGATAAAATCGATCATGACAGGAAAAGAGAGAATTAGGGAAGAGTTGGTTACGACTTAATCCTCTTTGCAACTTAGCAAGGAACAGTTTGATATATATATATATATATATATATATATATATATATATATATATATATATTGGCAACTAGAGATAGATATAACTGAAAATATCATATACTTTCTTTGTATTATGATAAGGTGATAATGTGTTGTCATTTTTTAATTGGTCAGTTGGATTGTTGTACCACGTCAGCATATCAAGTTGAAAAATGAAAGAAAAATTGTAGTTCAACTTAAGGGCAAAAAGGTAAATTACTTTTTATATTAATGGTTGGTTAACGGATTGTCCCAGAGTGCAACAATCATATAGTTTAGGGGGTTATTTTTAGTTAAGGGGGGTTTATTGCAATCAGATCATAGTTCAGGGGGGTTTAGTGCACTTAACCCAATGAATAATAATCACCTCTTTGATTAATCAAGAAGACCTAGAAGATGATTTCTCTTCCTTAATCCCTTCTACACACTTTACTCACTTATGTGTTGTATCTATAATGTGTATAAATGATGGCAATTATACACTTCTATTAGAATGGGGTAGAGAGAGGACCGATGCTTCTGCTATTTATAAGCAACTCAACTACTGACCATCAAGTAGAATAATTACAAATTGGATGATCAATCACAGATATTATTCATCGCTTTCGGTGTAAAGAAATCATAAGTTAATAAAAGATCATAAAGCAAAGGAATCAATAAGATGGAAACAATAGGAAATATACTGAATGGAAGACAAACCAAAATAGAAAAGCAAAGGAATCAACAAGATGGAAATAATAGGAAATATACTGAATGGAAGACAAATCAAAATGGGATATGTCATAAAGCAAAAGAATCAATAAGATAGCTTCAATGGAAGACAACCCAAAATGGGTAATGTCGGAGGATTAAACAAATATGTGGTGAGTCATTATTCTTAATATAGTGAGTCATTATTCTTACATTCTTCCACTTGACCCATCATACTTATTTGTTTCATAATTTGAATGGCATGAAGCCTATTTTTGATTCATCATAAATATCATTGATAAGTAACTTATTAACGCGAGTCATGGCAGTTGTATATCAGTAAATGTCATACTTCCTTTCATGTAGTACAACATTAATGATTTACTTAATATGATCGATAATTGAGAAGATTACTTAAAGGTCCAACAATAATGTCTTGTAAAGTCTTCCTGATATCATACATGTTAACCATTAATAAAACAAAAGAATATCATAAACACATTTAATGAGTGCAAAATGTCATATGTGAGTATAAGCAACCAGCTGCATATAATAATAGTCATGGACTACATTCAAGACCCATCATTTCAGCATGCTTTTTGAATATATTGGGTGATAGTCCCTTTGTTAACAGATCCGTAATCATGAGTTGTGTGCTTATGTGCTCAATAGACACTCGTTGTTTCTGAATTTATTCTTTAACGGATAGGTATTTTAAATCCATGTGCTTAATACCTTTATAATACCTATCATTTTTAGAAAAGAAGACAATTGCGGTATTATCACAATAAATTTTCAACGGCCTTGAAATAGACTCTATAATTCCAAGCCCTAAAATAAAAATTCCACAACCATAAACTGATAAACCTTGATTTGTAGCCTCAAAGCATGCGACAAATTCAACCTCTATAGTAGACGAAGCAATAATAGACTGTTTTACACTTTTCTATGATATTGCTTCTACAGCTAAAAGAAACATATAACCAAAAGTGAATTTTCTACTATCCACACGTTCAGCAAAATCTGAGTCTGAATAACCAATAACATCTAAATGACCAGACCTTTTAAATGTGAGCATATAATCTTTTATCCCTTGTAAGTATCTCAAAACCTTCTTTGCAGCTTTCCAATGATCTATTCCTAGATTGTTTTGATATCTGCCTAGCATTCTGACTACGAAACTAATATCAAGTCTTATACAAACCTGTGCATACATCAAACTTCCTACAACAGATGCATAAGAAATCATTTGCATATCTTTACGTTCCAAATCATTCTTTGGGCATTGATTTAGACTAAGTTTATCCCCTTTATGTATTAGACCAATACTATCTGAACAACTTTGCATACCAAATCTCTCTAAAACTCTTTCAATATATGTCTTCTGAGATAATCCTAACAATCCACATGATCGATTCCTATCACGTAAGATGCCTCATCTATATCTTTCATTTCAAAGTTCTTTGAGAGATAATTCTTAGCTTCACATAATAAACCAAGATCACTGCTAGCAAGCAAAATATCATCAATATATAGAATCAAAAATATAAACTTACTCCCACTAATCTTCTGGTATATACACCGATCAACAGTGATTTTCTTAAAACCAAAAGTAGTAATGGTATTGTTGAACTTAATATACCATTGTCGGGAGGCTTGTTTAAGTCCATATGTTGATTTCTTAAGTTTACAGACCATGTGTTCATTTCCTTCTAATGTGAAACCTTCAGGTTGATCCATGTAGACTTCTTCTTCTAAACTCCCATTTAAAAAAGCAGTTTTCACATCCATTTGATGTAACTCTAAATCATAATGAGTTACTAATGCCATAATGATTTTAAAATTATCCTTCTTAGATATAGGAGAGAAGGTTTCTTTATAATTAATGTCTTCTTGCTGAGTAAAACTTTTGGCCACAAGTTTGGTTTTATATTGTTCAATATTGCCATTCGAGTCAAGTTTAGTCTTAAAGACCTATTTACACCCGACTTGATTATATCCTTCAGGCAATTCAACGAGTTCCCAAACTTCATTTTGCTTCATTGATTTTAGTTCTTCATTCATGGTATTAATCCATTTAATAGAATCATTACTGTGAATAGCTTGTAAATATGTAACCGGATCTTTATACATTCCTATAAATAATGTATAATCATAAATACCTTGATCCATATGTGCGGAGATGTTGAAATATCGAATGAACAATAATCACCACTTTGATTAATCAATAAGATCTAGAAGATAGTTTCTCTCCCTTAATCACTTCTACACACTTTACTCACTTATGTGTTGTATCTATAATGTGTATAAATGATGACAATTATACACTTATATAGAATAGGGTAGAGAAAGGACCGATGCTTCTGCTATTTATAGGCAACTCAACTACTGACCATCAAGTAGAAGAATTGCAAATTGGCTGATCAATTATAGCTATCATTCATAGCTTTCAGTGTAAAGAAATCATAAGTTAATAAAAGATCATAAAGTAAAGGAATCAATAAGATGGAAACAATAGGAAATATATTGAATAGAAAACAAACCGAAATGGGAAATGTCATAAAGCAAAAGAATCAATGCGATAACTTCAATGGAAGACAAACCAAAATGGGTAATGTCGGAGGATTAAACAAATATGTGGTGGGTCATTATTCTTAATATGGTGAGTCATTATTCTTACAGAAAGTTCTTATCTCTAACTATCCGTTTACTTTTAAATATTTTCAAGCCAAATCTTTCTAAGCGTACCATTCTTGGCAAAAAATGCCCTTGCAAGCATTTCATGCTGCACCAAATAGTTAAATGTTGTGGCAAGGATTGCCTCGTCAAAACTGTTTGTCTTCATCACCTCTTCATACAATTTGTTAACATCTAACTGCTCCCCAATCAACTTACTAAGGGCATGTTTGGCAATCACAGTCGCTCTGTGCTTTTCCTTTGATTTGAAGCAGAAACAATATTTCTACTTTAAAGTGTGTTCAACACTATTTCGAAACTTGTTTGATAACGTAAATTTGTTACAAAATATTTGGAAGCAAAAATATGAAAGTATGTTTAGTAAAAAGTATTGCAAGTTTGAAAATTTGAATGGCTAGTTAAATTTTTTTTTTTAACAATGGTTTGTTGCAGTGCGGAAGCAAAAAAAAAATATATATACATGTATATATATATATATATATATATATATATTATTTTGATACATCTGATTTTGGCCTCAATTTTAGAAGCGTTTCGATACTATTCAAATGATATCAAATTTTACCAAACATGCTTCGTGCTTTTGCTTCGCCACAGTACACTAACAAAAGCAAAAAATTCAAAGCAAAAATATTAGCCAAAGCACTTCCAAAATTGAACAAGCCCTTAGTAAGTTGATTGGGGAAAAAACACAAAGCTATGCCACGTCAGACTCTTAATTAAGAAAAAAATATATATATATTGTTGGCTAACATACTTCTCTATCCCACAATATCTCGATTCTCACTCCTAAGGATTTCCTCTTTCTCTGTAATAGTTCTACCATCTTCCTCGATTATTCCTTTGTCTTCAATTCTAGTGTGCTCTCTTTCTTTCTTCAATTTTACATTTTCCATTCACATATTTATGCCCTAAACTTCTTTTTGAATATAATATTTTAAGTTATAGTCCCTAATTTGGATTTTCACGAGTACATTTCTAATTTTTTGTGGTTATTTCATGAACATAATTTTTGTGAATATTTAATTTTTTGAATTCATTTCTTTCAAAGTAGCTTCAGTGATTTTTGTGATAGTTTTGATTCTCTTCCCAATTCCTTACTCTCTTCCTTTCTACCATCTTCCTTATCTTTCCATTATATTCTCTCTCTCAATTCATGCTCTCTCTCGTTCTTTAAAATTATAAGTCACCATTTTCGAGGCTCTAATCTGGGCATGTTTCTAAATTTTTGTAGGTATTCTGAATTGTGGTGGTTAATTCACGAAAAGATTTTTTGTGGGTGTTATTATGGAAGATGAAATCACAAAGGGAGTAATTAGATGATGCGAAGAGATTATGTATTTGGCATTCCCATTACGCTTGTTCCCATGAGATTCATCAATTATAAGTTAATTAAACTCCTTGAAACCAATTTGCAATCCTTTTTTATATTTGACTTTGCAAACTAGCATAAACAACTACTCTGATTCCTCCCTTCGATTTCGGGAAATCGAATAATAAGTCTCGGAATCAAGGATAAACAAATACTCTGATTTCTCTCTTCGATTTTGAGAAATAAAAGAATAAGTCTCGGAATCAATGATAGGCAAGACCCGAAAAGGATAAAAATGAAGAAAGAGATTAGAGATGGAAAATTGCGTGATCATAACTTTCAAGTTTCATAATATATATATATATATATATATATATATATATATATATAACCACATTAGATTTGGAAGCAAATTGGATGTTTTTAGTTGGACGCCCTATCACGACTAGACTTACGATGTATGACATTTGACTATGAGACACGTGTGTGAGTCTCACCACAGTAGCTCATACTCACGTTTCTCAATCCGAAGATAAGTTCATAATTTTTCTAATCATTATGATAAACATCGTAGTTAAAAACTTAGCCTACCCTCCTCCTCCTTCTTCTTTATTTATTTTTGGCAATACCACACTTAGGTAGAGTTGGGAGACATAAATTACAAAATGGTCTATTTTATTAATTTATTTTTCAATTTTATTGAATTAGACAAAATAATTACATATGTATCGAGAACAATTCTTCAAGTCGAACATGCCCCCTAAGCTCTAATTCAAAATATCAAATTTAGGAAACATCAGTCATATTTATCCATCTTTATAGCGGGTTTCAAAATAACTCGATTTTGAGATAATTTTAAGATATTTGAATCCAGAGTCTTGAAGCATATCACCTTTTTTTTTTTTAATTATTATTTTTAACTCAATTTGCTACATATCTCTTTGGAACAACACCACCTTCACAACATGATTCCTATTAAAATTCCTAAAAATATGTAGCCCCAAACACATTACGGGGGATGATAAGCAACAAATTTTTTTACTAGAATCAATTCAATCAAAATAAAAAATAAAATTTTAAAATAGAATACTGTAGTAACTGTACTTTGTTATTCAAAATTCTAACTCTACTGTAGTTTTTTTTTTTTTTTTTTTTTTGGGTTAAAATATAACTACTAATTTTAATTATATTTATTTATTTTTGTTTGTACTGTTATTTTTCACAATAAAAATAGAAGAACTTCCTAGTGGGTCAGCTCCGTTAAAATTTGGGTGGGTCTGGCTTATTCCCGACCGAGCACAGGAGCCCATTATTAAAACCACCATAGCAGCTTTGCTCGTCCTTCGTAATATTTGTCCGGCTCTTCGAAATTGTTATTACAAAGCTTTAACACGAGCAACGACCACACCGAAGCAGAAATGAAAATATAGTGGGTCCCACTGTTAGAATTCAATTCTGCTTCAATGAAAACTCAACGCCTTCGTTCCTCTCAGATCTCCACCAGCAATGTTCAAACCCTAGTTTCTTGATCCCACTCAACATTTTCCACATCCATTATACCTCTCCAATTCAGGTGAGTTTTTTCTAGTGCTCAAAGACTGCGATCAATCATGTTTTCCTGCATCTCACATTTCTTTCCGATCCAACAATCAATTTTCCCGAGAAAGGAACAGAATTTGTTTGTTTAAATGCTTGAATTAACCAAAGCTTTATGTACATTCCAATAGAAGATTATCCAGAATACTCGTGAAATGGGATTCAACTGTGTGTAATTGAGAATTCTAACTTGTCTCATCAGATTGGAGTTGTTTATATTGAATTGTTGCAATTGCTTTACTTTTGCAGGGACTAGGGATTATATAGTACCGTACTGAGTGATTTAGTAAGATGCAGCGTACTCCGTCAACAGTTGAGGAGCAGTTGATAGTGAAAGCAATTAAGGAAGAATGCTCTTGGGAGAGTCTCCCTAAGAGGCTTCAAGCGACTTTGAATTCTAAAGAAGAATGGCATAGAAGGTTAGTTTTCTCTTATTAGATGTGGTACTGGAAAATGTAATCATAAGATAGAAGGTTAGTTCTGATGCTATTTACTTTGAACTTGTTGAAGCTGAAGTGATATGACTTTTGCTCAAGTTTTGATTCTAGAATAGTGGAAGTGGCTGCTTGCATCAATACTGTTGAGCTTATAAATCAGATATGAAAACATGATATCATTAACCATGAAGACTAAGCATTACTCATGGGTTTGACCTCTGATTTTTCACCCAAATTTATGCCTATTAATTAATACTGTTATTTTTTTGTTTAGAATTTTCAGATCTTTCTTAGTATTGAAAGAAATTAAGTACATAGAAGCTAGATCCACCCCACAAGACATATAGCGATACAGAACACACTTCCAATTGTAAAAAATTGACGGTCTCATTCAGCTTATGTCACAGACTCACAGGGAAATTTTATTATGGGAATATCAACAAAACCGTTATCCATTAAAAATATCAGTATGTAACACCAAATCAAAATTGAGAATAGTAGGGCGAGTACCTTATAACAAAAAGAAAAAGAATAGTAGGGCGAGTACTTCCTAAAAGTTAAAGCTTGGTTCAAAATAACTTATGAAGGAAGTACATAGCCTAATACTGCCTAAGTGCCTGGTTACCTATAAAAATGAGGCTAGATGCCTAAGACTATGTTTTCATTCAGTCCTATTCCTCTTAGTAGTCCTGGGATGGCCTATGCCATTATTTTGTAGATTTGGTTTCACGCATTGACGAATAACTTACTCCGAAAGAGTTCTAATGCCAAATAAACTGTATATATGATAATTGATTTTGGATTTATAGGTGAAGGCACTGCATGAGATTCATTTGCTTGGTTGTTTCATGTTATGTACAGGAGTCATGCATGCCTATCGGGTAAAAGAAACACTATTAATGGAATTCCCTTAGGAAATTTGATAAATCAAGGTTATTATTGACGAAAAATGGTTTTCGTAGTTGATAAGCAAATGCTTTTTCTAACATTTGAATCCATTCCTTGGTGTCAATTTTTGCTAGCTGGCTAAAGGCTACAATAGAGAATGGAAACACAAGTTCTTTAAGGTTTTGGACTACCTTGACAAGTATATATATAGATGTAATAGACAGTTTAATTTTTGAAAACCTGTATGATTGAAAGCCAGGTGTGACAGTCACCTAATTTTTAGTTGATCTGATTATCATTAAACTTACTGTGCTCGTATTTCATTTGAACAAGCTCTCTTATGATATTACATTTTCTTATACTCACCATTCTTTATGCAGGATAATTGAACATTGCATAAAGAAAAGGCTCCAATGGAACACTTGTTTTGCTCGCAAAGTATGCAAAGAAGGTGAATATTATGAAGACATGATGCGTTATTTACGGAAAAATTTAGCGGTGCGTATAACAGATAAAAACTCTTTCCTTTTCCTATTCACTATCCATAATTCATATTGCTACAGTCTAATGAGTTTTTTTAATGTTAATTATGAAATTGTGCACTAAAAGCTTTGTGGGACTTGATGTTCCCACATACATTGTCCTTCCTGTTGTCTTTTACTTCTTGAAAAAAAAGTGGCTGCGTATATTTCTCTGGAAAATATTGAACTTTTGGAAGAAATGATTGCATGATGTCAATCATGTCCAGGTAGGCCTTTTGATTGCCTTCCATGTGATCTCTATTGGTATACTTTCTTCTTCCCCCCCCCCCCCAAAAAAAAAAAAAAAAATTTGTTGGTATACTTTCTAAGAGTCCATGTTAGAAAACATTCGTGCACAAAACTTCCCTTTAATTTCACTGTTCCTATTATACATTATAAAATTAATAGATTCTGTTGTTGTATTCTATTCTTCTATCTTATAATTCATTTAACTTTATTAAATATATATATTCATTTTTTGCAGCTGTTTCCCTATCAACTTGCAGAGTATATTTGCCGTGTGATGAGGGTTTCGCCTTTCAAATATTATTGCGATATGATATTTGAAGTCATGAAAAATGGTACTTGGTTATTATTATTATTTTTTTGTGATGAATATTGGACATGGTTTAACATGCCATCTTTATGATAGCTGTCCTTGAGCCAAATTTTGCTTATGGCTTGGATGTTTGTTTTAAATTACCCTGATGGAAGCTATATTTGCGGATATAATCTCTTAAAGGATTTGTGTGCAAAACGTTTGAAACACAGTACTAGATGTTTTGCTGCACATTTTCTAGGACAAGGTTGTTGAACCATTATTCAAGCACTGATTGTTTGGAAAAGAGAACTGCGCATTTGAATCATGATTACCTGTTTAATATCTTTAGGTGTTAGTATTTATTCAGTTTTTAATTCTTTTTAAATCAGAGGAAAACCAGGACTGAGTTATATTTCTATATTCCTGATACTCTAGCCTAAATGTGGCATGATCTGTGCCTGGTGGCGTATGCCTGTTGCTTTTTGTTAACAACCATCTACTCCAAAAGTTTAAGCTTTTAGAGAGGGTGTAACTTAAATATATAAATCCTTCAACACGCCCCCTCACGTGTGGCCTTCTTTTGGTCCAACACGTGTTTTTCAATTAATTTTTTTAATTAGGGTGACGGTGAGGTTTGAACTTGGCTCTGATACCGTGTTAACAACCATCTACTCCAAAAGTTTAAGCTTTTAGAGAGGGTGTAACTTAAATATATAAATCCTTCAACACTTTTCAACATAAACTTTGAGCACATAAATGACTAACTGATACATTTGACCGAAATTAGACTTTTTTTGTCTTCCTTGTACATGTGACTGAAATTAGACTTTTTTGTCTTCCTTATTTTGCTACCATCTCCTTAAGCTGAATTCTTGTGCTTGGATTCTACATTTGTATCATTAATCAAGTGTCCAAATCACCTTCTTTGTTTCATAGCTTACTTTTGTTTAGCTATATCTGTTTTTTTGTTAATCATTTAAACATTATTTGGGTTGTGATATGTTAGTATTTTATACATTTTTACTGGTTTCTTATCATTTGCAATCGTCCTTATTATTTGCAGAGCAACCATATGACAGCATTCCAAATTTTAGTGCAGCTGATGCCTTGCGTCTTACAGGAGTCGGAAGAAATGAATTCATTGATATCATGAACAAGTGCAGGTCAAAGGTACAATTTAAGAACACTTGCAGACTAACTTGCTGTTAAGCTTCTGTAGTATCTTTTACTGATATAGATGTATATCACCTGCCTACGTGTCTTTTCTTACATTTGCTAATATTATGATTGAACAACCTCAATAAGATGCTTGTCCAGTTTCACGGCAATGATTAAATGATTTCGAACATTGATAAACACTTGGATACATGTGGAGAAAGCATGACATGGGTATGGTTATCTGTAGTTATGTCTTGAACTGCTTGTGTTTGTATGTAATCGATTCTCATAAATCTATTCTGACCTTGGCCTGGCCAAATTCAGGTGCTAAACTGGTTGTCTGCCTTCCTAGTTTCTATGACTATACCATTATGTATTTTGGGAATTCTCTCTTTGTCTTCTTCATTTTCTTTCCTTTCTTTGTTGTATTGAATTATACAATATTGTTCTATTTGGTTGCTTTCTTTTAAAGACAGCTAAACTCCTGTTTTACTTTCGTAATGAATAATATGGGAATCAGGGAGCCCTATATATCAATTTATTATTATTATTGTTGGTTTTTTTTTTTTTTAAACGCTCGTTGTCTATGTCTAGTCAGAATTCTCAAATTGTGTTTCAGTGTTCTCACGTCATGAATGGCTCATGACTCACAATTGTCAGGAATCAAATACATAGCAAAGTGTGTATTTCTTTTAGTGATTTGTGGTAACGCATGAGTACTTTTGTATCGTCATTTAGTCATCCTGTCAACATTTTGCCATTCTTGTGACAACAAATAGGTATAAATTTAGGGGCATAGACACACCTATAATTGAAGGTGCTCTGTATTTTCAACAACCGCTCTTATACCTTCAATTTGTTAGTTTGTTGTCAGATATTGGTACCTCCCCTATGCGGATTGTAAAACAAACCAATTTACTCAAGCTCGGCTGGGCTAAGAGGCTTGTTTGAGATCGATTCACGACATAGACATGAACAAAGGTCGTGTGTTTTATGATTATTAAAAAATCAAGGTACTTGAGTTTTGGCTTGGAGATATTTGATCATATTGTGGAGCTCCTTAATACTTTTGAGTGGCTTTTGAGCAATCCATTGCTCAGCTCATCTCACCCTTTACAACCCTGCCCTTCCCCCAAAGGGAAAAGAAGAGCTTTTTTAATGTCCCTCCAAACTCTCAATGCTATTATTCTAATTCAATTTCTTATATCTTTAGGTGCTCATATGATTTGATTTTGATACATTATCTTGCATATTTTTTCTTTGACCTAAAATTTTGTGGGTTTTTTTTCTAGATATTGTTGCCCTGAAATGGTCCAATGCTTTTAATTTTGATCCCAACACTTTTATAATCGTTTATAGTATTTTTTGGGATAGAAGAATTTTGGAAGGGCCATTGCAAGGTGTGGTGGTAAATGCTGAATCTATCAAGTGTGAGAATGCATTTTCCAAATCTTGAGAGCAGTCACTTTCATACAAATAATGCTAAAGGTTACCATTATATAGAACTCTTTTATAATCTTCAGTTTTCTTGGGAACAGACTTCTGCACATAATTTCAAGAGAAAAAGATTTATATTAGGTATGAATTGAAATTTTTTAACTACAAACTAAACGCTGTGAATATGGCTAAGAATTTAGAAATAGCAATATTTTTCTTCTTCAAGAAGTGAGAATATTTTAAGAATAAATGGACTAAAGTTGGTGCAAGTCAGGCAATTTGTTTGCCAATAAATTTGAAGATATCAAGTGTGAGAACGCATGTTCCAAATATTGAGAGCAGTCACTTTTGTGCAAATAAAGCCAAAGGGTAGGTCTATATCCAGGACCACTGTTTTATAGAACTCTTTTATAATCTTCAGTTTTCTCGGGAACAGACTTCTGGACATAATCTCAAGAGAGAAAGATTTATATTAGGTTTGAATCGAATTTTTTTAACTACAAACTTATCGCTGTGAATATAGCTAAAAATTTAGAAATAGCAATCTTTTTCTTCTTCAAGAATTGAGAAAATATTTTAATAATAAATGGACTAAAGTAGCTGCAAGTCGAGCAATTTGTTTGTCAATCAAATTTGAAGATATAAATCTATACTGCATAATGGCCTTCCATATGCGGCCTATGTTAAAAGATGGAAATAATAATGTTATGAGAAAATAACTTGTATTAGCGATTTATAAATGATGTAAAAAAGAATTGTCTCAGACAATGAAAGGTTTAAGCAATTGAGATGACCCTTTTTGCCACTGCCTTTGCTGAAGAATCTCCTTCCTTTTAAGATTATATTCTTAACCTTGGTCCAGGGACATTACCAATTTTGTTTTCTTGTATGAGTTTATGGGAAGAAAACAAACTGAAAGGATAAACAAACCAACTCGATGGATTGCCGAGCTACAAGTCGTATGACACAGAAGTAGGATTCTCAAAAAAGCCAAGGTTGTGGGTGGCTAAGAGGGCCTGCAGGGGTAGTCATATCTAACTGCTCACTCAACAACTCAAACTTAGAATGACAGAATGTCATAAGTATCACTGAACCTTCTATCACTCAACAAAGCCTTTTTTACAGCTGCGTAATGTTGGCTACAGGAATCATAATTTTTTTTTTTTTTTTTTTGTAATATAGGGATCATAATTTTCCATTATGCTTTGTCCAAGGCCATAGCCTCAATTAAACCACATGTTAACATACCATTCCTTACCAACTACTCGTGTTAACTTTGGTCTTTCCCTTCCCTTGGCATTAGCAGCCATGTGTACTGTACTCTTCCTAATTGGCGCACTTAGTGGCCTTCTTTCTACATGTCCATGTGAAAACAGTGTTAACGCGGGGTACGGAGGCTATTAGTTGATTTTAATTGTTATTAACTCCTTTAACGACCTAGATCTAATTATTAGGTCAACTTGTTCAATTAATGATTGATTAAATTATATGATCAATTTAAACATCCACAATCACAAATATAACTACAGTAAAGTAAAGCAAGTTAAGGTTAGAGAGAGTGCATAAGGATTTTTAGCGAGAAAACCCCAGTTGATAAAATACGTCAACTGTTTGCATGGGAAAACCTCGTGGACTATGCAGTCCAAAGTAAACAGATCCACTATGTTTGAAACAAAGTACACTGAACTTTGACTCTGGCTCATACCCTATTGTTCTACCAAACACCAGTTGCTGACAATCCTCTGGCTTTGCGACGTCTCGTTCAACAGCAACTTGACCTCAGGCTTATGCTTGATCTTTGTAGAAGAGTAGCAGGTGATTAGACAACACTCCTCGAATGCTCCAACTCTTTCAAAGTGTGATCGCTTTTACTTCTGTTCTTCAAGATCTGAACTCGATGTAGAAGAATTAAATCTTGTTTTTCATTCGGAATCTCCGAATCATCAATATAGCTCCAATTCCGATGATATAGAGAACAACACTACTAAATCACTCATGAAAATATGTGTATGCTCTCAAAAATTCATTCAGAATAGTCATATTTGATTTTCTGAATTTTCTCTCTCTAAAAGGCTTTCTCAAAATATAGAATTGATGTTCCTTAAAGCCATTAATAAACCTAGAAGACTATCAGGGTTTATATAGAGTTTAGAATGTCCTAATCCCTCTGAAAATATAGAAAATTTCATGCATAGGACTTGGAAAGAAGTCTAGTCCAAAAAGGAATCAAACAGAATAAGAAAGGAAAGTTTCCAAACTGTTCAGGATGTCTTGAACTGGTACAAGATTGTGGCTACCGGTTCAAGAAGGTCAGAATGGTTTCCAACGTACTTTGCCTGATCCAGATTTGGCTACCGGTTCAAGAAGGTCAGAATGGTTTCCAACACAAGGCATTTTTTTTTTTTTTTGATAAGTATTAAGTTTGTTTTATCTTAGGGAACGACATCACCAGTGGAGAAGGATTGCCTTGTGTTGTTTTGGGGAGGAGAGTGGTGGCTGGTCCTCCCGTCCAGTCTTTGTTGCGGGAGGCATCAGCTTGTGGAAATTCATTTGGAAGGGTTGGGATGTCTTTTCCTCATACATCAGATTCAAGGTTTGTGATGGTAGGCGCGTCCACTTTTGGGAGGATTTATGGTGTGGAGAGCAGTTGTTGTCTCATTCCTTTCCTAGACTTTATAGTATTGCCGAAAATAGGCATGCCTGCGTAGCTGACTGTTATCGGCTTGATAGCAGTGGGGTTACGTGGGATGTGCATTTTAGGCGTTCTTTTCAGGAGAAGGATGTTGGCAGAGGTAGTGATGACATTTTGTGGGTCCCTTCTTCCACCCATGGTAGATTTGGTGTTCGGTCCATGTTCTTTTGTTTGCCCAATTTCGTTGGTCATGATTTCCCATAGAAGACTATATGGCATTCTAAGGCTCCACTTAGAGTCGCATCCTTTGTTTGGACTGCCGTCTGGGGCAAGATTTTGACGTTGGACAATTTGAGAAAGAGAGGTAACACTATTGTTAATTGGTGCTGTCTATGTAAAACAGACGGTGAGTCTGTGGATCACATTCTTATGCACTGCCCTGTGACGTATGATTGTTGGAACCCCATCTTCGGCATTTTTGGCGTACATTGGGTAATTCCTCAATCCTCCATAGGACTGATTAACATGTGGAGAGGATGCCCAGTGAAAAGTCACGCTCGTGACTATTGGAGGATAGCTCCACACTGTGTTTGGTGGTGCATATGGAGAAGGAGGAATAGCAGAAATTTCGAAGGAAAGGAATCGTCTTTGGCGACCTTGAAAATTCATATTCCTCGTTCTATTTTCTTATGTGAAAGGAAGCGCTTGCTCTTCTACTGATGACTTAGTTGATCTTTTGGACTCCATTGGTCCTTAGGTTCAACTTTCATTTTTTTGTATTAGGGACGATTTCTCCTTTTGAAACCTTTTCTAATCGACTTTTACCAATTAAAAAAAAGAAAAAGAAAAGAAAGTTTGTTTTATCTTCTACATCCCTGTTACTTATGTTAGTATCCTATTCTTAAATTATTATAATTTCTCCCCATTTAAATTTCACTACCTAGTTCTTGGGTTTATAATTCTCTTTTTCCTTCTACATTGTCCCTTTATATATGCGTCTAAAACTAGTAACCTATGTTGTGATGTTAAGCTCTCTCCTAGGATAACCTACAATCTTTGCTTCTTAAGAGATCTACCTTTTTTGTTAGAGAGAAGTCGATTTGGCTCATATTTTATCCAGTTTTAAAAGTTATTAGATGTTCATTTCTCTTTTTGAAATAGGTATTCCCAATTATAAGATCATATGCACTGCAAAATCTTAAGTAAGGTAGCCTCTCCAGCATCATTTCTGTCTCCAAATCTGTGTCCACCATGTATCATTTCATACCCTTCACAATCTTTTCCTACATGACCATTAAAGTCTGCTTTTTATATGTAATTTTTCTCTTTCTGTATCCCTCGAATTAATTCATCCATATGCTCCCAAAATTGTGTTTTAATGTGTTTGTCTAGCCTGCTTGGGGTGCACAGGTGCTAATGATTCTAACTATAGTTCTTGTAATACAAGTTTTATTATATTATCCTATCCTCTTTTCTAATGTCCTGTTAAAAGGAAGCTATAATAGGGAGGTAGCTATTGGAGATAAAGCTAACCATTGGCCTTAAAAAATCTTTTTGGCACAAGGAGGCTGCTTTCAAACACAAACATCCACTTCATGCTTAACAAAATATCGAGTAGAAACACAGGCAAGAAAGTACCAAGTCCAAGCTGGTCGTAGTAGTCAGCTCATTTGACCTTTGTGTACATCTTGGATTCTGCTGCATCACCTAGTACTTACCGAGACACTTTCCACTTGGCAAACAGAAATAAAATTAATACATCATGTTTCCATCTTCAGATGACATTCTATTTCCATTGTAGCAGAAACCCATTTGATGTTCCAAATTCCCAATAGTTCTATTGTGAATAATTTATTATGTATTATAACTTATAAGATTTATCGTCATCCAATCCTGTGGAGTAAGCTTTATGCTCTTTTTAAAATGGGTTTCCAAATTCCCAGTAGTCCTATTGTAAATAATTTATATTGTGAATAATTTATTTATGTATTATAAATTATAAGTTTTATCGTCATCCAATCCTGTGTTGTAAGTTTTATGCACTTCTTTTCTTGAATATTTTTAGTTTCTTCAATCTTTCTGTAGAAATCTTTGTTAGCCCCATTGGCGCTTTACTGTGGGGACTGGTTTAAAATCATTAATTATGATGTTTATGGAAAATCGTATAGAGCGAAGTACTGCACTTATTATTTTCTTACCTCATTTACTATATCTGAGCTATCCAGAAAATTATGTGGAAGCTGAATAAGTCAATTGCAAAGGAACTATTACCTACACAACCTGTGGACATTGTAATCGATCCATGGTGGGGAGTTTGTCTTGTCAACTTTACACTGGAAGAATTTAAGGTGACATGTCTAATGATTCCCTTTACTTAAATACTGTACTGTAAATAAAGAGTAACCAACTTCTTTAAATTTATTGGCACTCCAGCTTGTGCACAGAGCCCTCAAATATACATGAGTCCAAGCTGTACGTGATTTATACAAGACAAGTTTCTATTATAGAAATATAAGACAAGTGTTTTCTTTTCTCCTTTCTCATTACTGCAGAAACTCTCAGAGGATGAAATGGCAACAATTGATAAAGTTTGTAAGGAGGAAGCAAATTCATTCATCCTTTTTGATCCTGACATTGTGAAGGGTCTTTACAGACGGGGATTGATCTACTTTGATGTCCCTGTTTATCCTGATGACCGCTTCAAAGGTAATGTGTTTTCATTTGCAATTGCCATACCAGTACCCATACTCATATCCGGTCCTAGTATGCATACCTAATTCTTGGACGCTTTTTACTCGAATCTTTGTATCCTACACTTAGAAGGATGGGTGAATCAGACCTCTAGACACACTGCAGTCGTACCTGAGTGTAGGTAACATAGTTGTGGATCAAAGGCCTTCTGCTAACATAAAGGATTCCTGCAGTTAGGTGATCACTTGAGACAGAAGAAGACATACCTCGTTATACTGGGAAGAGGGTGACTTGCCCTTGAGAATCTTAATTTAAATCTTTCTGTTTTAATTAGTATAAAGCACATCTACTCTACACCTATAAAGCCCCTTTCTTTATGGAGAAAATGGAAGTTTTTTTTGGGGGGCATTGACTTCTAGTTGACCTGTTAAATTGGTCATGAGTTTTATTGCAATAATTGTTCTCTGTCTCTCTGAATTATATAATTTATTGTCTTGTAAGACTGTTATATTTGGAACTTCTAAAATGGTTTTGTCTGTTCAATGCTTCCTAATTGAAAAACCTCATATATTGTTTAATAGGTTAAATATATAGCTGATAAAATGGATAATTTTTCAATATTTCCAATTTATTTATTTATTTTTGGCAAGCTGAAAATTGTAGTGAAAACAATTATTTTTTTCTTCCTTGGTTGAGTGTTTGCAAAATGTGGCGAGTTAGTAAGATATGTCTGTACCTAACTATATTATGTTCTATTTCTGTTTTCCTTTTCCTCACTATTTATTAGTTTGGAATGCTAATGCTTACAGCATTTCAGTTTCCAGGCTTGAAGGTTTTGTTTCCAACAGGGAGCAGTCCTACGAAGATCCCATTGAGGAGTAAGGCAGTTATATTAATAATGAATACATTGTTTTTCATTTGCTATCATCTTCCTAGCAGAGAAGTTAAGATCCTAACCACTTTAAGGCCATTATCCAGGTTATTGTATGCTGTTTTTGTGGTTTCAAGTGAGAATTCAACTGTGGCTGAATTGGCTACAACTTTACAGGCTGACCTTTCTCAGCTGCAAGCTGCTGCATCTTTTGCTTGTCGATTAGGGTGGGCGGTAAAATTAATTGATCCTGCATCTGTTCTTCAAGACGCAACTGTATCAGATGCTTCTAACATTAACCTCAGTGATGACGAAGATGGTTCTCATGCTAGTTTGGACCCAACGAAATTCTCTGCTGATGGCAGATCTGTTCAACAGGGAGATGGTTTAGGGACAGAAAACTATGGCCTGGCTGCTGATTATGCTCGTGTTGCTTTCGTAGTTGATGCTAACATAACATCGTATCTTATGATGGGGTCTGTTTCACCAGGTTTGTTCCTCATTTTTCATTTTTCTTCTCCTTCCATGTATGATGAACTCATCCATTATCTCATCCTGAATTTGCCTTCAGTGTTTTGTCTGCATATATGTATGGTATTTGGATTTATTCATCCTTGTCATTAAAGTGCTTTTGTTTGGTATCAAATTCTTATTGTTGTAGTTTCTTATCTGATAAAGTAAGCTCTGGATTTACAGTATTACATTGATTTTTGTTTGAGTTGAAATATGTGAAATCTGAAAAAGTACTGTGCTGTCAATTTAGGAGTTACTCATACTCTCCCACCCCACGGTAAGTGATTTTTATTGAGGAAGAGGAAGAGTTACTCATCCTCGTCATGCAATTAAAACTTTTGTTTGTTATTAAATTCTTATTAGTGTACTTGATTGTATCAAACCTTTCCATTTATAATACCTTATGTCGTTTGAGTGGGTTGAGAATTTGTGAAATCTGAAGCAGTACTATTACCTGGAATGAATAAATCTTTTGTTAGTTTTTGGTTCATAGAATCTCTGTGATACTCTCATGTTGCAGTGTATGAATGTTTTCTAATGAACTTCAACCTAATTTCTTCAACATACTGCGGTTTCTTGTAAGAAAAACGGGTTCACTCAAATGGTTAAAGATTGAAACTCAACCATGGTCTGGACATTCGCAAGGAGGTTACATCAGTGATGATGTGATATTCTTCAAAGAAGGAGAAAGCACAAAATCATTTTTACTCGTGGTTGCATAATGTTCAAGATGGCTGGTGAATCAGTTAATTGTTCCTTTTTTTCCCCCTCCCCTTACTGCTATCTTTATTTTACTTTTTGTTGAGTAAACCCATTTCTCTTCAACGAAATATGAAGGCCATGTACATGCAGGATATTCATAATTGTAAAGGTCTTGGAAAGAGAGAAATATTCCAAAAACTCCTGAACAGTGCCTAAAGAGGAGGACTTCCAACTGAAGAGAGATGAAAAAGCCAAGTTTACTTTAGTTGTTGATTATTCACCATCTTCAAATATTCTCCTACCACCCATAGATCCTCATTGCAAATCTTCTCTCCCTCTGCTTATTCCAAACAGTAACATGAGACATAATGGAGCCACCTTCTGATGATGCTACTCCTGAATTCTCTCATTCTTGAATCACCAAGTATAACAGATTAAACATTGACTGGCATAATCCAACAGATACATAGCACAAAATAAAGAAGAGAAAAAAGAAAAAGAAATGGAACACCGAAAACACTAAACTCGATGTACTATGAAGAAGGTGATTTGCAGATTCTTAATCATTCTTGTTCTTCAGGAATCTCCCATCCTTTAGTAATAAAATATCAACTATCAAATGTTTGTCCCTAGCTACAGTCATCACAAAGAAAACGACTTCCAAAGGAACACAAGAATTCCACAGCTTTTAATATGAGACGGCTTCACATGCGGAACCTCTCAACGGCTCTTATTCCAAGTTCACATAATCTTTGATTCTAAAAATGTGTATAGGATATCGTTTCTCAACAAATACATAACCCACCTTAAACACCAGTCATGATGCTTTTAAGAAAGATTGGAACCTCTCTCTTCCTCCTAAAGAAGTTAAAGAACATAATATTGAAACCGGGCCTCCTACTATGCCAGAATGAAGACAAGATATACAAACTTCTTAACAGTCATGCCTTGGCACCAAACACCATGAGTTCCACCTCTTAGTATCTCCCACCTTGGAATAACTCTTTCAGATAATTAGTTGGTGTTCTTAATTTTTTCCTGAGGTTCCGCACCATAACTACCCCTCACCTCAGTGGACGTCCAAACTCCACCAACACATTTATATTTTAAATGTATTCATTGTCCGCCCTCCAAAATCATTTCCCATGCGAGCATAAATCATAATTTTGAAGTCCTTATTCCTAGGTCGCCAACTTCGACAGGCATTGAAATATATCTCCTATCCATGGATTTTGAATTTTTCATTGGCGAACAACTCTCTTTGTGATTGTTATAATAGTTACCAATATTTAGAAATTTTTTTTTTATTTTTTAATGTTGGAAAATCTATTACTTGTCTTCCTCACCTATCAAAAGAAGAAGAACAAAATTTTAAATTGGTTTCCTTTCAAATGAATGCTTCTAAAGATTCTGGGCTATGGCATCAATTGCAAAATGTTGGGGCCATGCCATTATCTCTACTTGAAGAGGTTGTAAGGCGGTTGTTTGACCCACTCATCATTTAATTATGTTCAATCGTAAAGCTTTCTTTCACAGAATTTTGTTGGTGGTCCAAACCAAGAAAGATAATAGAGATAAGAGCTCTTTTATTTTGTCAAAGGAACATAAAAGTTACTTTTCCTTAAGGCAGGCTGCTGATGGCTTCTGCCGTATTTCCATTTAATCGGTTAGAGAGGGCACTGGAAGATTTCCAATCTTCTAAAGAAGTTCACAGTACCATATAGGGTCTTAGATTTTCGGTTCTACGAAAATCTTAGATTGGCAATTAAAAGGCATACTTGCTTCAGAGAAAATTGTTTTGGAGTGATTAGGAACCATGTTGAAAGATTATCTGAAAGTATAGTTTACTTAAAATAGGTATCCACATTCATGAAGTAGGAACTTGTTGGAATTTCAGCGTGCTTTAAGTTTGATGCTATGAATATCTTGTTCTGCTTGAGACTAGGTCTCTATCTTAAGTTTTGGTTTTCATAATTTTTCACTGGAATGCTATGAACTTTCGGTAGAGTGAGCTATTGGGATGGCTCCTGTTCATATTAGTGTTGATCCTGTTTCTTTTGCAGGCTTGAAATCTCATGCTGTGACATTATATGAAGCGGGAAAACTGGGTCATGCTAGCATTGCAGATCTTTGCAATGATCTGAGTACATTAGAGGGAACAAAATTTGAGGGAGAGCTGCAGGAATTTGCCAATCATGCATTTAGCCTTCGCTGTGTTCTGGAATGTCTGGCAGCAGGTGGAGTTGCTACAGATGAGAGCCTTGTGGAAGTTTGTGATAAGATGAGTATGATATCTTCAAATGAGGAGGCTACTTCTTTGGTAGCTGACATTAATTTGACAGACAAATCAGGACATTCTGGTGTGAAGGTGGCTGGGGTAAATAGCGATAGTTCCCTGCTTTCAGGAACACCTCAGGAGGATGCCATTTTGGCTGATCCTGTAAGTGGAAGTACAGGTGATGAGAATATTCCTGCCACTATATCTGAAGAGGGTAGTTACTTAAGTGAGAATTCTAAATCAGACCCTAGATTACAGGATGATGAGAAACCAATGACTGCTCAAGGTTTAGAAGTCGGAGACGGAACTTCAAGGAGAAAAAAGAAATACCGTGTGGACCTTCTCCGCTGTGAAAGTTTGGCTGCTCTTGCACCAGCAACTTTAAATCGGATGTTTCTTCGTGACTACGATATTGTTGTATCTATGGTTCCTCTTCCTTATTCTTCAGTTCTACCTGGACGTAAAGGTCCCATTCATTTTGGTCCTCCTTCTCATTCGTCTATGACACCTTGGATGAAATTAGTACTGTATGCTGCTGTGGCTTGGGGACCTCTATCAGTAGTTCTAATGAAAGGTCAATGTTTACGATTGCTTCCTGCACCATTGGCTGGTTGTGAGAAAGCCCTCATATGGTCTTGGGATGGATCCACGATTGGAGGTTTGGGAGGCAAGTTTGAAGGAAGTTTAGTTAAAGGAAGTATCCTTTTACATTGCTTAAATTCTCTTCTCAAACACTCGGCTGTGCTGGTGCAGCCCCTCAGCAGATATGACCTTGATGAGAGTGGAAAAATCGTCACTATGGATATTCCATTGCCTTTAAAGAACTCAGATGGTTCAATTGCCCATATAGGGGAGGAATTGGGACTATGTAGAGAAGAAAGTTTGAAGTTGAATTCTCTGTTAACTGATATAGCAAATAAGATAGAACTCTGGACCATTGGTTATATTCGACTATTAAAACTTTTCAAAGAAAGAGAGTCAAACCAACTTTCACCTGATGATGAGAAGTACGAATGGGTTCCATTGAGTGTGGAATTTGGGATTCCACTATTTAGTCCAAAATTATGCAACAATATATGTAAAAGAGTGGTTTCTTCGCAATTACTTCAAACAGATTTACTTAATAAGCATCATGATGCGATGCAAGACTTAAGGAAAAGGTTACATGACATCTGTGTCGAGTATCAAGCAACAGGTCCGACTGCAAGACTTCTTTACCAGAGGGAGCAATCAAAGGATTCTTCGCGACAACTTATGAACTATGCAAGTGGAAGGTGGAATCCGCTTGTGGATCCTTCTTCTCCCATTTCGGGAGCCTTGAGTGAGCATCAGAGATTAAAACTTGCTAACCGTCACCGTTGCATGACAGAAGTTTTGAGCTTTGATGGTAACATTCTAAGGTGCGTCTAAATCGATCTTCTTTTATGTGTTTGCATGTGGCATATGGTTTACCTAATATGATGTTACAATTACTGTTTCCATATAAGAGCTTGTTGTGTATTTGAAGTTTAATCAATTTTTTTTTTTTAATGCATTAGTTTCTGTATTAGCTTTTCTTTCCTATTTGCTACTCTTTTTTGTCCCCTTCGGTTTTTTTTTTTTTTTTTTGTTTCATTTTTTCTTGTTATGATTTTGCTATTGTATTTCATTTTTGTGCAAAAAGAAACTACATTTTATTGATAAATAGGCAAAGGACAAAGTATCCTCTCCTAGAGAAGTACAAAATGATGGTTATCCTCCTAGAGAAGTACAAAATGATGGTTATCCAAGAAGCATACACCAATATACAGGGCATATCTCATTATCCAACTCCCCCCAAAGACATAAAAACTAAAAGAGCCTTCTAAGCATCTGAAACATTATAGTCCCTCAATCTTCTAGACCATTCATCTCTTCATTTGAAGATCTTTGTGCCTGATTTCACTCCTATTGCTAAATGCTGAAGCATTGTCTATGTAGTCTCTATGAGAATGCTAGCTCTAATCAACCTTGTTGTCAATAATTAGCTAAAGTTTCTCTAGACCATTCAATGTTAAAAACCAATCTTATTCTGGTTTTTGATTTAAACCTCATGAGGCTTTATGTTGCACAATTTTATGTGCGAAGACTTCCACAAGCAACGAAGATTTCTAGGTGGTTGTGCTGTTAAGTATTGTTGTCCTGGCACAGGTGAGTCTTTTGCTTTCTTGAATTTTTAGTGAAACTATCATTTTTTCAAATATTCATCTACTCATAAATACAGTAACAAATACATTACTACATTTAATAATATAAAGTAGAACCTTAAGATTGTTTCTGAATAGTAAACATTAAAATTTTTTGTTACTTCTAAATCATATAACCAATATCAATGACTTACTGTTCTATGAAGAGATTGGTAATTTAAATATTCTATTGAAGTCTTCCTCTTTTTATTTCAGATATCCTGATAAGTAGTAAAAAGAGAGAGAAAGAAGTCCTCTAGAAAGAAAAATAATAGGACACACCTAATTTGGTAGCCTGATAAGGCACAATGGATGTGGTAGTCAAATGTGCAAGTCATCATGTTTTAAAAAGTATACGATCATTTTGTCCTTTTCCAAGTGAAAGGTTTGGGGACAGAGATTAGTTGCAAGGATTTTTTTCTTTGATATCCTTGTTTTAAATGGTATATAAGATGTGAGTTAATGCAGTATCATTCCTACCTTGTTACCATTAATAGAAAACTTATTCTTGAGTCATGCACGTAGGATTAACCATAGGTTTAGAGGTTTAGACTATTGCCTACCTGACACGACTCTCCTCTTTCTTGACTAGTAATGATAGGCCCATACTAAGGCAACGAAATAAAGTCAGCTAAGTTCTTGCTTGCTTATGTACAAAAGTCCAACGACCAGACTGCTAATGAATAACTTTGTTTAGGCTGAAGGTGTTAGCAGGAAAAGGCATGAGATAATATGGTGCCCTATGTCTTGATTGCTGGAAATGCACCAAGTAGAACATACTTGAGAAGAGTGTACCTGTTGTCTATGCTAAATTTGTTTAAGGCTGTATTAGTTGAGATGAGTAGATTGGTATCTAATTTTCCAATTGTATGAGGAACAAGTTACAATAGGACTGTTATACTACAACTGTTCCATTTTTTAATTTGATACAATGGGGCTGTCTCATTTTCCAAATGTATGAGGACTATAAGATCAGCTTCTCTAAACTGGTTAACTTCTTGTCTTGTTCAGAGCCAATCCTGTATAAGAATCTCTGGGATCCAAATTTGGGCTTGCCTTGGACTGCTGATAGGGCAAAAGACTAAATTATAGCAGCCATGCATGGCTGATTTGAAACACAGGCCTATTTATGTGAGGCTTGTTTCCATATGTAATTGCAAAAAAATAAATAAAAAAGGATCTAATTAATGAGTATTGGCATATTGTAAAACAAATTTACTTGGAATGGAAGTTGAGAGGACGTTGGTGATGAACTGGGTGTTTTTCCAAGTGTAATATGGGGCCAAAATTTGAGATCCATCAGATATGGGATGTTATGCTGGTCAGATCTGCTTTTTTGATGTACAGACTAAGGGAATCATGAATTTATTTTATCACATCATGCGGAAGATATCATTGACAATGGACAACAGCCACAAGATACAATTTTCAAAATATTTGGCGTGGCACTGATAAAAACCCTGTTGTATGCTTCCCTCTTTGAATTGATTTCAATCAAGATACAATTGATCAAATTATCCTACATTTTCTTTGTAATCCTCCTTCCCTGTGCCTCCCGAACAAATAAGGAAATTTATTAGTGCATTGCACAATTCATTTAAGAAGCCTCTCCAACAGGGGGCTGAGAAAAGTTCTGCTGAGCAAACAGAAATATTTTAGCAAATGAGTGAAGTAAATGAGTGGATTTGGAAGTAGCCCTCTTGGTCCATTTCAATTTTTGTAATGTCAGAATCTCAGTTCCTTTCAGGTTTCTCTAATTAGGACAGCCACTTGGGATAAGTTTGTCTGTTTAGACGTTGACCTGCTATGATTTCCACACCCAATTAGTTTCTGGTTACGTTTGGAGCAAATGGAAATTCTTAACCCTACTATGGTTCATTATAACTCTGTTTTAGTACCTTTATGCTTCTTCTTGTAACTTCGTCAGATCTGCTTTTTTGATGTACAGACTAAGGGAATCATGAATTTATTTTATCACATCATGCGGAAGATATCATTGACAATGGACAACAGCCACAAGATACAATTTTCAAAATATTTGGCGTGGCACTGATAAAAACCCTGTTGTATGCTTCCCTCTTTGAATTGATTTCAATCAAGATACAATTGATCAAATTATCCTACATTTTCTTTGTAATCCTCCTTCCCTGTGCCTCCCGAACAAATAAGGAAATTTATTAGTGCATTGCACAATTCATTTAAGAAGCCTCTCCAACAGGGGGCTGAGAAAAGTTCTGCTGAGCAAACAGAAATATTTTAGCAAATGAGTGAAGTAAATGAGTGGATTTGGAAGTAGCCCTCTTGGTCCATTTCAATTTTTGTAATGTCAGAATCTCAGTTCCTTTCAGGTTTCTCTAATTAGGACAGCCACTTGGGATAAGTTTGTCTGTTTAGACGTTGACCTGCTATGATTTCCACACCCAATTAGTTTCTGGTTACGTTTGGAGCAAATGGAAATTCTTAACCCTACTATGGTTCATTATAACTCTGTTTTAGTACCTTTATGCTTCTTCTTGTAACTTCGGTTTGCATTCAATGTTGTCTTTTAATTTGTTGTTCACTGATGGTCCCCCCTTCGCTTTAGGGTTGTGGTGGCAAGGATCTTGACAAACACTATTGTACCTCTATTGCGGAGGGTAAAAGAAATGAAAGAATAGATGCTGCTTGTTTCCAGGGATATTGTTTTGCTTACTGGCATAAATATTGAAGAACTTCATTCTTGGTTTGATAAACTTTAAGGATGAATGATTCTCCTTCAGATAGCCTCTCGATTTCCATGGGTGGCAGGGGAATGCTATCCCCTTAAAATCTGCATCTTTAAAATGCATTATTGTTAAAGGAGAATAATTATAAAGTTCTAATGACTTAAAGAGTCATGTTGCATCTTTTACCGTACAGAAAAGTCCTCTTCTTATTTAGCTATTATGGTAAGAAATGAACTACTAGGCCCATTGCTCACTTTTTTTAACGTCATGCCAACAAGTTACCTTGATACAACAACTGTGGCAAAATTTTTCTTTTGTTTGAACTGGTCTATTGGCCCATCAGTACATGGGCTGGTTATTATATTTTTTGTGACTTAACATTTTTACCTTTATATACTTTTAAAATGAATAGTTTGAAATGACAGTTATGCGCTATTTGTAATAATGTGCTGTAGTTGTGCCTTATTGGTGGTCTGGGTTTACTTGTAGTTTACATTTTTCGTTCCTTATTACCTATTCTCTCGAATCCAAAGAGACTTGATAGGGATGAATCTGTTAGGGGCAAGTATCAGTACAATTATGATTTTTTCAGTTTCCAATGTGTGTTTGAGTGAACAAATTTGTCGCATGTAACAGGGTCATCGTGAAAATCCAAAAATATTTGTTGGAACAAAGAGAACTGAGGTTATATATATATATATATATATATATATATATATATATCTATTACAATGACCTTATCTTAGACCATTATTTTGAAAATCTGAACATTAATGGCTTCATTTCATTGCTAAGAAAAGGAACCCAGTATAGTTACTTTCATGTGTTGTCCTAATATTTCCAATCGTTATTATTTTTTTGTAATGCATCAAATGAAACAGTAATGATTTTATCCGATATAATTTTGTTAGTATTTCTCGCTGATTCGAGAATTTCCAAAACCACCATGATTTTTTTTATGATATCTGCAGATCATTCGCTCTTGGTTCTGTGTACGAAGCTGCTACAAGGCTCGTTGAAGAAACTTCTCTCACGAGTACACAGAAATCCGAATCAGATGATGCTGACAGCAGAGAAGTAGCCCTTCCTGGTGTTAATCTTCTTTTTGACGGATCTGAGTTGCGTCCATTTGACATAGCTGCTTGCCTACAGGCTCGCCAACCAGTCTTGTTAATAGCAGAGGCTTCGGCAGCCTGCACATCTTCTGCAATTAAATAGAGTTTAGAGCTATAATATTACATGGTACAGTAGTTAGAAGAGTTTCTTCCAGTTCTTACAGATCAGAAAGATCTTGTGCTGCATGTCATTATTCCATGCTGCCGTTTTGCTGATTCTTCTTCTTGGAGGTTTCTCATTGCAGACGAGCACAGACTAATTTGTAAGGTAAAAATCAAAGATTTTTTTTTTTTTTGGTTAATCTTTCATTTTCAAGATAATATTCACCCCCTAAACTTGGTGTTTTGATTCTTTTAAATGCTAAATTTTTATGATATGAAGTTATGAACTAAGGCACCATTGGTGTGGAGACCTACAAATCTCAATATTGTTGCACAGTAGAAGTTTTCTTGGCCTCACAATTGTTGATTTTTATTGAGTTGAATCTTACCGATTATATTGTTACTTTTTCCCAAAAAAAAAACCTTTGAATTATAACTTTTTGGCAGATTAAGCTATTGAACTAATAATTTGGCAAAAAGAGACCCTGAACTATTGAAAAACCTCGCAATCACCCCCTTTTCTCAGTTTGCCACTAAAAGAATATTGGATCAGTTAACAATTTTAGGAGACGTACTAAAATGCCATTGAATGAGAAATAGTAAAAAAGACAAAAAAGCAGAAAACCCCTTGAACAATCTATTTTTGGAAGCTTACCCCCCTAACTAATTGATTTGGCAAAAAACCCCCTGAACTATAGAAAATATTTGCACTCGTCCCCTCACTTCTGTTTGCCGTTGAAAGAAGAATGATTCTTTTAACAATTTAGGAAAAGTACTAAAATGCCTTTGAAGGAGAAATAGATAATGATAAAATAAAATGGAAAAAGCTGATGTCGTTTTTTATTGTTGTAGATGTTGCAGTTGAAAAGAGACATAAATGGGTAAAATCGTCATGATAATAAACGTATACGGCACGTGCCACACACGAGACTATACCATTCTTAATGGAAAATAGAAGGGGAATGATTGCAATTTTTTTTGATAGTTTAGTGTTTTTTTTGGCAAATTATAGTTCAAAGGGGAAATCTGCCAAAAAGTGAGTTCGTGGGGATATTCTGCACTTTGCCCAACAATTTGAATTTGTAAACTGAGCATATATAAAATTGTCATATTTGTTTGCTTATTGCTTGGATGAACCGAGACTAACATTTATAATTTTAAGGTGCTATTGAAAAGCTCTTCAACTAAATAAAGTATGTGCTATTGGTTTTAACTTTAAACGTTCTGGTTCTGTTTGCCCCAGAAGATAACTATTTCCTGGAAATTTTCTTGTCTGCCCCTATTGCCATTACAGGATTGGCTGCTGCCAGAGCAATGTATTACTTAGCTAACAGCCAGTACAGTTACATAAGTAGTTGCTGGTGGCGGGCAGTCAAGCAATAGTAATAGTGGCGGGAATTTATCACTAAAGTAACGTTTGTCAGTGATTAGGACAATTTAAAATTGAGTTTTGACTCTCTGACAGCAACATTTATCCTGCTAAATAGTGGAACTTTCTCTTATATCTAAAATCGAGGCCTTTAGGAACTGCTCATGAAATTAATAACAGCCATGTTTGCATGTTCAATTTGGGGCACTAATCGAAAAGGACATCAATATTTGCCATGCTTCCATTTTTTTTGGAAAGCATTTTTAGAGCCACTCTTAAACTTCCATCTCACTAAAATGTTTTGTATTGTACTTAATGCAGTTTCTTCTCTCTTTAAATTATTATTATTATTTTTTTGGTCCTGAACAGATTCTTCTATTAATAAATGGTTTCTTTATTTTTATCCTGGCATGCATGCAGGAGGTCTCTTGGGCTCGGTCAGGCTATGACGATCCAGATTGTTATGTAAAAAGAAAAGAACAAGAGGTTTCATTCTCAATAATTCCGGTTGAGATATGGTACCACTACCATAGCCCTGGCAATCTACTGCTTAGAACAAGAAGCAAAACTCAAATGATTTATACACACAATGCGAATTACATTCATTGAAAAACTCATTTATGCCTCGAGCTGCATTCAACTTTCAATTTTATTTTTCCATAGTAATCCATGCCATGTAGAGAACATCTCTGCATATTCTCTTGAATAGTGATCAACCTCGTTAAACAAAAGTAGTTCGGAAAAAAGCAAGGTCATGCTTCAATTCTTGGAGTTCATACTGTCTAGTTTTCTTTAAGCTAGTCAATTTGTTATTGAAAGAGATGAATTTGTAAATTGGGATGAATCTTTGTTATCAGAGCTGTGTCTCTATTGTTGGTGATGAAAGGTGGGGAGTGGAAGGGAAGGAACTTTGTGAAATAGCAATTTTTGGTGGAAAAAAGATGTTACCTGACTAAATGCAATACATCTTTTTATTGGAGGGACTAGTTTCTTCCCCTGTTGATTGGATTTATATATGAACATGAATGGTTGGATCTTTTTATATTTAGAAATGGATTTATTTGTTTTTAAACTTTCTCAGTGTGTGTTTTATGTACAAAAATTTGTTCTGCTAAATTTTGGAGTAGGTTCTTTGTCAACTCACCCTTAACAATTATTAAGAGGGAGTTGGGTTGGGGGTGGAGCGAGGGGTGAGAGAGATCGCGGTGCTTAGCCTTTGTAGATGGAAGGCGATAGGGAGTGTCAAACCGTGATGAAGCTAGCGGAGATGAAGGCACTGTGACACCAAGTCGTGATGAAGGAGAGATCATTCCGCCGAACATTGGCGAAGTGGAGGAAGGCACTGCGACGTTATGCCGCGATGAAGATGTAGATTATATATACGCATATGGTACATCATGCATTATTCAAAGAACTAAGGTACACTGAGAGAGGTAGAAGCCCTGGCAAACCTGAAAGAGAGACAGAGAGAGGATGACAGTGTGCAAGTTCACCGCCGTTAGCTTCTTTGGTGAAGGTTCAGTGAGTGAGGTGAGAGAGAAAATAAAGAGAGTGAGAAAGCTTCAAGTTTGTAGGTGGTGGTTCCTTAATTTCTCTTCCCCCTCTCTAGCTTTGGGGTAAGTCTTTTTATACAAGGGAAAAACTTAATTACCCCGGTTCCTGTAGTGATGGCATCATATCATTAGCTTATTAAATATATATAATTGGTTGATGGCAGAAATAATGAAGTATTAAAGGTGCAGAAAGTCTCCCATTAAAGGTGCAGAAGGTCTCTCTCCTTTTATAGGGTGATGGTCACTAATGCCATGCTAATTTTATGATGAGAAGGAAAAGGAAAAAGAATAAAAAGTATTAGGAGATAAGGATAGGGCGTGGATGAGGTATATGCTTGCAAGTATGGATACTTTTCTATTAAGATGTCGAGTTGGTATTCAACACTCAGACATTTCTCAAATACGTTGATACAGCTCGGATATGTGTAGGGGTTAGAAATATTTTGAATAGTAAATATATATATTTTTCTTGGTGGACACAATAATGATACATTTTGGACACTTTTAGGATACGGCAGATTGATTTTGTAATTATTATTATTTAAAAAAAAAAAAGAACTCAGTGCAATCTAAAATATATTATGGGTTAATTAAAAAATAATATACAATTTAAGAAAACAAAAACAATTGCTCTAAATTCCAAATTAGTGATTTATTTATGATTATATGCATAAAATGGCAAAGATATATTATTTATATAAAAATATATATTATATTATTTTTTTGATGTATCTTTGTCCTATATTTGGAGTTTTGAGATATTGCCATGTCCATGTCGGTGTCATATTCATATCCGTAGTTCATGGGGTATATGGGAATCCAATGGCCTCTCTTTTTACAGGTCTGGTCAAGAGCCACATGACGGTGTTGGAGGAATGCTAATTTAAGTCTTCTATGCTGATTGCAGTCGCGCAAGCGATTGTCCATTTACAGTTGCAGTTAAAATTGGTTAGTTTTGAATGTATTAATTACTTTGAATTTCTATTTTTATGAACTCTACTAACATTACTTTCTAGACAAAAATACACTTTTAAATTATGTCTTTCTTTTTATCTCCTCTTTTAATCGATTTATATAGGGATGTATGCGTATGTGTGTCTGTATGTATATATATAATAATAATAATAATTACTAATGTGATATGAATGGATGCTGAAAAAGGAGAAAAAAAAAAAAAGTTAGATAGGATAATCCATTCACAATAAATAGATCCTGAGGAAAAAAAGAGAAAAAAATCCTGAAAAAGAACAAGATAGATTATGAGATTTAAAATATATATGTACAAAATTAGTGTTGTACACGTATATATTTCTTTTTTGGTGAAGGAATTATTTCCTTTTTTTTTTTTTTTTTTTAAATCCATTTATACAAGGATAGTTGTAAAAATTAAAAATAAAAACAAAAAAAAAACATATATATACAGAAAAAACAAAAAGGAAGAAATATATAATCGATTTTTTTTTACCGTTCTTTTTATTCTTTTTTTATTTTTTTCTCAATTTTTTTTTTTTTTCTTTTTCCTTTTATTTTTTTCCGAATCCATCCATTTCTCGTGAATGAATTATCCTATCACATAACTAACCACACATACTCCTTAAAAGAGGAGAGAAGAAGAAAAGAGGAAACATTAGATAATTTAAAAGGGTATTTTTGTCTAAAAAATAATGTTAGTAGAGTCCCATAAAAATAGAATCTCAAACTAATTAATGTATTCAAAACTAACCTATCATAATTGGTAACTAATAATGTGAATGGACAGTCACTTGAGCGACTGCAATTAGCCATTCGTCGCTATTAAAAGTTTAATGACATGGTGCATAACTTGCGCATTGACTACTTGATTTATGTAAAGTGGGGCCCTTTTTGATGACGTGACAACACATTACGAAACAAATCAATCAAAATAAATTAAAAATAAAACATTTTGAACCATCAAACATTATATTACCTGTTTCACTTTTAGTATTATTACTTTGGGAAGATATAGTATGATCTCGATTTTTCATATATAAATATAATTAATGTATCTCATCATAATGGTACAAAAAAAAAAAAAAAAAGAAAATCTCACCATAACATTATAATAAAACATAATAATAATTTTATTATAAAATTATAATATTATAATGGAAAGATTTAGATCTATATTTATATTTAGGAAAGAGTTAGAAATAGAATAAAATAGAAAAAGTAAATTGTTTTAACCTTGAAGAATTCTGAGCATAATAGGAATTATTTTAATTGGTAACTTATAGGATTTATTTTAATCGGTAACTCATTTTATTATTTTATCTATAAATGATTTGAAAAATTTGAATTTCAATTAAACAATTACCTATTTAATTTCTGGTAATTTATTTAAGGATTTGAAACAAGTTTATTGAATTTCAATTAAACAATTACTTATTTAATTTTAATTGGTAATTTATTTAATTAATTAATAATTTTTTTTATTAAATAATTACTTATTTTATTTTAATACGTAACTTTTTTTTTATTTTAATTGGTAATTTAATTAGTAACTTATTTTATTATTTGGTAAATTATTTAATTATTTTATTTATAAATGATTTGAAATATCTTGATTGGTAATTTATTAATTGTCATTTATTTTATCAACATGTTTCAAATCATTAAATAAATCTTTCAATTAAACAATTACCTAATTTTAATTGGTAATTTATTTTATAATTTGCAAAGATTTAGATCTATATTTATATTTAGGAAAGAGTTGGAAATAGAATAAAATAGAAATAGTAAAGTTGTTTTAACCATGAAATTTTTTGGGCATAATTGGTAAGATTTATTTTAATTGGTAACTTATTTTATTATTTTTAATTGGTAATTTATTTTATTACTTGGAAAGATTTAGATCTATATTTTTATATTTAGGAAAGAGTTATAAATAGAATAAAATAGAAAAAGTAAAGTTGTTTTAACTTTGAAGAATTCCGAGCATAATATGATTTATTTTAATTGGTAACTTATAGTATTTATTTTAATTACTAACTTATTTTATTATTTTGTAAATTATTTTATTATTTTATCCATAAATTATTTGAAACATCTTAATTGAATTTTAATTAAACAATTACCTATTTAATTTTAATTGGGAATTTATTTAATGATTTAAAATTAACATCTTGATTGAATTGCAATTAAACAATTACATATTTAATTTATTTTATTTATAGAAACTCTTTTATTTTAATTTATTTTATATCAATTAATAAATATTTTTTTATATTAATAAATTAATACTGAAATACTGAAACATTCATTTTATTTATAGAAACTCTTTTATTTTAATTCATTTGATTAAACTCTTTTATTTAAACTCATTTTATATCAATTAATAAACATTTTTTATATTAAGAAATAAATATTTACACTAATAAATATATTTTTTGATTAGTAAATAAATACTAAAATATTAAAAGATGCATTTTATTTATAGAAACTCTTTTATTTTAATTCATTTTATATCAATTAATAATTTTTTTATATATTAAGAAATAAATATGTACACTAATAATTTTTTTTATATTAATAAATAAATACTGAAACTCTTTATACTTTTAATAATAGATATAGATATAGATATAAAATAAATATTTCAACCAAAAAATAAAATATATTTGTAATCTAAAATAATGGAATTGAATTGCAAAGACGATTCGCTTTGATTCGTACCAATTTATCAATTTCTGTGAGTTTTTGTCCTAATTCATATGGTAGTTAAGGTCTCCATATATATATTATACATAATTTTAATTAATAACCCTAAAATGTTTGAACAAGGTAAAGATTTTCAAGTGTAATTTCATTGGAAGCAAAAGGAAATTTTGGCAAATGACCGACCATCTCTATCTCCAAGAGAAACAAGTGATGGTATACACAATCTAATCAAAACAATATTGATAATGTGCCATCTGTTTGATCATGTTGGAGGTATTTAGAGAGAAAAATTAATCGCTGTGTGTGTGTGTGAGAGAGAGAGAGGGGAGAGAGAGGGGAAGGGAGGTGGTTTGATGATAGAGGAAAGTTCTTTTCCGCAACGGCTGTATCGAGATGGTCAACATGTGACGGGTTTTTGAGTATCACCAAACACAGCTTATTGATTGCTCAAAAGTTTTATACCCATCAAGTAAGGAAGGTGGGTCCCACATCGTTGTGACAACGAATAAGTGGGCAGTGACAGAGATGCGCTTCTCCGTGCCAACAAATCAAGAATAAAACACACGTTACGCGGCATACGCTGATGTTGACCACACTCAATTTTTTTTTTCTTTTTTCTTTCTCTTTTATGCTTGATAATTTAAGTATTATTAACAAAAAAAAAAATTAATGTTATTTTATCTAACAAATAACTAATGCTTTTAAATACATTTAAACATCTATTTTTAATTTAAAGAAAAAGTAAAAACATGCCTAGTGACATATTACCATGGTGTTGTTTAACTTGTTTGTTATATCTCGAAGAAAGATTGATTAATTTTACAATTAATGAATACATTGTCATCATTTTTTATTTATTTATTTTTTACTGTATAAGTAAGGTAATTAAGAGCTCTCTTAATTATCATAAATTTTAGTTAAGCCTTTTCCTAAAAATTATATTGGTGGAAAATGACAACGGTCCGCGGAATATTTGTTGTTATTTAATGATCAAACGGTAAAGAGAATCTTAGTAGGTCGACAGCCTCAACTCAGACCAAACACGGCCCAGAATCGACGGTAGATATATCTAAGCAAACACGTGTGCGGCTAGGATGCGTTAACGCTGAGAGAAAAGTACAAGTTGTTCACCTAAAACCAAGACAAACAAAGAAAAAGAAGGTAATAAAAGGCATCAACGGCTATGATTTTGCTGAGTTGTCTCCTCTGTTGATGAGTTGTCAACCAATGCTTAGAAAACGTTAGAAAATTTAATTATTTTCAAATTAATCATTAACAAAAGGACTATAAACCTCGCACTCTCACTTCACACCCTGTATATATAGAGTTCCTCACACAACTCTCTCTATAACTTTCTCTCTATATCCTAGTTTTTTTTGTAGATTCAACATTCAAGTTTTTTTTTCTCTCTCTATAAAACCATCCGTTGCATTGTTCGAAGAGAGAGAATAGAGAAAGAATGTCTTACTCGAGCGTGATTGTTGCAGTGATCTTTGCTTTGGCTGTTGGATCTGCTATCGCTCAGTCTCCGGTGTCGGCGCCTACTGTATCGCCGACCGCAACGCCGACCAAATCTCCTGTCGCTTCTCCGCGGAAGGCGGTAGCGACTCCTTCTCCGACTCCGTCTCCCGTGGTGACTGCACCGAGCTCCTCTCCGATTGCTTCTCCTCCTGCTCCCCCAACCTCCGACGCTCCTGCTTCGTCTCCCTCCGGTATAGCGGTGCCTCCGTCGTTCTCTTCAGCTCCGGGAGAATCTCCGTCGTCGACTCCCAATGGCGCCGCTTTGAATAGAGTGACTGTGGGTGGATGTGTGGCTGGTCTCTTCTTCGTGTCGGCGTTGTTGCTTTAAATCTGATCTGAAACTCGTATGCTTCGTGGGAGTTGAGTTGATGATTTAGGGTTTATTATTATTTTTGTTTATTTCTGATTTTCTCTCATCTTCCAGTGATGGTGATACAGATTTGATTTATTGTTCCATTTCTTGTATTCTTTAAGGGCCTTAACAATTCTTTGTTAATTAATTATGAATTCTTTTGTTGACTAGGCCTTTTATTTGAAAATTGTAAAGTTGATAAATAATGAAATTGGTAAGGACTGTATTTGTTGAGGCTTCTTTAATAATTTGATTTAATGTAAGGCCTTGTAGCCAAATAAAGTTGTATCCGTATTTTTTTTAAGTAAATGTATGAGAGTTTATTTATGTTACTTTGGTTTAGCACGTTGACGGGTTCTCGATTCTGGTTTGATTCTTGTTTATTCTCTTGTAACCGATTCTAAGCTGCTTAATGATGCTATGTTATGGTACAAAACCCTAGAATGATGTGCAAATCCTCTGTAATCTAGGCCCAACAATGGGGACTGCAGGAAAAACATACTACAGAGGATTTGCGCCCAAAGGTGACACTAAACAGTAAACTATCCAAGGAGACACTAAACATTCAAGCCGGCCCAAACAGTGAACGTGGCCCACTCCAAGTTCATTCAAAAATTCAAAATCCCATAACGCCTGTCATGTGGCCCGTTCAAAACTGCAAATAACAGCCCCAAGAAAGGTTCTTTAATAAACATATAACTAATTGATCAAGCATAAGGAAATGGCATCGATTTTACTTGCTCATATTTCTTTTGCCAAGCTTGTCTCAATTAGGGTTATTAATTAAAATTATGAATTAGGACAAAAATTCCTTGAAATTGGTAAATTGGTACGAATAAATCCATGTTTAGTGATGTCAGCTAGGATATCCTTACATTTTGGACATTTTTAAGACACAAGTAATTTTGAAGTATTCAATGCAATCTAAAATATATTCTGGATTAATTAAAAAATAATATAAAATTTTAAAAAACAAAAACAATTGTTCTAAATTTTAAATTAGTGATTTTTTGAAGTATTCATGTAGCAGTCGTGTCTTATTTTTTGCGTGTCATACCAATGGTCTCTCTCTCTTCACAAGTCAGGTCAAGACCCACATGGCTTTAGTCATCAAACCAAGTACATCATTGAATTCCAAAAATCAATATTTAAGTATTCACTCTACTATTAAAAGTTAGAAAATGATTCATACATCGATTTATTACAGTGAATGATCAGATCTATTTATTTTAATTGATTTATTTATGTAACAAATACAAAATGAAGTCCTCCACTTATATATATTGTGCATAAATAACTAATCTTGCGCATTGACTATTTGATTTATGTAAAGTGGGGCTTTTTTGATGACGTGGCAGGTGACAGGTATGATAACACACATCCATGTTTAAAAATGTAATTGAAGAGAACCAAACTGTGGTTCTGAACCACATTTCTTTTTTTTGATAATATTGTGGGAACCATCTCTTTACTTAAATGTATATATAAAATAAACATTTCAAATATATATATATATATATATATTTATATATATTTGTAGTCTAAAATGATGGACTATTATCTGATGTATGGAATCCAAATCGAAACGGTACTATAAAAGAATTGAATTGAAGGGACGATTTGATTTAATTCGTACCAATTTACCAATTTCAAGGAATTTTTGTCCTAATTCATATGATAGTTAAGGCTTCCATAAAATATTTTATACATAATTTTAATTAATAATCCTAAAATGTTTGAACAAGGTAAAGATTTTCAAGTGTAATTTCATGGGAAGCAAAAGGAAATTTTGGCAACTGACCGGCCATCTTTATCTCAAAGAGAGACAAGCAGTTGTGTATACAACTTAGGAGTGACAATTTATACCCAAACTCATTAAATTGTTTCGGCCAAATTAAATCATTTGTGTAATTAATTTAAATGAATAGATAAGTAATGGGTAAAAAATGGATGCCCATTATTATTCGGCACAAGTGCAAAAAACCCCCCTTGAACTATCACAAATCGGCATTTTACTCTCATAGACTACAAAAATGAACAAGTCAGTACACAACTATCACAAATCGTGCAAATTAACCCCTAAAACTCAATTCCAGCCACTTTCCGGCCGACCTCAATGTAGATTTACAAAACTACCCATTGTAGTTAAGAAAAAAAAAATATAAAAATAAATAATAAGAGAGAGAAAGTTAGAGAGAGAAATAAAGTTCATGAATCTGCTTCTCTATCCATTATACCTCTTGTATTGAGATGAGAATAAATAATAAGAGAGAAAGTTAGAAAGGGAAATGAGGCTCTTGAATCTGCTTCTCTCTCCATTATACCTATTGTATTGTGACAAGAATATTAAACAAAAATTATAATAAAAAAGATGACACAAAAAGTAGCATTCGCCGTAATCGTCTCTTTCTCTCTTTGTTTTTCTCTCTAGAATAAAAGGAGCATTTGCCATAATCGTGATTTTAAACTAGTTTCTCTTAGTTTCTCTCTCTAGAATAAAAGGAGCATTTGCCGTAATCTTAATTTTAAATTGGTTTGTCACACTTGGCTTTATTTGTATGTAATTTGTAATATATATCTGAAAAAGTTGGTTTTGTTTTTATATTTTCTGTTACATTTCTTACCATTTCCTCATCTGGTTCTGGGATACATACTATTGGTGGTTGAACAAGAAAGTGACTGTGTCTTAGCTTTTATCGATCTCTAAGAGAGAGAGTAGATCCCACACTTTTGAGGCTATTGAGAATTGATTAATGTCGGGAGAGAATTTTAAAGTTTATTTTTTATAGTGGGTATCTGAAAACCCAATTTGAAGATAGTCGTGCCATTTCTTGGTTGCTTTGGATTTTCAGGTCACCGGAGCTCAAAGATCCGAAGAAAGTTAACTTGGATTCAATTCTAATTTTGGGGTTTATTAGAGATTCAAAAGAACTTCAATTGTGAGCTGAAAAAAAGGCTTTTCAGATTGTTTGTTTCTCTACAGTAAGATGAGAGTGGGATCAAGTATGACCCAGCAAACCCAAACGCCGAAGGCAGCGAGTATACTGAACCACTCGATCGCCGAAGCCGGCCATCGTAATCCTGGCCAGATGACGTCGCTTCACGTAGCGGTGACTCTTCTAGCATCTCCATCTGGCTTCCTCCGACAAACTTGTATTCGATCCCATCCTAATTATTCTCACCCTCTTCAGTGCCGGGCTCTGGAGCTCTACTTCAGCGTGGCCCTCGACCAACTTCCCACCGCCCAAACCACCACCTCTGCCGTGGAACCCCCAATTTCCAATGCTTTAATGGCAGTGTTGAAGCGGGCACAGGCACATCAGCGGTGAGGTTGCCTCGAGTGGCAACAATAGCCCCCTACACACACACACATATATATTCACATATATACATATATGTCAAAGGGTTACAACTGTAATATTTCGGAGCAATTACGGAATTAAAAGAAAATGACAGTCACGTGCTGACCTTGTGGGCCGGAAAGTGGCCGGAATTGAGTTTTAAGGGTTAATTTGCACGATTTTGTGATAGTTGTGTACTGACTTGTTCATTTTTGTAATCCAAGGGGGTAAAATGCCGATTTGTAATAATTTAGGGGGGTTTTTTTTGCACTTTTTGCCTTATTATTCATGGGTACCCATCTCAATTCGCTCAAACAAAACTCTTTTTAGTCTCCTCCAATTTATTTTATTTTTTTTTCGTACGTATCTCTCTCTTCTCCCATTTTATTTTATTTTATTTTTCTCTCTTTTTTTTTTTTTGAGAAAGTTTTTTAACTCTTTTGTTTGCTCTCAAAAAAATTTAGAGTATGTAATTTTTTTTTTTTTTTGGAAAGTAATTTCATTGGCAGATATAGTTATTGTAAAATTGATCTCTCTCTCACAAATTTGGCACTGCTTTAACTTTCGGAGAAAAAAAAAATTGGCACAGTTTTTTTAAGGGTTAATTTCACTTACACCCCCTGAACTTTGTCAATATTCCACACACACCCCTTTACGTTTTATAATGCCACCTACACCCCTTGTCAGTAAAAAGCGTTTCACTAACAAAAATGTGTGATTTTACTGTTTTACCCTTAAATTATATATTAAAATTTATAACTTAAAATGAAAAGACTCTAATACCCTCTATGTCTCTCTCTCCTCACAGACGCATACATAGACACACTATATATATCTTTCTTTTTTTTTTTTTTTTTTTCTTTATTATAGCCGGCGATGAAGAAACTATGCCACCGATAGCCACCACAGAAAAAGGTGGCTCTTATCACAGCCGAGCCGTTCTCCTTACTGCCCGCCGTTCAATTGTAAGGACAGTTCGCTAGTTTTTATCACAACCTCCTTTGCGAGCTTTTCACCGGAGTAGGGATCGCCAGACTAAACTGGGTGAAGCGATCTCCGGCGAGTTCCAAAACCAATCTCGTCGTTTTTCCACCTCAACCCACCACGACGACGACTGACCACCCACCACGTACATATACGAAGACACATATACACACATACATATATATACGGACAGACACATAGACACACATATACATTACACACAGGTTTGACTCCGGCGAGCTTCAGTCCAGTCCGGCGAGCAGTAGAGGTGAACCTCAGTTCAAACGTGCTTTGGTTAAGGTGCCAAAATAGCGTAGGCGAGACCACCAACATGTAGTGAACAAACCGCGAAGCTTCGCCGGACTGAACTGAGCTTTATCGGACTTGGGATCACTGGACTGAACTGGGTCGAGGTAGCTGTGAACTTCGCCGTCGTCATTTTTGACCCGTCTTACCTCGTTCTTATCCAACGTTACGAAGGTAGATTTGATGGCGACTACACATCCGTAGATTTGACGGCGTTGAAGTCCGGTGGTTGGACTGAACTAAGGTTCCTCCTTTTTCAGACCGGTTAACAGCGATTCAGTCATACCAAACCCAGTTTTGCGATTCAGTCAAGCTGAAAGCTAAAACGAACTAAGTTCGACCAAACCCAGTTCAGTCCGGCGAGCAGCCATTCCTCAACCCACCTCGGTGAAACCCAAGTCAAAACGGCCATAGACACGCCAAAGCTCTGTAGAAGAATCCGGCCTAGCTCTGTAAGTTCGTCACCATTGTTAAAACTGCAAGCTTCACCATCCTTTTCACAGCCCGCTTCATGCATGTAATTTCATTCCACTAAACAGTCTCATCAGCGTCCTTCATTGAAGCATGTCTGTCGTCCTCTTCACCATCGTTTAATCGCTTCATCGCCTGTCAGTTCAGTCTCGCCGTTTCTCGCCAGTAAAAACAGCTTTGTCGTCGGTCCTTGTTGGTAAATTATGTGGCTGCACTTCCCGTTTTGCATCGCCTAGTCATCCTTGCACATCGTTCAGACTTGTTTGGTCACCATCCGTTGGTGCATGGATTAATACTGTGGGCTCAATTCTGGCGACTTACAAAGTTGAAACGATTGGTGAATGGGGGTGTTCTGGGTTCGGTGATATGAAGGCACAGTTATCTTTTTTAGTTTATAAGTTAAGGGTAATTTTGTAAATTTGCATTGGCTAATGAGGTTAAAAATGTCCTTTCAAGTATTGGAAGGACAAAATTGACCTTATACCAATTTGTTCATGCTGACACCGTTAATTGCCTAACTGCAGGGGATAATTTGCTACATAAATCAAAACCTCAAGAAAAATAAGTGGAATTATGAAACATAGAGGGGTGTGTGTGGAATATTGATAAACTTCAGGTAGGTAGAATTTACCCTTTTTTAAATTATTATTAAATTTTGTCCCTTCCTAAAATATAGTATTATTGCAAATATTGCCCACAGATCTTGCCACGGGTCAAAGATCCTGTCAGTTTGGGAGTTAATTATATAGGAAGATGGTGTGATACTTATTTATGATTATTAATTATGATTTTATATATAAAAAAAATTGAACTCTCTAAATTTCTCCCTCTTTCCTTCTCTCTTTTTTCTTTCTCCTCTTTGTTATTTTTTTTTTTTTACGTCAACTTCTATATATCTTATTTATTTATTTTTTATTTTTTATTTTCACTACAAACCTCAATTTCTATTTTATTGGATAAAAAAAATTGAAATTAAAACCATATTTGTAACGGTTAAAATTCCCTTTTATATATATATATATATATATATATATATATATATTATATTAATACTAGCAGAATAATAAGTTGTAACTGACTTTAAAAATAACATAAATAAATAAATAAATAAAATTTGTAACACTAGAGACCAGAAAATTAATATAAAATTGTTACTAGAACAATTTTTTATTTATGGTATTCAAGAATTAAAAATATTTGACAATTTGTTTCTAAAAACATTTGAGTCCCCTTTTTTCTCTCCTCCGTTACTATTTCTTTCCTTTGTCTCTTTTTTTTTTTAAAAAAAAAAAAAAATTTTGGCACAATTTTTTTAATTATTATTAAATTTTGACCCTTCCTAAAATACAGAATTATTGCAAATATTGCTAACAGATCTTGCCACGGCTCAAAGATCTTGTCAGGGTTGGAAGTTAATTATATAGGAAGATGGTGTGATACTTATTTATGGTTATTAATTATGATTTTATATAGAAAAAAATTGACCTCTCTAAATTTCTCCCTCTTTCCTTTCTGTCTCTGGATTATTTTTTTTTATTTTTTTTTTTTTCACTACAAACCTAATTTCTATTTTATTGGGTAAAAAAAATTGAAATTAAAACCATATTTGTACCGGTTAAAATCCCTTTTTAAAAATAATAAAAATAAATAAATAAAAAAAATTTGTAACACTAGAGACCAGAAAATTAATATAAAACTATTACAAGAACACATTTTTTATTTTTTGATATTCAAGAATTAAAAATATTTGACAATTTGTTTCTAAAAACATTTGGGTAATTGAGTTTGGTTCAGTTCATCTAACATTCAATTCATTTTTAACGCATCATAATAAATTGATAATGGATTAGTGATCCATTATTATCCTCCCCATTCATAACCCACCCAAAACCTGCGCGACCCTACTCAATTGCACCCCTAAATTACAAATTTACAACCAAATCAAAACAATAATGTTAAAATGTGACATCTTTAGACGATGTTGGATGTATTTAGAGAGAAAAAATAAGCGCTGCGTGTGTGTGTGTGTGTGAGAGAGAGAGGAAGGGAGGTAGTTGATGCGAGAGGAAAGTTCTCGCAACGGGTGTATCATGGTCTTGCGGGAGATAGTCAACATGTGACGGGTTTTTGAGTGTCACCAAACACAGCTTATTGATAGCTCAAAAGTTTTATAACCATTAAGTAAGGCAGGTGGATCCCACATCGTCGTGACAACGAATAAGTGGGTTGTGACAGAGATGCCCGCTTCTCTATGCCAACAAATAAAGAATAAAACACACGTTACGCGGCGTACGCTGATGATGACCGCACTCTATATATATATATATATATATATTTTTTTTTTCTCTTTTAAGCTTAATAATTTAAGTATTATTAACAAAAATAATATTCTTTTATCTAACAAAAAACTCGAGTAATGCTTTTAAATACATTTAAATTTCTATTTTTAATTTAAAGAAAAAATAAAAACATGCCTACTGACATATCACCATGATGTTATTAACTCGTTATATCTCCCAGGAAAAGAAAGATTGATTAATTTTACAATTAATGAATACATTGTCATCATTTTTAATTAATTAATTTTTTTTTCTATAAGTAAGGTAATTAAGAACTCTCTTAATAATCATAATTTTTAATTATAGCCATTTCCTAAAAATTATATTAGTAAAAATCACAATGGTACGCGGAATATTTGTTGTTAATAAATGATCAAACCGTAAAGGGAATCTTAGTAGGTAATTAAGAACTCTCTTAATAATCATAATTTTTAATTATAGCCATTTCCTAAAAATTATATTAGTAAAAATCACAATGGTACGCGGAATATTTGTTGTTAATAAATGATCAAACGGTAAAGAGAATCTTAGTAGGTCGACAGCCTCGACTCAGACCAAACACGGCCCAGAATCGACGGTAGAGATATCTAAGCAAACACGTGTGCGGCTAGGATGCGTTAACGCTGAAAGAAAAATACAAGTTGTTGACCTAAAAGCAAGACAAAAGAAGAAAAAGAAGGTAATAAAAGGCATCAACGGCTATGATTTTGCTGAGTTGTATCCTCTGTTGCTGAGTTGTCAACAGAAAATTTAATTATTTCCAAATTAATCGTTAACAAATCGACTATAAACCTTGCACTCTCACTTCAGACCCTGTATATAAAGAGTTCCTCTGCCATCGTCTCTTCACACAACTCTCTCTCCATATAACTTTCTCTCTCTATATATCCTAGTTTTTGTAGATTCAACATTCAAGTTTCTTTTTCTCTCTCTAAAACTATCCGTTGCATTGTTCGAAGAGAGAGAATAGAGCAAGAATGTCTTACTCAAGCGTGGTTTTTGCAGTGATGTTTGCTTTGGCTGTTGGATCTGCTATCGCTCAGTCTCCGGTGTCGGCGCCTACTGTATCGCCGACCGCAACGCCGACCAAATCTCCGGTCGCTTCTCCGCGGAAGGCGGTAGCGACTCCTTCTCCGACTCCGTCTCCCGTGGTGACTGCACCGACCTCCTCTCCGATTGCTTCTCCTCCTGCTCCCCCAACCTCCGACGCCCCTGCTTCGTCTCCCTCCGGTATCGCGGTGCCTCCGTCGTTCTCTGCAGCTCCTGGAGAATCTCCGTCGTCGACTCCCAATGGCGCCGCTTTGAATAGAGTGGCTGTCGGTGGATCTGTGGCTGGTCTCTTCTTCGTGTCGGCGTTGTTGCTTTAAATCTGATCTGAAACTCCTATACTTTGTGGGAGTTGAGTTGATGATTTAGGGTTTATTATTATTTTTGTTTATTTCTGATTTTCTCTCATCTTCCAGTCGGGTGATGATGATACAGATTTGATTTATTGTTCTATTCTGTTAATTAATTATGAATTCTTTGTTATGAATATTTTTATTGATTTCTGGCTTATTTTGTCATTATTTAGTAATGTGAGATTTCATTTATAATAGAAATTGTGTGCACGAGATAGTTTTTATTTATTTATTTATTTTGTGTGTGTGTGTGTGTGAGAGAGAGAGAGAGAGAGAGAGAGAGAGAGAGTGTTTGTGTGTGTGAGAGTGAAAAAAATGGCTCTTTTTAGCTGTCCCTGCCTACAGGGGTGTCACGTGGTTCACAGCCTGTTTTTGAACCTAGTAAGTCTTCAAGGACTTTGAAAGGAGACTTGTCACGTGACTCTTTTAATTAACTAATTAAAAAAATAGGTCTAATCATTCACCCTAACTATTCACTCTATCTAGCTAATTCGGTGTAGAATTATTTTATGCTTTCCTAGTTCAACAAAATTATTATTCTTTTTTTAAATTAATATAACCAAAAATATATAGATACATATATTTAGTTTGCTAGAAGAGGCAAAACTGAAAGGTCATTGAATAATTTAAAACAAATTTTTTTTATTTCATTAAAATTAAGATAAATATCGTTCTATTGATGCATCTTAATAGATTTGGTCTTTCTTATTTTATTTTATTTATGTACACACTACATATGATTTGGCCAGAAAAAAAGAAAAAATGCCTTTTGTTTTAATGATTTGGCTTGCCTAAAAACTCAAGTTACTAGAGTAAAAAGTAAAAAAAAATTGTACAGGATCATTACCTTAGTAAGAAAATGTAAGAGTTTTAATAATGCAACATTTTTTTAACTCCATAAACACAGAGGACAGTTTTAAAGTAGTAGAATAATGGGTGGGTTTATAATATAACCGGTGTGAATAAATTTTCACTTATCGGTAGCTTTGGGATCACATCCAAGCTCAATGGATAGTTTTGGGATCTTTACTCAACTTCAATCATGGAATCCAAAAGTTGTAATTACATACTACCTAGGTAACTATTGTCCCATAATAGAGCCCATTTGAGTATAATGTATTTGGTGATATATTATAATAAATACTTTTCACAACTAAATTATTATATTATTTATTTGATAACAAATTTTTTTTAATTTTTTTTTAATTTTATAATAATATCCTTTAATATGATGCTATCATATTTGCTTTTAATATGATGCTATCATATTTGATAATAACTTTAAAATTGTCTAATGAGAAAAAGTTACCTAAAATATTCAACGCGCTTATAATAATTAGAAAATCGGCTGGACTCGTTTTACCCAAATATGAATAATATACCAAGGTTCTGTTTGGACCAACATTAGAGTACTGCTACTAAGAACTTCATTATGGGAGTTAAAAATTGTGTCAATTCACGTATTACCTACTCAAATTGTGTTTTTGAAAAAGCTACATACCATTATTGGTTATAATGTGTCAAGAGGACCTACTTCAATTTTTTTTCTCCATCTTATGGAACAATTTCATCAATTTTCATATTATTATAAAATGTACAAGCATAATCTATGTTTTTGAAAAAAAGTTGTAATAAATGCATTGATGCTGATGATTAAAGTATTTTATTTAATTTATTCATCTATTTATTAACAAACAACCAAACCAACATAAAACCAGGGTCCATAGAGGCATATTTCTCAAGAATTAACAAGAAGGAATTAGAAAAACCCCATTTCCAAAAGTTAGCTAATGCAATATAAGAAATTCCAAATGACCTGTCTTCCTACTTGAAAAAAACAATGGTTGGAATATTTTTTAAAAAGGACTTCCGCAACATATGCATGTGCGCCAACTCCAAGTGGTCCTATTGTTTGTTTAAAGATTGTTTAGGCTTAGAGTGGCAATTGGGCCCAAAATCTGATGATGGTGGTATTGGGCCCTGAAATAGGTGACTTTGGGACAGGATGATACTGAGCAGTCACTACTACTTGTCGATTGACCTTTTGCTTCCATTAATTTCATAGCTATATACTGTAATATATATATATATATATATATATATATATATATATATGAAGAAGAAGAAGAAGAAGTGGGAATTAACTGCCTTAATGGTGAGAGAGGGCCTGATTCTGAGTAGTACTTTACTAGTAGTGGTTTGCTCTTTTGGTTCCCTTAATTTCATATAAAGCAAGTAACATCACCAATTTGAGAAGTGTGCAGATTGGACAAGATCCTCCGCAGAGAGGTTATTGCATACAATTTAGAATTCAGTTGTTGAGATTGAATTGAGAAATGGGACTCGCTAGTAATGATGTAATCTCAACCACTGAATTATGTGCAGCACCTTTGCTGCGCTGGAGAAAATCCTTGTATGTACAAATTATGATAAACTTGTATAACATTGCTGTCATTAACTGCCTAAATAGCAAGAGAGATCCTTACTCCTTCATTAAAACTTTTTTTTTTTTTTTTCCCCTCAATTCCATACTATCCCAACCAGTCATTTGTAGGTAGGTTACATAAGATGTTGATGTAGGTGTTCTAAGTGAGTAGCCATGTCATCACTAAGATGTGTTTGGCTCAAAGTGTTCTCCTAAGGGTATGCTTGGTATTTCACGCGTGCGAGCATGTTAGGATTTGTCAAAGTCCGAATTTGCGGCTAAGCCCAACTATTAAGAGCCGAGCAAATATTCCTATTTGCTTTCTTTTGTTAATGATAGAGATAGAGATAGAGACATCAAGCCCGAACCACCCAACTAAGAACATTTAGAAGTAAAAAGTAACTTTCATCATTAACTTTGGAAGCAGATAAAAATCAATTACAATTTCTTGTAAGTTACAATAAAAAGGGTTCTAGTTACATTCTACTAAAAACAAACATAGTGAAAATCAACAAATATTTAAAGCTTAACTAAAGATTGAATATAATCATTACATTAAGGAAAACATCTTATTAAAGGCAATAAATAACACCTTTATTCTTGTGAAAGAAGTCCAAGGAGCAAGCTTCAAAATAACCTAGTGTTGGAGTCCATTTAGGACAATATGTAAGTTCAAGCGTCTTGGTGCACTTAGACATGCTTGAGTTATACTTATTGTATAAGTTCCAAAAAAGTGGGCCATTGGATTGGCTTCCACATGGACATCCGAGATGTATTCTCATTGCAAGATAAAGTTGAACCTTCAAACTAAGATTATTCCATCTGTCCTAAAAAAAAAAAAAATAAAATAAAATGTCACTTTTGAGAAACCTTTTTTTGAATATTTTACTATAATGATAACATGTCAATTTGACTTGGTTCCTTAATCCGATCGGTAAGGATCTGATCACTTGGCTTTCTTCTCCAGTAGTTTGACCAAATGGCCGTTTTGGGTGCAAATTTAAAAATTAGGCAGCATCTGTGAGAGTTAAGGTGCAATCAAGTTAATCTTCTTTCAAACAGACCGTTAAAAAATAAAAATCATGATCCATTCAAAGTAAGTGGTCCATTACTTACCTACTCCGCCAATACGGACATGGAACCTTCATTCACTCGGACACGTCCCCGAGTACTTGCCAGCTTATTCCATATTTTCATGTTCCAAATTGTCAACAACCCCCAAATTCACACACACATGACACATGCATAGTATTTTGAACTGTAAAGTGAAAAAGAAATGGTAACAACCCTCTGTCGCTTTCCACCAACCACCCTCTCCCTTCACCGATTTCATATATTCATGTAATTGCTTAGTGGGTATATGTGATTTTTATATTTTTTAAAATTTTTTTTTATAAAAAATTTAGGTAGACATTGTTCCGTTCCGAAAAATACAAGACAGATTATACCATCTAAACTCGTGTTCAAGAAGTCTAAGAAAAAACAAATGGAATAAAGTATATATGGGCATGGCACAATAATTATGATCATATCTATGTGGCATCATTATAAAAAATTTAGGGAGCAGAATAAAGTATATATGGGCATGGCACAATAATTATGATCATATCTATGTGGCATCATTATAAAAAATTTAGGTAGACATTGCTCCGCTCCGGAAAATACAAGACAGATTATACCATCTAAACTCGTGTCAAAAAAAAAAACAAATGAAATAAAGTATATATGGACATGGCACAATAATTATGATCATATCTATATGGCATCATCACAAATAAGTGAAATTACCTACTCAAATCAAATAAGATCTCAATACACATACAAAGAGAAAGAAAACTAGGAAAAGAAGTGAAGAGCACTGCCTCTGTCCTGGCCAGAGGACTTAATTAAACCATAGCAAACTTAAACAATGCGAGCAGAGTAACTAAAACAGCAGCAGATGGAGAGAGAGCTGTTGAAGATGATTGTGGGACAGTGGTTGTCGACGGCGTCGTCGGCGGTGTCTGTGCTGTCGGGGTAGTGGTGGTTCCGGAAGGCGGGCTGCTTCCCGACGGCGTCGTCGGCGTGGTGGCTGCGCTACCTGCCACGGTCACGGCTAGCTTCATGCCACTGCCACAATGGCCAACCACACCACATATGTAGTAATGTGTCCCGGTAGTTTTGAGAGCGATTGTGGTGGCTCCACTACTGTCTGAAGTAATTGCGTTGCCTACTGTGCAAGTGTTGTAGTCGCTTGGGCTCACTTCGTCCACAGTGTGACCACCACCATAATTGAATACTAGTACCAAAAAAAATAAAAAAAATCACAATTACATTAGGATTCATAATCAATAAATTTTGTACCATTGGTTCTATTTATTATATTTTAATTACAACATTATGGCTATCCATTTTTATGGCTGATTGAGGAATTAATTTTGTATTATTATATGCTAAAAAAATGCAAATAAACATATGATTACATTTTGACTAATTGATTAGGAAACAACAACCTTGCATAGAGAGGTAGGATTGCTTATATCTAAATTTTTTTTGACAGAAGTCTCGTGCACGGTATAGTCCTTTTATGACTAATTGATGGATAAATAAGTTTGTATTATGTGTTACATGTATATATATGTTACAAAATATGCTTATAAATATATGTTTTGTGACTTGTATATAAAATATTGTAGTAATCATGAGAGATGAGAACTCACCAAGGCTGTCCCCAACAGAAAAGGTCTTTCCAGTTGTCCATGTGGTATAATCAGTACCCATTGTCCATCCAGATGTGTCCCCAACTGTGTAAACTGTGGCCAAACTTGGAACAACAAAGCACAAAACTAAGGTCAAGCACACAAATGGGGCACTAGGGCTTGCCATTGTGTGAGTGTGTGTTTTAGAGTGAGAGAGAGAGAGAGTGGTGATCACAATTAGGGAATGGGAGGGCTGCTTATATAATGGAACAATGGGATTGGAGTTAGTGTGTGTTTGGTTTAGAATTTCATTTAAAGTGCCTAGTTGTAAAGGAGATATCATTCCCTGGGGATGACTTGAGTCAGACTCCAAACCTAATGCCCCAAAAGTGGGGTCCATGATTGGGGTTTTTATCAGATGGTTAGTTATGATGTTTTGTTTGATTAAACCAGCTCTTACCCATATAAAGCACATACGTTAATACATAAATAATGCTTTCAAAACAAGTTATACTAGCTATTAGAGGGTGCAATTGGTCACTACATCCATATCAAAAAATTTAAAAAAATATATATAAAAAAAACCCAAAAACGAACATACTGTTTGTATGTAATTGTTTTTGTGCAATTGTCATTTGGAGATGGATAGAGAATAAAGAGAAGCAATTAAGTGTTCTATGAATTATATATTTATTATTTAATTGTAAGCAGCTTGGAGTTGAATTGATTTATATATATCAAAAAGGATTCTTTTGTTTATCTCTTAGTTCTAATTTTTCCATTAAAGAGGGATTCTTGAGCATAATAATGATGTGCTTCTTTATTTAATTTTTTGATAAATTGATGAAAAAGTGTCATTGCATGCTTGACTTTTGGTGACCTTAATGATGCCCTTCTTGTCAAGGGCCTTGGAGCATTACTAACTTTATCAATATATTACTATAAAAACAGATGGTACAACTATATATCTATAATAATGCATAATACATTGTTTTGAAAATAGATGCTAGTATTATTTTACTACTATATCCTTAAATATATAAATTAATACTTTTAAACGAGGGTAATTTTGTCATTTTGAATTTATTTAACAAAATTTTATTTCTCTCTCTACAAAATATAGTCCATATACATATTCATACAAGTCCTATACATCGTTGTCTCACCAATGTACTGCTTAATTTTCTTTCATTTTGGTTATTTGACATAATTTTTTTCTTTTGAAAACATTTTCCATGGTAAAATAGGATCCAAATTGGTAAAAGGACTCTGTTGAGTTAGCTGTTCATGCGTTTTGAGAGGGGTAAAACTTCCCCAATTTGATAAAAAGTTTCAGCTAACCGGAATGGAACTGGAAGTTATTAAGTTATTATGCGTGTGTTGTGTATGTATATACGTGTGTGTGCGTGTGTGTGTATATATATATATATATATATATATATGCCTATAATATACCAAAAACCAAATAAATGGGTCATCAAATGCCAGGCTCAGGAAAAGTATCATAATAATGCCTACTTTTTGTGTGGGTTTGGTAACTCAACTTTGGTTGGGGTGGGTGAGGATCGAGTTGATTGGCTCAACTGCTCCCTTTTGTGTATGGTAAATTGGTAACTCTATTTTGATCACTAACCACACAACATTTGATATTGTGAGTTGAGCCAAAAATAGGTTTGAAAAAACTTTTTGGGGGAATTATTATGTGCTTCTTTATTTGATTTTACTAAATTAAAATTATTGATCAATTAATAATTGCACAACAAAATAATAAGGAAGTGAAGTTAGAGTGACACTGGATTTTAGTGAGGAAACCAATTGAAAAATTCATTCACTCCACCAAAACTCAACTCGTTGAACGCTGTGGGCTTTACGACCTCCTGTCCTTTAGTTTTATTCCTTAAACCTTGTAGAAGGGTTGTTGGTAGATCAACAATACTTCGAGATCGTACTGATCCCTTCAAAGTGCGATCGCCCTTCAAATCAAATTATGATGTAGAAGGAATAAATTCTGCTTTATTGCAGTCTTCAATAGCTCGTACTCCAATCAGAATAAGAATAACACCCTAAATCACTCTTGTATATAGTGTATATGCTTTCAATGAAAAATAAACTCTTAAAAAATTCTCACAAAATTGGCTCTCAAAATAGTTAAGAATTTTGTATGCAAAAAGTCGTAATTAATTGTGAGTGAATGTTAGTTTATATAGAAAATTAGAGAGTCCTATTAGGGTTACAAAACACCTCCAATTTCGTGCTAAAACCTCCATCTAATTTGGACTTAAAAGGTAATAGAAGTTGACAAAAACAAAAACTTCCCTTTTTAATTCAGGAAAATGCAACCCGTTTGATTTGAAAATGCAACTGGTTTTAATTGTTCACAATTAACGTATTGTCAAGGATTCCTTAACCAAAAAAATAATGAAGGACAATAATACGTAAAATATAAATTTAATATACCATAATACTATTACACGGAATATTTAACAGAACAAATTGAAATTGGAATAAATAATGAACAAACCATTGTTCCAAATACGATATGTCTCTATAATCACACGCAGCCACTCGCTCCAACACTCTGGCAATCAATTCCGGGGGAAAACGATCTAGGATGGTTCAATAAGAATATGAATATACCATTCATATATTTAGAACAAAATTCTCACCTTGAAATAGATGTTCAAAGCGTAGATCAATGAATCATAGTAAGGTGGGTAAATATTTAATTAGTAAGGGATGCTCAAGTAAAAATTGTCATGATAATCCCAGTAATAATAAAGAAAAGGGGCAAGATATCAATATCAGGTTGAGGGCCCACTGAGACGTGGGTAGAACAGACATTTTGCGGTTTCTAATGAAGCATCATGACCAACTGTTGGATGGATGAAAATTATAAGGCATTTGAAAATCTACCTCCGGATGCTTCCATCATTAAGTAGCTAGGATTGTACCATTAAGCCCCATAAATTCATCCATTGTTACGAACGCCCAGGTCTTACCAAATATGTGAGTCTATATATTTTTCCACCATGATATACTTTCTTCCAAACACTGTCCGAAAATTTTTAGGCTACGATGACTGACATAAAGCTCCTTCTCCCCGATGAGGTGATCACCAAGATTATATGTCACGTTGTTGCCAATGATTTTAAGGACCTCTTCCGTCTGCAAACATGATTGGTGATAGTTTAGGTTCTTTACATGTGATTTTTGTTTTTATTACTACACAAGATAGAGTATATTTCATTTTTTACTACTGACATGATTATTATGATAATATTTATAGATCAAGTTTTCTTGATCATACTGGTAGTGAACCGCAAGTTTTAAAAATAAATTTTACCCGTGATACATGTGGGAATTGAACATGTTTCGCCAAATCATCAGCGAGCCCATTTCTTCCAGACATGTATTAATTACCAGAATGGGTGCCTTGTTTATCGGTGGAGTTGTACGTGTATTGTTTATAATTGTAATTATTTTATAATATGAATATTTTATAATTTAATAGTAATGCCTATATATTCTGCTTTTATTGTAGGACTTATACTTTATTCGAACAACAAAGATAAAGGCTTTATGCTACATAGTAGGGGGCATTTGTGGAACACCACGGTGGTTGTTAGTTAGCCCTTGCTATTGTGTTGGTAATTTAAGAGGAATTCACTTGAATTTTTCGCTTTCGAAATTGAGACTCAATAATAAATGAAAAATTACAATTTGATCTAGTCTCGTTTTGATCACCAAAATATGTCAATTACAATTTTACATCTCACGGATATTCCCTTTTCAGTTGGATATTTTTAGTCTTCTTTCAAGTTCAAATGTCGAAACAACAACTTGGATATCTTAATTTGGGCTAGACCTTTATGAATGATTTTCATGATATAGTATCATGAATGATATTGTTTCTAAATTGAAAGTTGAGTGTAATTTAAAAGTAAATTTTTAGGGGAGAAAACAAGAGAAGGGAGAGAAACGTAGAACAAAAGAGAAACATAGAACCTTTTGCATATGATTGATAAATATATATACACTTTTGATTGATTAACAACTTTGATATGTCGTGAATCTGTAATTTGCATTATGACTCTCATATTAGTATTATGCTTACAATATAGTAAAATCAGGTTGTTTAAGTGTGTATATACATATCTAAGTGGAGATCAGGTTGTGTAAGTATCAATTGACAGTATGAAACATAGACTATGGTGTCGTGCTATGATTATTCAAAAATTCCCAAGCACCTATTTAGAATCGGGATCTTCATGGAGTTCAATTAGGGTTCATATGCATGGGAAGATTACATGGATCAGGGCATCCAACCACCTTTAGATGTTTGATCTGTTATGCAATACAAGTGGCAAGGTTTTCTATTTCAGTTTGATAGTTTGAGAGAGATAGAGAGGATATAGAAGGTAAAATGGATGATTTAGAAAAATAGAAAAGAAAAAGGTAAGCATATGGAAGAAAGGAAGTGACGTACGGTGAGTAGGGCCTAAAAGAATGGACCAGAATGAATTTTGACAGCAAAAAAACAAAAAATTTATTATAGTACATTCATGATGCACATTATGAAATTTGTTGAAATATATTATCTACATTCTATTTACTTCTAGATTGTTTGTTGAAATATAGAATGAATATATGTTGCTTTGCATTTGAAAGTATGGAATGAGCTTTGTTAAGGTACTATCAGAATCAAGAGTTATAATTTAAAATAATTTTCTTACCATTCTAGTTTCAAAGCATCAATATCATGTTAGAGTATTTTTCAATTTTATTATGGTGTTTTATTCAAGGTGGGGAGATCTTTAGTCAAGGTGGAGCTATACAGATATCCTTTCTCGAGGTGAAGCAATGAAGGAGCACGTGAAGACATAGTTTGATCATGTGTTGATTACGTGGAATACTTGGGAGGTTCAAATTTGCAGATTTCAAGTGTTTACTTTTGGCTACTGCCTAAGTGCAATTGGTTCCATCCATGGAACCGGTTTCACTTGGGAAATGAATAATAAGGAAGCTGCGAGAAACAGTTTCCTAATCAGTTTTGGAAGCCAGAAGACTTAGGGAAAAGGCTGAAGATTTGGGGAAAAAGTTGTACTTACTATTTTAGAGTTGAAGAGTGATATAGTAACTTATTGTGGGAAAGTTGGAAAATACTTGTCCAATGAGGAATTGGGGTTTGAAGACTCTATAAATAGATCGAGATGGGTTTAGAGAGAGAAAATTGTAGAGAGAAAAAGTGAGTCGAGATT